CGTAGCTGATGTTGTTTTCGTATGCTGCCTTTCAAAATGCTCACATCAAGCTTAGACAGGTTTTCCATTATTTTATGCCACTATTAACATTAACTCCATATGTGCGAGCTTGTGAGTATGTGTGTGAGTCTCTGTGTGTGTGAGTGTGTGTGTGTGTAAATGACGCCGCCTATTTCCGTTGGGGACAGTTTTTGTTAATTGTTTCTTGGATATATGCGTACGTTTGTACATTTAAAATACACAAACATCAACAGGTTGGCCGCAGACTGCTCTTTTCTGTTTAATTCTTTTGCCTTACGTAACTTACAGTTTCCGGATTAAAGACAAAGACTCCAGCACTCCATTCTCCAGAATGATATATGTGTGCGATTTATTGTCATTTATCCACTGCCATAAGTGATTTTTTTCTTTTTTTGTTTTAGTTATAACTGATGATCGTAGATAAATCAAATCAGTGGCAGTCGAGTGCAAGAGAGAACGTGAGAGGCTCTCTAGCATAGATAAATATTGGTTATTTTCTTTGGGCATTTGAGTCGAACTTTCTACAGAGTTTCACTTTCCACTTGCTTAAGCTTTAAGCGATAACGTCGCATCGAATGCGAAAGAAAGCCCAAACGCAGCGAAAGACTCAAATATAGAGAGTACCGATAGAGACAGAGAGAGAGAGAGAAGAGAGGAGCGAGAGAGACGGAATATGCATTAAAAGAAATTATGCAAATGAAGCCAAAGTTGAAAACGTCGCATAAATTCGAATACGAATTCGATTGCGCAATAAAATACTTTTATTTACATACATTCATGTGTACATATATTATAGATAATATATACCCTGTACACAGTATATATAGGATATGCTCTTTACTGCTGTACTCTCAAGCGATTCAAAATGCGATATATATGTGTAAGTCATTTAAAATTTATAGACTCCTATCTTTCTAGTCTTTCAACTTTCATAACTTCGTCAAAGCCCACAGGGAATTCCCTACTTTTTCGACTTTTTGTTGTGACTTTTTCATTAGTTTGTAGTCGAGAAAAAAAGGCGATTTTTGTAGTTGTAACGTAGCCCGACAAAATTTCTAGCAAATTATTATTAATGGCTATTTACTAACACGATATACGATCTGTTCTCTGCTTGTTGTAGATTGCTTTTGTTTTTTAGCACGTTTGCTGCTAACTCGAACTGATCTAAGGCTAAGTCATATGACTTACTGACTGACTGACTGACTGAATAGCTGGCTGACTGTGTGCTTTGAGGGTGTAGAGGGGGCGCAGGTGGGCTGGGGCATTTGGAAAACCGGTTACTGCCCACAACAAAAGCTTTGTGCTGTCACCAAATCGCAAGAATCGGGTTATTGTGCACACATATCGAAGGAGACTGCTTCGGTTTTACCGCTAACCGCAGGCAACAAGTTGTAAGTGTGCTTCCATTGTAGTTATAGGTTAGGTCTTAAACACTCGCACACACACATACATATGCACTTGGCTTGCATGTCATTAAACTAGGCAGCACTTGTCGGCATCGGCAAACGGCCTCAACTTTTCCGCTAGGCGGGCGAGTCAGTCGTCAGAAAAAGGCGTGGCGTTCACTAGTGTCTCAGCTCTGACACCGATCCGATCCAGTCGTGGCACATTTTTCATACCCATTTCTCTTATTTGCTCGCCTCCACCTCTCTCTCTCTCTCCCGCTCACTCGCTCTCTCTCTCTCTCTCTCTCTCTCTCGCTCGCTCTGTACTCACTTGTCTTTGCCGGCGGCGGCAATTTCTACAAAAGTTTTTTGTTCACAATTGTTTTTGTTGGCGCTGTCTGTTGCCTGTTTATGTTTAATATTCCCTTTTTTTCTCTCGCTTGCCATGCTCATACTTGTTGTATCTACAATAATTTCTAGTTTAGCTGGCGTTGCCATTTTCAATACCCTCGACAATGCAAACGGCGGGGTATATTGTGAGTTCCATTTTATTGCAGCAGCTATAGTAAATGACGGAAACAAACAATCAGACTTTCGACTAGAAAATCGTTTCAGCATTGACAAAGTGTTGGTCATAAATAATAATATATATTTCATTTTTTGTGTTTTTTAAATGGTAGCTCATGGTCGTTGCCAAACTTTATCTTGGCTTCTTTCTCTTTTTGGTTTGGCTGCTGGTAGATTGCTTATAAACTGGGCCAACGTCTGCTTATATGCGCTATATGTATTTATACGCCAGCTAACCCCCATCCCCCAATTCCTATCCCCTACAACCACCCGCCTTTACAATATGTCGACTGTTGCACTTTACTTTTGTTTGTTTGCCCATCTCGCCGATCTTATTGTTGTCTACTCTTGCATATATTGATATTTGCTGCACTTTTTTTTTTTTTGAAAGTTGAATTTTGCAGTTACAAGATACTTATGCATCTGTTGGTTGTTGTTGCGGCTCTGATGTCATCGCTCCGAGTTTAACACTATGTATGTGACTCCTCTGTAACGCCCACAGCTTATACGCCCCTATAGTTGAGCTCTGCGTCTGGCTCAAAGCCAAAAGCTGAGCCCACGGTTTTGTTTTTATATTGGTTTTCTTTTTTGTATACGCACATGTTGCATGCGTGGAATTGGCCAAAAAAGCAAAAGTTTTATTTCACATCTTTTATATGACTATACTATATATAGTACTCATTGGGTACAGATACATATACGAGACAGCCAGCGAGAGATAGCACAAAATTGTTTTAAAATAAATGACACACGCTAGGCAGGTACATATATATATATATATATATACTGTATATATACAAATATGTGTCTTTGATGACGCAAACTTGCTCGGCGGAGACATTACAAAAATAATAAAAATGAAGAAGGACGTTTGCCTACTGGTTGGTTTGAGATCGATCTGCTCGGCGGAAGTGGCAACGGTTGGTGGTGCCACGATAACCACAAACAAAGTCCAATCATGCGTCCATAACGCAATCATTATATCTATTCATATCTCTCATTTTGCATACAAGTTGGGGCCAGCTGAGAAACTAATTGAGAATGAAATTGATAATAAATTTGTTTGTTTGTGTTAATTAATTATAAACGTTTGGGCCATGGCAACTACATTATAAGCCCTAAACGCCCACAATCTGCAGCAGATTGCTGCACGTGGGCATAAGCCAGTTATCTCTATATATATTTATGTATGTGCATGTAACTGCAGTCGACGATCGACTAATTCAGGTTAACAATAACAATAAAAATAATATGAAATCAAAAAAAAAATCATGTGTACAGTTAACTCTTGGTTCGTTCCTGTTGCTTTTGCCGGTTTTCAGTTACAAACATGGTCATCAAATGCGTCAACAAGTTGCTGGGAAACTACCCACAATGAAGTATTTTCTGTTCGTGTGTGTGTGTGTGTGTGTGAGGTGGTCAGTGTATCCATAAAAGGCTTTTATGTGTGTGAGCTACACTTGTTGAATGTGACCATAGATATATTACATATATATATATATATATATACATATATACGTACACTCTACACAAAGTCGCTAGATAAGCAGAGAATTGTACCAATCCAATTAAATATGACGATTTGTATATATGTGGACTTAAAGCCGATATCAAATACTTTTGCAAAGCCTTTGCCATAATCAAGTAAATAAAATGATTGAACAAATATACATTTATCTTTGAGATTAACCTTTCTATTTATATTCAAGGGAAATTTTTCTTTTGCAACATTTGTTTTTCGATTATGAGTTTTACTCTTACATCAATTTACGTTGAGTGCTTAATTTCATATGCATGGCGCATAGGCTCACATGTATGTATGTATGTGTGTACGTATTTATGTATAATCATTCATCACGTTGGTTTGTCAGCATTTAAGGTATCGTTTCCTATGGAGGAAGTACAAAACGACTCATCCACTCCACAGTTTTTGGCATGTTTTTAGCTAACGTGACCCACGAAGCAGATGAATTATCTTAACTGTTTACATAAGTCTATATTTTCGTATCTGTTGAGAATGCTGATTTCTTATCTATTGTCTGGTCTAACAAATATTTGCTTAAATCGTGCTGATTAGCTTGAGACCTCCATGGAGTTAAATAGACATGATTTTTAACGTTGCGTATACGCAATGTGGCGCAGCATGCAAAGCTGATACAGAAAAGAGCCTACGCTCTCTCACTCCCACTCTCCCCTCTCTCTCTCTCTCTCTCCCTCTCTCTCTCTCTCTTTGTTTCTCCTTGCAGCTCGCAGAGCCTCATTTATTATTTGTTTGCTGTACATTTTGGTGGGGTCACATTTGAGGCGTGGGCGTTACTAGAAACTGTTACAAGGTTGTGTCAGCAATTGACAACTTATCAACACGTCCCCCGCCGCCACTCTGACAAGAGCTGCTACATTCTTAGTGCTTGTTAAATTTCGTCTTGTGGCAAAGTGTTTAGCAATTTTCTGTCGTTTTTTTTTTGTAGTCTTTTTGTTTTTGTTTTCAAGTATCTGCAGCCACAAATTGACCGGAGGCAGCGGTCCGAATTGCGTTCTTAACCCCAATCGGACGTGGACTGCCATGTGGCAACAGATTTAGCACTCTGCTAAGTTTTATACTTCTCTCGTCTTTTACTTTTTCATCTTTGTTGTCTTTTCTTTGCTATGCTATTTTTTGCGAGTTGATACATGTAAAAAACTGAACAAAAACTTAGCCGGGCCTTTGCCCGGCAATGCTTGCCAAATGATTTTTCTTATTTATAAATGCGCCATTAGCTGGCTGTGTATATGTGTGTGAGTGTGTGTTTGTGTGTGCTGTTTGCTGTTTGCTCTGCGAGTGTTAAGTGTAAATGAAATATGTTGCCACTACAGTGGTAATTGGGCTAAGATTACGTGGTCGGGCTTGAAGTACAACAATCAACAGCAGCAGCATCCCACACTTTGAGCCACTTTATCAATGACCTTGGTGTGCACACCCACATCGAATCAAATTTTGTACACCAATTGCTGGTTATTAAATTCAATTCAATTTTCCATCTGTTGCAGATCCTACAAAACTTGGGCAAAGTTGATCGCACTGCAGATGAGATCTTTGATGATCATTTGAATAACTTTAATCGCCAACAAACAAATGCCAACAAACTACAAAAAGAGTTCAATAACTACATAAGATGCATACGCGGTAAGTCGTGCAAATATTCAAATCTTCATAGTCAAGTATATAAATAATTATATATATTAATCTAATTGACAGCCGCACAAACCGCCTCAAAGTCGCTAATGGATGCTGTTGTCGAAATCTATGAGCCACAGTGGAGCGGCTATGATGCATTGCAAGCACAAACTGCCGCCTCGGAGAGCTTGTGGCTGGACTTTGCACATAAATTGGGTGATCAGGTGCTGATACCGCTCAACACATACAGCGGCCAGTTTCCCGAGATGAAGAAGAAGGTGGAGAAACGCAATCGCAAGCTCATCGACTACGATGGCCAGCGTCATTCGTTCCAGAATCTGCAGGCCAATGCCAATAAGCGCAAGGATGATGTTAAGGTAACTTAAATATATTTTTATATTTAACTGACAACTGTTTCTTTACTCATAAAATGTAATTGTAGCTTACCAAAGGTCGTGAGCAATTGGAGGAGGCTCGTCGCACCTACGAAATATTGAATACGGAACTGCACGATGAGCTGCCCGCCCTCTACGATTCGAGAATATTGTTTTTGGTTACCAATTTGCAGACACTGTTCGCCACGGAACAAGTATTCCACAATGAAACGGCCAAGGTAATAATAATAATAATAATATGGTTATTTTATATACGCACTAAAGTTATTGTTTTCAATTTGATAGATCTATGCAGAACTTGAGGCAATTGTTGATAAGCTAGCCACAGAATCGCAACGTGGCTCAAATACGCTGCGCAAACAAACAAGTAAGCAGTTGGCTTTAGAATGTCTATTAATATTTTATATATATATATGTTTATAATATTCCCCTCATAGTAAATGCCATTAAGACTTCGAGTCCAGTGCAGTCGCCAGTGAATAAGTTGAATAATGCAAATGCCAACAACAGCAACTATCAAAATCAGATAACCACAAACGGTGGCTCCAGTCTGGCCAACAGTCGTAAGTAGCAGATGCCCCAATAGGTTTTATGGATACACTTGCTATCTGTGCTGAACCTATTTTCGTTTCTTTTAATTATTAATTCTTTGATATTTATGAAATTTTACGCATTTACGTTTTTTATTTCGTTTATTTTTTCGCTTTTTCCCCTCTATTTTTGATTGATTAAAACACAAAAAATAAAAATTATAAATTGCTCAAAACTGTAAAAAAAATTGCATTACACATCGTCAAAGTGTAAAAAATTTTCCCAATTCGTAATTTTATGTATAAAATCCCCCGCAAAAAAGAACTCAATATTATACACAATATATAATATATATGTATATTTTTCATATATTATCCTATTATGCACCTATATTATATTTTGTATGCAAAATTTTAATACGAATGATTTTTTTTTTAGTTTTTGGCAATTTATAAATATTTTTTAGTTGTCGCCAACTAATTTTGTTAACTTTTTGTTAAAATTATAGCATAAATATGTAACAAACATTCCATTTGCTAAGGGACTTTCAAATAACGAAATTATTTTCTATTGTATTTTGTACAAAGCCTGTAAATACATATATACAAATGGAATATTTATTTAAAACGGTCTGGTCTATAATTTATTCGATTTATTTTTATGCAAGAGGCAAAATTCGAAAATGTTAGATTAGGTTTTGCAGACAAATGTGGCCCAAAACAAATGGAATGTTGCATGTTTGATGCTTTTTCTTTGAAATCTGACAAAGTCTATCAAGTATCTATTAAAGTACCCTTAACAAAAATGCATGTGTTGAGTTATATATATATATTTTTACTTTTTTCTCTTTTTTATGAATTAAAATGTATTGTTTTTGTTGGAATGATGCTAACACCCTAAAAATATAATTAACAACAACAACAACAAAAAATACCACACATTTATAATAAAATAAAACAAACAAACATACAACCAAATCAAATATCAACGTATAAAACAATACCAAAAAAACACATACATATAAATATAAATAAAAACCAAAAACAAATAGCATCATCCACAAGCTCGTCAATGCTTGAGCCACGATTTGATTCAGTTTCTTCAACGCCAGAGCCGACGCCAGAGTCGGCACAGCTTTCAGAGGCGCCACACAGCCCGCAGCTAGAGACAGCCACAGCAGCAGCAGCAGCAACAAATGGCACCACAACAACAACAACAACGAAGATGGTGGAGAGCATTGATTTGGGCAGCCCGAATGCGAATACAACGCTAACAACTACAACAACCAAGACAGAGGGAACAACAACCAGTGAGGGAACAACAGATGTTAAAGAAACAACAACCACAACAATCACAAAAACAACAACAGCAGCAGATGTGACCACATTAAATGGCAACAACAATGAAATGGCAGCAAATGAAGCGGGAGAAGCAGCAGCAGCAACGACAGCAGCAGCCGCACCACCCACCATTAATACCACCAGCATCAACAGCACCACAATCGCAGCCAAAGAGCCGGGCAAGCAGCCGAAAGAGCTGCCGGATGGTGGTCAATCGAATGCCAATGGCAATCCGAGTTCACTCGAGGAGCATAAACAAAAGAAATTAGGTAAAGAAACGACAACAATAAACACAAATACATCGCACTCAGTTATTACTACAGATACAGAAACAGTTAGCCGTAGCAAAAATCAATTAGTTAATAGCCAAACTGTTGTTAATAAACATCCTAATAAAAATCCCTTCGACGATGATGACGAATGCATCTACGAAGTGCCCATGGGTGAGTACGATCGATACTCGAAAAATTATGAAAAAAATATGGGTCTGTCTGTGCATTACTCTATATCTCTCTATCTCTCTCTCTCTATATATATATATATTATATATATATATATATATATATATTAATGTATGTATATATCACTTGTGTGTCTGTCTGTGGCCAACACCAATTCACTGAATAATTAATTATATAAACGTCTCTGTAATTTACTTATCTATCGCGTCAAATTGGGGTATCTGATTTGCGCCGGATCCAGCCAGTCAATATTGTATATTGTTTCAATTAAAGCTTCAGTTTCTGTTATATGATGTCTGTATCTGTATTTGTATTGTTAACCGCAAATTTGTAATACAATGGACCAAAAAGCATGTGCGCGTTTCAAGGATATCTAAATATGTATATTTTATACTACTTATGGGTCGATTCTTTGGCACTCATCCAGCCGATTGAGTCCTTAATTTGCGGTGCCTTCTCATTTGAATCATTACGAAGCATACAAATCAAGTTGAATTTCAAAGTAAACAGTGTAGTCGAAACTTAAAAAAAACGGCTAAAATTAAAAAATTTGTATTGGAACTTTTTTGACAGACAAAATTGTTCACTTTGAAATGCACTTCTTTCGTTCCTTCTGTAAGGAAGCACATCAATTCATACAACAATTTCATGCATTGTTTTTATTCTTATATACTTTGCTTATACTTACATATATATCGTTATCATTCAAAATGCAGTTGGGCTATATACATATGAATTATAGTAACTTCACACACATGCATATTTTATTATATATTTTCGTAGCAATTATTTGGTAATTACTGGTTGCAGGTGGCTAAAGCAAGTATATTGTAGGTTTTTAATGTTAAGTCGTCCTTCACTCATTTGATCACCATCACCATTTCAAAATAAAAACACTGCTTGCACGTTCGCTGCTTAACTTGTGTATTGTATTCTCGATGGAGCTGTTGCCGACGAAATACTACCAAAAAGCTACCACCTATTAAAAACCGACTAACCCATGCAGGCTGCGAAGTTTTATATATTTATGAACGAACAACACGTATTAACAGAAAGTTCTGTTCCTGCTTTGCGTTTTTTGTGCACTAAAAATTGAGTTATGCATATCTATATATATATATATTTTTGATGCACATGTTAAACTATAAATAATAAATATTCTGATTGATTTGATTTGAGTGAATTCACCTTTAAAATTGAACTGGCATTTTATTCATAGATGCCAACACCGCTGATTTGCCACCTGGTGTGCTATATCGCGTGAAAGCGACCTATGGCTATGTCAAGGAGGATGTCGATGAGCTCAGCTTTGAAATTGGCGATACCATACGTGTCATTGAGTACGACGATCCCGAGGATCAGGTAAAACTATTTTCGTTACACACACTCACACAGCTGCTGTTTGCCAAGAATAATATTTATCCCATTTATGTTATACGCATGCGCTAGTTGCCCCTCTAAGTGCTATGTGATAAGAATTTCACTACATGTTTGTATTGAATGCAGTTTTTTATTAACAATTTACAGGAGGAGGGATGGCTAATGGGTCAAAAGGAGGGCACAACCGAGAAGGGACTGTTTCCGGCCAACTTTACGCGTCCCATTTGAACGGCTGACGCGGCGACGATGACGGAATAAATGCAACAACTAAAACAACATAAAAGAACAACACCAACTACCAAGAATAAGAACACCAACTTCAACCCCCTATTTTTGTTATACTATTATATACCACAATACATTTTACATTTTACATACATTATACAAATTATTATGAACGAACTTAAAACCTTTCGGCCAAATTTATACAGAGCGCTGCGACAATTTTTATTTTTTGTGTCCATATGAAATTGTGACCTTTTGTCAAATTTATTGTTTGGATAAATTTTAATATGTAATTTGTATTCGTTTGCAATAAACAGTCTTGTATTTGTTAAAGCAGTGCTTCCAAACATTATTATAATTATTATAACTATTATTATTGTTGAGAAATGATTGCACACAAAAAAAATTTTGAAAATGTTTCATGAATATTATTTTCCTAGTTGTAAGCTTAATCAAAACACAAAAACAAAAACAAAACATAAACAAATCTAAAATCATAAAACATACGCATACACATATATATATATTATTTGTTAAATCTATTATTGTGCTCATAATTAATACGAACAAAATGTATCTAATTTGTAATTTGTTAAAATCAAAAGGCAAAGACGAACAATTTAACGCATATCACTCAATTGGAATTGTGTTTCAAACATGTTTCAATCGAGAGAAAGAAAACCTTTTGTATATGTATTTTGCAAAACATGTAGTACGAGTTTTTTATAGTCAATTGAGAGTTTTGGAGTGAAAAATGGACACCAGAAATTACCTTTTTTGGCATTTCATTGGTGTATCGGAAAATACGACATAAAATTGTTTTTATTCAATTATAAACTAAAATATAATTTGTAGCTGTTATTTAGTTGAAGAAACCGAGTGAAACTCTCGAAATAAATAGCTAGCGCCAGCTTTACAACATTGAGAACAAGCCAATAGTCACTAACAGATCCATTCATTTATATTATTTTTTGTTTAACAAATCGAATAGATTGATATCCAGTTTGAAGCTTGTTTACCAATTCGAAACGAAAAATAACAGAAACATAATACATAATATTGTTTTTGAATTCTGTACTGTAATATTATTTAATTAATTTAAACATTTATTTATCGCATGAACATATTGAACAAATGATAATAATTTACAGAAAATCAAATAAAACATAGATTAAATAAAAACCAACCATTGAGATTTTGATCTTGTGAAATCAGTTGTATAATCAGAAACTTGTGGTATTTATTTCCATTGCAAAACAGAAAAACGCCTTAATTTTAAAATATCTGCCATTAACAGACTTTGAATTATAACATGTCCCCAAAATAACAGCTGTTGTTAACATCGATTACAAATCTATCGATGGGATATGAATAATTGTTGAAGAAGTGCTGGCCACACCGATAATACTGCACGAAGTATGTACATACAATCATTTTGGGCAACCCTACGTAGAATTCTTTAGGAAGCCCTGACAAATGTGAAAGTATGACGTCAAAAATTCTGCGCAGTCGAAATTGCGCACACTTAACGCCACCTTGTAAATTTCTTGCATTCATGCTCCTATGTCGGTGACTCTTTCGTGTGTGTTGGTGTTGCGTTAATAAAAAAGTGTAAATACTTAAGAAAATTAAGAGTTGACAAAGCGAAAAAGTCATTACGGGCTGTACGTCAACGTTAAACGAACAATGCAAAATCAAATATGTTGTGAGTCTCAAACGATTATCGACACACCGACCGCAAAAATCCAGCAACAGCAGCCCAGCAGTCCGCAAATCCCAGCCCAACTTGCATCGAAATAGTTTTAAAATTTTCGGCCTATTCGTGTAGCCGTAATTTGACGCTGAAATCGTGACGATAGCCATAAAGGATTGTTCAGAATTGTTCAACAAATTGGCGTGCAAGAATCGACAAATTTTTTTAGCCAACAATTTTTTCATGTTCGTTTTTGCCTCGCCCTCGCTCTGTGTGTATAGCAGTGCGCGTGTGTGTATAGAGGTGCGAGCGAAACAGCTATAGAGAGCTACAGGGCACTATCTATCTATCATATCAGTGATATCTGCTGTATGTATTATTTGCATTTTGCATTTATGCGCTTATTTTGAGATGTGATCAGTGTGTACATATCACAATGTAAATTAATTGTGCATTATGTGTATTATTTATTCGCAATCTGCATTGCGTTGGCATATGCCAAATGCAATTGGCAGCGATTTACACAGCCAAAATTAGCGGTGACAACACTGCACAATACAGCGCACTGCTTGCCCCAGAGCCCCTGAGCAGCTTATTTTTGGCATTATTTAGCACATTTTGCCTTTGCCAAAACGGACAGTAAATTCTATACAATTGTTGGATGAACGTACAAAAATGCAGTGGGAGAGAGCTAAAAAAAACGTTAATATTTTTGTGCCCGCCCGTATAAGGCATATATACATATATATAAATACATATATACATATATATATATGCATATATATATATGTATATATATATATATATTTATAAATATTCAAAAAAAAAAAAAAAACACCGTCCGCATCAGTGCACCCTGTTAAAATAGTCATGTTCGTTTTTTTTTCTTCAAAGCACACAATTGTTGAAGGCAGGCAGAGTTTAGGAGTCTTCTGACTGTTGAGTGGGGTGCGTGGGTGGATTTTACTGCGGCTGCTGTTGCTGTTGCTCCTCCATACATATATAGAATATATGAAGTGTTTATTCATTCTAAACGTTCTCTTTTTTTCATTGCAGTTCCACTGCATACCGGAAAATAAACAAATACAAGAAGCATAAAGTATGCGGAAAATTAAATACAAAAGGAGCATTTAAGTGTTGCGTGTGAAAGTAAAGCAAAAGCGAAGAGAAAAAGAGGAGCAAAAGAAAGCGAGAAAATAAGCGTTTTGTGTGCTTGTCGTCAAACAAAAATTTTATGTTAAAATTACTAATACAAATCTTCGTTGCATTTATAAACTGATAAAACTAAAAACACACACCGCATACAGTGGGATAAAACGACAAGATTGCAAAAAAACAAATACCCAACAACTTGACAACTTGTAAATGCACCAGTTAATAATAATTATAAATAATTATATATACATGCATATGTAACCAACTACACACGTTCCTTAAAACTAATGTTTTCCAAACGCCGCAACTAAATCAAACGATAAACTGATAAAACCGACACATCGTAAAGCAACGGAAACATGACCTCATAAAAGCATAACCACATAGGAATTATACATAAATACATACATACATACATACAAACAAAACATACATAAATACTACTTACATGCATAAATTATATATCCAAAACGACACCGATTTCAAATAAACTGCAGCAGGGAAACAATACGACAAACAGCAAAGAATAGAAGATCAAAACATTTTTCTTATTCAAAATTTAGAGCTAGTGAACATATAACGACCACACAGATTTATTTGATTAACATACATTAACAAGAAGAAAAGCGGAACAACAGAAGAGCAGAAGCACGTTTGGATAATCATCTCGTCCGTCATAAACTGCAACGTCGTCGACTATTTACAATTAGGTTTATTCATGTCTCCCATCCGAACACAACACGACCGATGGATTGATGCGTAAGTAAATACATATATAAGATAAATACATGTATACAGTGATCTCTCGTTAATTGCAACTACAACTCACTTGAACTGTTCAGTAAATAAAAATTAATTTTGATTATCAGTTAGATTTTATTTTTTTTTACGTATCTTGAATAATGTTATGTTTTTGAATGAAATATGTCCAGTCAGTAACCGAAGCTCTCTAATTAACGAGTAAGAAATGTAAAGTTTCTTCCATATTCCCTTTACGCTTAAGTTTTGCATATTATGGTCCACTTTCCGTGTGCCTGCCTGATAAGAGGTATGAATAATACTGCGGATTAACTGAATGCAATCAGCTATTCTGATGGCCTCCTGCTCACCCCAAAGTGTGCTTTATGTAGTGTGTGGGTGGCTGGGGCAAGTTTATTTGGGCAGGGAACTTGCGACAAACGCAACCTGTTGAAAGTACGATTTGTTTGCTTGCTCTCTATCTCTCTTTGTCGGGTTTTGGCGTCCGTTTTAGTGGGTTAGGATCAACTGTGTATAGAGAAATGTAGAAATCTTGAACTTTTTTAACGACCTGCAGTTGCTTGATGCCAAGTAGATACCTTATCAAGATGTTACCGGATTCATGTAGCAATTTAAGAGTTTATCTCTGTTTCCTTATCTGACCCGTGCTACTGTCAGACTGTCGCTGACGAGCAAGATAATCATCTCACCCACATATTTTCTAAGTTGACTTTGATTTAAATATATAGTATTTAATGCTTTAAGCTATTAGTATACACGCCATTATACTCTGTTCCCAAATCGAATCTTTCATTTGTAATATATTTATGTCCACACAAACCACAAGCTCAACTCTTTGTAAAAAAAACCACAAAATATGAAACTAGATTAAAAATAAATATAATGATTATATAATGACTGGGAGTTCAGTTATGAAAAACCTCTCTTCAGCATAAGGACATATAGCTTAAGCTCTATACAAATTAGCATTGTGCTGATCACTCAGTTTGCTTGTGATCCAATGAGAGGAAACGAGCAAAGCGAGGCCAATATGTGGAAAATAGAATTCGCACTTTCTTGTTAGAGTTCTGTTTTGCGCTAGTTTGACAAATTTATAAGGTACTGTTAATTGCATTTTCTGACTTAGCTGCAGTGACAAATCGTTTTCTTGTGGTTGAAAATTAATATAAATTTATGAACCTCCACACATCTAGACTTCTAATCCGCTTATTAATCTTTCAAATTTACATATTTTCTTCCAATTTTTTTTCATTTACAGATATTTATAAAGAGCTGGAATACTACGTGAATAAATTTGTACTCGTCATTGACAAAGAGATACGTCAAAGTCTGTTTAAGAATATGGTCATCACAGTACTGAGAATCGTTAACGGAATAGAATAGACAAACAAGAGAGAGAGAGAGATCCCTTAAGGGAGTGGAGTGTAAGCAATAGAGCCAAAGAGAGCCACAGTGTCGTAGGAAACAGCGAGGAACGCCAAAGTACAAATGCTCACGAGCAAATAAGTAAATTGAAATTAAAAACATTCAACAATTATATAGGACAAACAACTAGACAACAACAACACTAACGCAAGCCTAAAGCACGCCTGTATGAGACAAAATACAAAAACAACAACACCAAAATCGAACTAATTTAGATCAAGTGGGGACGCAACTACCAGAGCAGCAGGATAATCCGGCAACTGAAAGATATACGCACGTCACGGAGCGTAGCACAGGATCTGCAGTACGCGTAAGCGTCCTTAAATCCAGTTAGCATGGAGTGCTGTTTATCGGAAGAAGCCAAGGAACAAAAGCGGATCAATCAGGAAATCGAGAAACAGCTGCGCCGCGACAAGCGAGATGCGCGACGTGAGCTCAAGCTCCTCCTACTGGGTGCGTATCCTCTCGATTAAATAATGCTGTGCATATTTAAGTCGCAAACATTATGCATTATTGCCAAACATTATATTATTGCTAATTAGCACTCGTCAGGTGCGGTGTTTGTGGTGCTTATTGTGCTTTCTTATTAACATCATATTTGATTTTCCCTTATCCTCTGCAGGCACGGGCGAGTCCGGCAAATCAACGTTCATCAAACAGATGCGTATTATACACGGCAGCGGGTACTCGGACGATGACAAACGTGGATACATTAAACTGGTTTTCCAAAACATATTCATGGCCATGCAGTCCATGATCAAAGCCATGGATATGCTCAAAATATCATATGGTGTTGGCGAGCATAACGTAAGTATTATTAACAAAAAAAAGAGCATTGATTGTTTCGACATGATTTTCTAACTGGAGCTTGTGTTTTGCAGGGACTTGCTGATCTGGTGATGAGCATTGACTATGAAACAGTGACAACATTTGATGATCCATATTTGAATGCCATAAAAACGCTTTGGTCCGATGCTGGCATACAGGAATGTTACGATCGCCGAAGAGAATATCAGTTGACAGATTCCGCTAAATAGTGAGTTACTCGTTGGATATGGCTTATTTCCACAGCTAAATGATGTTAGACAACAGAGGCGACAACAAAAATAATTAACATTTTTCTTATAAACAATGATTAATTCGATGTACTAAACTTGATTTCAATTTTGTATATATATATATATATATATAATGTATAGTTATCTGATGGATCTCGATCGTGTGGCTCAACCTGACTATTTACCCACTGAGCAAGACATTTTAAGAGTTCGTGTGCCGACAACGGGGATCATTGAGTATCCCTTTGACTTAGAAGAGATCAGATTTAGGTAGCTACAACGTTTCAAATATTTTTGTCTTGCATGTGTCTAATATGTTTCTTGGTTATTGACTATTTTTTTTTAAATTGTTTAACTGTTTTTATATTTAACCATCAAAATTTGTGGTCTTTCAACAAACAAATCATATCATTTATTATATGTTAAGCTTGCTTAAATTATAAAACGGTTTCGGTATATTTAGAACAGACTCAGAGCGGGTTTTCAGACTGACAGAATTAAACAGACTGTTTGTAAGATGATATATAGATGAGCATGTTCCCTACTAAATCATTTTTAATTCTTCCAATTAGCTACCTTAACAAGTGGAATGTACCCGACAAGTGGAATATACCAGTATGACTTTAAAATAACTGATATTTTCTTTTGATATATAAATCGTAACTATCTGAATATGCAATGCGTAATCGGCTCTAACTTGAGTAAAACCGCCAGAACTGTAGCCTTCGAAAAGTAACCCAAATTGTGTATATAAAAACAACTTTATAATTATAACGCTGTGCATATATCATTCGATGTCTTCATATTGATTGGTTTAGCTTTTTGCTTAATTTTCAATTCACATAATTTTTGCTTGGTTGTAGTTAGCTGATATTTAACCAAAATAATAATTCATTGTTTTATTAATCAATATTTGTAATATGCAGAATGGTTGATGTCGGCGGTCAGCGTTCGGAGCGAAGAAAGTGGATTCATTGCTTTGAGAATGTTACCTCAATAATCTTTTTGGTAGCGCTATCTGAATACGATCAAATTTTGTTTGAATCTGATAATGAGGTAAGTTTGAATTAATTTTTGTTATTCCCATCAATATAATTTTTCATGATATTTTTTTAGAACCGCATGGAGGAATCAAAAGCTTTATTTAGAACTATTATAACATACCCGTGGTTCCAAAATTCATCAGTTATTCTATTTCTTAACAAGAAAGATTTGTTAGAGGAGAAAATAATGTATTCGCATTTGGTGGACTATTTTCCTGAATACGATGGTGAGTACTCTCGTTGGGTTTCTTCGATTAATCGGGAAATTGCCTTCACCTATTATATTGCTAATGCTATTGCTATTGCTAGTTTTGTAATTGTGCTAGTTGTAAACATATCCCAATTCTGTTGATAACAGGTCCACAGCGAGATGCAATAGCAGCCCGTGAATTCATACTGCGCATGTTTGTAGACTTAAATCCAGATTCCGAAAAGATTATCTATTCTCATTTCACCTGTGCTACGGGTAAGTAATTCATCAAATGTTTATGTAAATAGCGTGTATGCCTTTGCCGACTTTAAATGATTCTAAGTATTATTCGGGATAAGACAATTTGTAACATGATTTGCTTTTGCCGCACTGCCATTTTAGTTAGGCGCTAGTCGGAGCCTAAACAACATTTTGGGAGTGAACAAATTTTGCGAGCATAAAGAGAACATAATTGAACGCATTGTGTGTCTAAAATTCGGGAGCTTTTAAATAAGACTTGCAACATAGCTGAGACTCGTAACATATTCCGCTTTTGTAAACCCACACGTTCAACCCAGAAATCCCTAACCGCATACTGAGATACATACTCAATTATTGTATTGCCCTAAAATATGTATCCTTAATTTTGATTTAAATGAAAATATAGAGTACTGTGGAATTGTTTGTTTTAATATTATTTTTTTCGTGCCTAAGCAATCCTTACTGAAAGTATTGTAAGTTTAAGAATCGGGAGCTGTTGAATCTAATATTAAATAAGGCTTTAATGCATAGGAATAATGCGGTAATGGTTTTTACTATTGTGAGATACTTTTGTTGTGTATTTTTAAACATATGAAACTGACTAAATCGAAAATATCTTTTTACTTTCTACTTTAGATACTGAAAATATAAGGTTTGTGTTTGCAGCTGTAAAGGACACGATTCTGCAATCCAATCTTAAGGAATACAATTTGGTCTAAACTGGATTTGGATCAGAAAACTATTTTTGTGATTTTTATTATACATATATATACATAATGTGTATGTATATATATATATTAATATATATATACATATATATTTATATATATAAACATTCATAATTCCTTTTTCGCATATTAATTAAAAACAAAACACAGAAAGAAATAAAAAACTAATACTGTTTGCCGAAGATTAAGCGTAAATTAGACCCAAACACAAATTTCTTAAATTGTAACATCAACAGAAAATTGTAGCATAAATTATACTGAAACTGATGAAAAACTTTATAATAATGATAAAGCGATTGATGTATACATTTTAATTTGTGTGGAATGAAAAAGAAAACAAAAACTTCTGATATCACGTACGAGTAAAGTAATAATAATATTTAAAATTCATTATTATAGAACTTTTGTAATAAAATTGATAGAAAAAATGAAAAAAAAAAACAAAGATAATAAAATAAACAACTAAAATTTAATCAAAAGCTTAAAAGGAACAACAAATGGAAACAATTTTTGTCGTACTGAAGCATAAAATTCTACTGAAACCAATCACGAGAAGAAAAAAAAATGTTACTTATAAACAAAATAGTAATTTTGCTAAAACAATAAATATTTGAAGTTTCTCATAATAATTTAAAAATCACAACAACAACAACAAAAACTGTAAGCCAACAACAACAAGAAATGAAACGCAGAAAAAATATTGTATTTTTTTTTTAAAGCTAAAAGCGTAAATATTGCAAATATTGTTTACTGAAATATTTATATACAAACGAGCCCATAATATGTGTATATATATACATACATACAAACAAACAAACATACATATACATGCATACCACATACATACATGCATAAGTACATGGACAACTATGTAATGTCTTAAGAACACTGAACTAATTTGTATTGCGAGAAAGAATCAGAGTTAAATGTAAATTACAAATCCTACTAACAAACGAAATCGCACACACACCCAATCACACAAAAGGGATACGATTATGAAAGTGATGATTAAGTACTATATAATGTAATAATAATAACTAAAACAAACAAACAAAATATTAAACGCATTTGTGTTGTACAAATGACGTCCAGATTACATCGTATCTATAATTAATTAACACGTGTGTTTGTAAAATGTTTTCATAGCTGCAGCATAACCATAATTAGCGACAGCAACAACAGTCATAATCATCAATATTTAAACAAATTAAAACCTATATGTTATACATACATACAACTACATAAGAACCTACTATCATATGCAGCTCACCCGGCCGCCATCAATCAATTTTCCATCAACTAAAATATAATAATTAAAAAGAAAACAAAAATGAATATCATAAATCATGATGTTAACAATTGTAACATTTCAAAGGAGCAAATTTGTAAGGAATGTAGCTTGATTTTTTTCAAATAATATTTTTAATATACTTATATTAATTATTATTTTGTTAGTCTGTTTTGCTTATGTTATAGACAATGTTTTGTTTTTGTTTTTAAATTTTAGTATAATTTAATCTACAGCTATAGAATGTTAGTAAAGTAACAAAACAAACCGCACATTTACAAAAAAAAATAATAATAATTATAATAAACATACAAACATAAACAACAACACCAACAACAAAACAAAACTATTTATGTAAAAATCCAAATAAACACAATTTTACTCTATGTATATGTGGTTAAAAATGAAAAAAAAACGCACACATACATACATACATGTATATGTAAAATAAAAATGAATCAAACTTTGTTTTTTATAATTATATATATTTTAAACATTTTATAGAAACTAACATTTGTTTTACCACTTGAACTCATTTTTCAAGTAAGCGGGCGAGGGGTAAACAAAGTAAAGAGTAAGGAAAAATGTTTATTTCGAAACTAAACTTTTTGGCTGCTTATCTTTTATTTGTTTCTGCTGTTTTGTCAGTAAACTTCCTTTTCTGAGCATCTCTCTCAAATCTCAAATCATTCATACTCAATCTTTGATATGAAGAATATTTTCTGTTGCAATTATGAAGGATTATAGATACATATGATTACTTTTATTTTTGAAACATCATTGACATCAATATCCATTTGCCATCAACCGTATAACTCCGCCGTTTAAATTGTAATACGAATACGCATCTAGAATTTAAGTAAGATTCAACAGAGTGTTGTATAAAGCTTTAATCCACGTAAACCGAAGATATAGTAAATGAAATAACAAAATTTTTACAATTAAATTAAATTGATAAATTGATTAGCTTTTAAAAAGCTTAATTAAGTCAATAAATGTGTATTTATATAAGGCAAAAACATATGCGTACCGAATTTTTCGTTGTTTACACGAATTCAAGAAATGCTCGGCTAGCCGAAATTAAAAGCCCGAGCAGAACACATGTTTAGAAGACATATGCAGCTACTCTGATGATTATGGGTATATACACTTAGAACGGATCCTTAAGTTGGTATGTGATCTACAAGGATTTTAAAGGATAACTTAGAACAGAACCAAAATACCGAACTATACGAAATATAAACATTTTCGTTTTTTTTTTATATAAAGGCACATAGACTAGCGCCTCTTTCTGGTCAGAGACAGCCAACAAGTTTTACAACGGTTTAAGCAGAGGCGCTGTACATTTTCTATATGTATTACACACACTCTTACACACACACACACACACACACACACATACTTATATAGTTTTCCGTCCAATGAATTACATCGGTGAGCAGAAAAGTCTCCAGAATTTTGGTTGACATTGACCATATTCATTTCGCAGACAAATCCTTAGAGAAGAAGATGAATCCTTATTTGGGAAACATACCTTACATACGATAACTCAGTAATGCTTTAAGAGCTAATTTGTTAATTCTTTTGTTTCATAATGGGTTCGAAAAACAATTTGGCGGTTTCAACAAGAAATCTTAAGTTTTTGGCAAAAGCAAAATTCGTAATTTTGAACATAACGCATTGCAAGTGTATGTAGTAGTTTACATGAACTAGCATACCATATTGATAAAGATAAAAATCACGGAAAATAAACATACATACATAAAAGAAAAAAACATTTGGTTTAGTTAGCGTTTTGTGCCTTCTAGTGCTCATTAATTCCATGAAGAAGACCCAGGCAGAAACATAAAAATACAACTTATTTATAATTAAATAAAAAAAAACCAAAAAAAAAAACATAAAACAAAACATATATACTTAAGATGGAATCTTATGTTTTTATTTGATTGAAATTTAACTCTTTTCTTTTTAAGCTCGTATTGTTTTTTATTTAGAATTTTCAGTGAAAACATGTGTATGTGATTCATTGATTGTTGTTTGGGTAATTTTTTTTGAATGGATTAGTTGGCTCTTTTAAGTTGTGAAGTATTTGCAGTTTGTATGTAAATATTTAGCTTAACACAAGCTCAACATGAAGCTATAATAAATGAGCAACAAATTTGATATAAAATGGTTAAAGATCTAATATACTTAAGTATATGATAAATATACATACTTATGTATGTAAAAGTATGTACAAGTATTTTGTATTTTTATATACAAAATTTAAGAACTGCAGGCGAAAGGAACACACATAATAATACATTTCAATTGTATATGTTTGTATTCTTGTGTAAAGAAACACAAATCTCACTGAAATCAGTATAAATTTCGACAAATGGAAATCAATTCGATATTCGTGAGATAAAAACATTAAAAAAGAAAATGAAATAAATGTAATGAGTTTAGCTTAGTATTTACTAACGTAACTTTAAAATGTATTATGAGTTGTTGGGCACCTCGAAAAATTTGTTCTTTTTGGTGGTAGTCTTACTTACATATATACATATATGCATATGGAATAGATACCATATTTCATACAATGCTTGTAAAGCTACTAAACTAATTCATTACATAATAATAATAATACTAATTATAACAGTAACAACCACAACCAGAGTCTCTCTCCCTTCGACGTTAAAATTGATGTCAAACTAGGCTATACAAATAAACAATAGAAATGAAGAAAAACGAAATAATGATTATAATATTTCACATCTTTAGGCTACTTTATAAACTTTATATTGTAGATGTACTTGTGAGTTTGGTCTGACATGAAATGATGATGATGATGATTGAGAAATATTTTAACGTACATATTTCTACATACATATAAGCATAAGTACATACATACATCTAACATATAAATCAAGAAGCTAAAACATCCCCCACATAAAAATTGCATGCTTAGCTTAAGTCTTAAGGCAAACGCACGTCCTTAAATAAGTACGTACTATATATATATATGTATATTTATATATGCTATATAAATACATATATATATGTATATATACATATGTATATATACACACACACACACATGCAAACACCTGCATAATCACATAGATACAAATGATTGTATATTCAAGATTTCCATTGAGTGTAATATTTTCTCAACTTGTAGCATTTGAATTGATTGACTTTTTTATGGAAATTTACACAACAACAAAGTGTGAGGCTTGCACTCAATGAAAATTGCATATACATATATAAGTGCGAGTGTGTGGGTGTGTGTGTGTGTGTGTTGGCTCTACACATTTGTCATAGAAATCATATTAAAAAGATACAAGTACTAGACAAAGGATTGATTGTATTGAGGTGGCAATGGTAACTAAGAAATTTTTTAGATAAATAAAAAAAGAAAAAAAAAGAAACAAAAGAAAAAGTATCTATGTACACCTAAATATATATATTAAAGAAAAAACAATATAATATAAATAAAAATATATTAAAAGAAAAATGTTATTTTTATTTGAGTTGAAAAAAGAATTACTGCCGGGATTTCTAGCAAATATATTTAAACTTGGCCTATTGCTGAGGTTTGTAAGGGGGTGTGAGTGTGTCAGTGTGTGTGTGTTGCCTCTATGTACTCGTATACGGTTACAATTGGATTAGCAAACCCTCAATATAGTACAGAAATCAGCAGCACGCTAGACCTACAACAGACCGACAACTATGACACATTAGAGTGAACCAAGGAGAGCTCAACATATTTAGAGGTCATCGCTTCTGTTCGAGTTACAACATCTTTTAAGATAACAGTCTTGTGAGTGCCCAAAATAATAAGGATTATAAAAATCTAAAGCTCAAGCTAATTATTTGGAGATAATTCATACAAGAGATAATAACAAATCGATATCGAAACCAAAGATTTGGCCCATACTAAACACACTAATGTGTCTATATACACACATATGTGTGTAGTGTTTTCACCTTTGTATTCATTTTGTTGGTGTTCGGTCTTCCGCTAGACCAAGCTGTGAAGCCATACAGTTACCAAAATCAGCTTTCTTGCAATGAACTTGGGCATGGGTCGAGTTTCCTGAATCTGTTTTCACCTGCTGCGCGATTTGTGAGGCAGCCAGCCCAACCCCAACCTATATACTTGTAGGTGCGGATGTATCTGTGGTGCATGCGCCTTGTCTGCGTTCAGTGTCAAAGCCACGGTCAGCTTCACTATGAGGCGATTCAAGTGTCGACCAAATATGAAATGCTCGACGCAAATAGAGAACACAACGTTACGGACTCTCGTCGGGCAAACAACTTCTCGGCATTTGTCTAAAATAGTTCAAACACCTGGAATACAATCCAATAACAAAATCATCAACAATTCCAGGAAAAAATTCAATTAGTAGCTGCATAAAATCTCTACACTAAATTAGTTTCAGTCGTCACGGAGCTTAGTCCAAAAACTGCAGTAAGTGTCCTTAAATCCCGTTAGCATGGAGTGCTTATTATCGGAGGAAGCCAAGGAACAAAAGCGAATCAATCAGGAAATCGAGAAACAGCTGCGTCGTGATAAGAAAGATGCCAGACGTGAACTCAAGCTACTTCTACTAGGTGCGTATTATTTAGATACGATCAACAATATATCGACTTTATAAGATCAGAGATAACTTCAGCCATATTTTTAAGGGATGTAATCGTATACATAAATATTTTCTATAAATAATTAAAAGAGCTTGCACATGAATCTCTGACAAGCTTCAATTCTTCTGATTTCGCAAATATAAAATATTTTTCTCAGGCACTGGTGAATCTGGAAAATCGACCTTCATTAAACAGATGCGTATTATCCACGGTAGTGGTTATTCAGATGACGACAAGCGTGGTTATATTAAACTGGTGTTCCAAAACATATTCATGGCCATGCAGTCCATGATCAAAGCCATGGATATGCTCAAAATAGAATATGGTGGTCCAGAGATTCAAGTAAGCTCTACATGTATTTAAGATACTAAAGTGAATAACATAACATAATTAATTTTGATATAGGAATACGGTGAACTGGTGATGAGCATTGATTATGAATCGGTTACACGACTTGAGGATCCCTATTTAAATGGTATCAAAGGCCTCTGGGCCGATACTGGAATACAGGAGTGCTATGATCGCCGAAGAGAATATCAGTTGACAGATTCAGCTAAATAGTGAGTTAATAGTTAGATATTTGTGATATAAATGAATACAAGTTTATTTCCGTGCATGTAGTTATCTGAGCGATTTAGCGCGCATTGAACTGGAAGACTATTTGCCCACTGAGCAGGATATTCTGCGTGCTCGTGTTCCCACGACTGGAATACTTGAGTATCCCTTTGATTTGGACGGCATTGTTTTCAGGTATTTCTCTCTCAAAAAATGGTAGAGTCACTACTTTTCTCTATGCTTTTAGAATGGTTGACGTCGGAGGTCAGCGTTCAGAGAGAAGAAAGTGGATTCATTGCTTTGAAAATGTTACTTCTATTATATTTTTGGTGGCGCTATCTGAATACGATCAATGCTTGATGGAATCTGATGAGGTGTGTTTTATACGATTACTTCGGTTGTCTTTTGTTATGATAATTATTGAATATTTTTAGAATCGTATGGAAGAATCAAAGGCTTTATTTAAAACTATCATTACATACCCGTGGTTCCAAAACTCATCGATTATTCTCTTTATGAACAAGAAAGATTTGTTTGAAGAGAAAATAATGTATTCGCATATGGGTGACTATTTTCCAGAGTTCGATGGTAAGTATCGGCTTTATATGTAGTTGTATGAATTAATAATTTTGATTGCAGGTCCAAAACAGGACCATGCCACGGCTAAGCAATTTGTTCTCAAAAAATACTTGGCATGCAATCCAGATCCAGAGCGTCAGTGCTATTCGCATTTCACAACAGCCACAGGTTGAGTTCTAACCTTATTTCTTGCCAATCTGCCTATGCTTTAAACAAATATTATTGTGCTAAGCTGCTGTTGTCGTAGTATTGCTAGCTTGGTTTTCTTCTTATTATATATTAATATTTATTTGTTTGATATCGACGAACAGATACCGAAAACATCAAACTTGTGTTCTGCGCTGTCAAAGATACAATTATGCAAAATGCACTTAAGGAATTCAATTTGGGTTAAATGCTTTGAATTATCGAGCTACTGACATCAACTGTTAAACAACTAAAATGCCTTCGTATACGTATGATTTAATCTTTGTTTTATGAAATGTAGTTAAAATAAAATTCTAATAAAAATTCAATTGTTAACTAAGTGTAAAATTCTTTTATTTCAAAACTTATGTCTAAGCTAATTATTTAAATTTAACACCATTCACACATTCATTCATTTAGCTTGATTTGAACGTTCTAAATTTTTCCTTTTCATATTGTAAAAATTAATTATCACAATGAAATTCGATTTGTGTCTTGTGTTGCAAATTCAATTCAAAATGTGGCAACGCTTAGCAATGGCCAAAAAACTTAACATTGAAAAAAAAACCGAACGAAAATTTAACACGACTCGAGTATCTATCACATGCACATTCATAGTTCGAAACAATTGTAAATAACATTTCAAAATGATAATAAACACAAATATTGAATAGCTTAAATTAATGTCGATTCGCCCGTGTTATTTTGGCACTGATTGCATATTGCACACATTTTAAATGACCACAAAATCGCTAAGGTTGCGATCTGGTTGAACCATACTCGCAGGCAATAACTGCACCAGCTTGTTGAAAAGAAATGAGCGACGATTTTGTAGCTCACAACCGTATTCGGTGCGTGCGCGTTTCGTGCACGACGAGCCACTGGGACTGGACGCAGTCTCTGATATACCGGAAGTTGTGAGGCTCTCATTCGACTCCAGCGATATATTCTCGGCCGCTCCCAGTCCAATGTTATCGGTATTTTCCACTAAATAGATTACAAAGTTAGTCACATTCTAGAGAAAATTTGAAGAGAAAAATATACCTTTTATGTTTGCTGCATCAAATCCTGCAGTTTCAGCACACAACTCAGGCGTAACTCTTGGACTTGGAGCAGAGTCCTGGCAGCTGTCGTGCGACTTGAAAAGCAGCGAGGCTAACTTATGGAACTGCAATTAAAATAAAAAATAATAATTTGCACAAACGAACTAGAGCTTTAATTTATATTGATAACACTCACGTTAGTCAATTGCTCGGCATCGGTGTGATCAATAACGTCAGATACATGACGTCTGAGGTACTGCATCGCTTTCAATGGATCGGTGCGCGTCATTTCCTCATAGCGCAGCTTGCGCACCAAATAGCGACAGTGCTTCAATATCTCATCGCGTTTCGGCCTGTAATTGTAGCAGTTAGTTGAATATTATTTTTTAGAATTGGGCAAGCAGATGTTTACTTTTCTAAATAGAGCAGCCAGAAGTCATCCAAGCGCAGTTGCTGGTACTGAAATATGCCTGGATTGCCACCAAAGAGATAATGCGTCTTGTCTACCTCATCGTAGACCAACTGATGTGCATAGCGTGGACATGGCTCCATTGCACCATCACCATGGCTGGCACCCAAAAAATTGCTCGTATTAATCGAGTTCGCGTCCTGAGCACTGTGGCGGCAATAATAGATGCGTGACCACTTGTGCGTCCGCAATGAGTATACCCAAAAGGAGTTCGAGGCATCCGCATGGTGCACATCACGTCTGTCTTTTACCTTATTAAGGCTCTGCGCAATCACAAATATAAATTATATACTGACAATATAAATTATATATAAATTACATACCGAGAATATATAGATTTCATCGCGATCACAGTCAATGGTAGCGCGCAGTGTGTAACCCGACGATGGCTCAAATTTGGTCTCCGTGCTGGCCGTGGTGCCGAGATGTGAATTCTCCTTGTTCAACAGTGAGATGGCCTGGGAATCTACATCGTAAGTGAGCAGCTCATCGAGATCGTCCTTGCCACGCTGGCCACCGTAAATGTAAAGCTTTCGCTGTTTCTATTGAATACGAAATATAAATTTAAAATTACAATATATATTAGATCTAAAACCATATGGAATTACATTATGAAAGACCATGCAGTGCGTTATGCGTGATTTGATGGACATAACATCCGCCTGCGAAGCACTGGCATGATGACAATCCACGAGTATCTGTGTCCAGGTATTTGTCGCAATGTGATACGAGAAGAGGCCAGAGTATTCTGGCTCCGTTGAAGCCGTGGGGTTACGCGGCGTTAGTATTTTGCCACCGAACACATAAATCGTACGCTTGTCGGCATCAATGCACATCTGATGATCGTAGACGAGCTGCGGTCCACCCACTTGGCTGGTGTCATCACAGATTTGCATCCAATTGCCTGCACGCGTGTCGTACAAGTAGAAATCGCTCTTGATATAATCACTGGTGCGTATCGAATTATCCAGATAGCGGCCCAGCATGAAAATATTCTCGCTGACCGGATCAAAGATTAGTTTGTGACAGGAGCGCGGTGTGGGTCCATTAGACAACTCGGACCGCTCATAGAGCAGTGCCCATTCGTCTAGCTCTATGTCGAAGACCCACAAGTCGCTGAGATCCTGGTAGCCATCCCAGCCACCATACAAATATATAAGGCGTTTTTTGGAATCGACAACCAGCTGATGGCCGCCACGATTACCGGGCTTTCCATCACTTTCCGTGTACTTCATATGCCAGGAGTGCTTGTAGTCCTGCTTATTCAAATACTCATCCATTAGACCCTCTTCGATGCACTCGACAATAAAGCGCTCCGCACGCTCGAAATCGCCTTGAACAACCTGTGCGATGAGATTTAGAAAAATTAACTGAAGATCATTTAAATACTATATAATATAATTAACCAAATATTTGTGTAGTTCGCTTATAAGAGGATGCTCCAGGCGAACATTTGTCTGGGCCTGCAGCGACCCAAAGGCCTTCATATAGCCCTGCTGACGGAAGTGCTTGAGACACAGCTTGATGATCTCCGTTTCGCGCAGTGTATTGTAGCTCTTCATGCGGGCACATGTGTACATGGGATCATCCTGGCCATGCAGCTCGATGTACCAGATGCTAAAATTGAAGGATGGTCCCCACGACAACAATGGCACTATTTTCAGATAGAGTATGGGCAGATTCTCAGCGCCATCCTCAGTCATGCAGCGCAGATTGAATACTTCGGGTATATTGTCGTTTTTAAGACCACTGCAAATTAATTCAATCAATTTTAAGTTTTTAATCGAGAAATATACATATATAGTTATAAAAGTTAATTTATGGTATTATGAATTGTATTATAGTTTATAGAATTTCGGGATAAGCTAGGATGTGATTACTTACGCGTCTAGCAGCAGCACCATATGCTCATCTTCCAATCCGCCGAAAATGCGAAATTTCTTAATGTTGCAAACGTGCGATTTCTCAAATTTACCAAATTTGATCCTCTTGACGATGGCGGGTCGGCGCAGCTTCAACGTAAGAAACTGTGGTGGGCTATTTGTGTAGGCGGACCAGCGAGAGGTTTGATCGTTTGGGCAATCGACGAGTACGTTTCTAAAATGTATGAAATTAAAACTGTAAGAAGAAAAAAAGCAAAAAGCGAAAGCTGCGCAGTTGACAACAACAACAAATTACGAAATGGAACAACTTATGGGCGGGACGCGTCGTCAACACATGCAAATAAACAGTCAAACACACACACATCACATACACATGCATATATATATCACATGTGTGTGTCTGTGTTTAGTCATTTACAGTTAAATGAATAAAGCCTTCGTCATCTTACTCAGGCAAATAATTCGGCGAATAGCTGGAGTAGCGGTAAATCTCGAAGCCAAGTCGCTCGGAGAGCGTAAACGGTTTCTGCGTATTCGATCCGGGAACGATTGGCACAGCACCATATGAAATTGCCAGTGAACCATTGGAGCTGTCCGTTGGACTCGAGGTGGTAGTCGTGGACGAAGACATCCTTGTTTTGACTTGAACACTTGAAGTGCGGTAAAATATTATTGTTAATGTTTAAAGCTCAATTTTATTGCCGGCAATCCAAAACAACAAAATAACAATTATCGTGTTAGCTCTTAAGTTCTATTATGGCATTCACAGTGAGCGCTGACATAATGATGCTCAAATTGGCACTTAACGCTTATGCTCCACACTTGACGAAACTTAACGTTTGTTAGCTGTTATTGTAGCTGAATTTAAATGTTTCTTTAATCTATTTTTCATCTCTTGCATTGACCGTCACATCATGTTATATATCATTTTTAATTTAAAAAAAAAAACGACTGATTGACAACTTTTGTATCGCATTACCTACAATTAAACATTATTATTCACATTTTCATTCATTTATTTGATGAATAAAGGTACAACTTTTCTCGATTTATTTAAGTTTTTACTACATCACTAATTTTTGTGCCCAATAGCGTATGTTAATAATAAACTCAAATAAAATAAATTAAAACAACATTAAGTTGTATAACTTATTAATTATACATAAATATTAGCAGAACTATGCTAATGGAATATATTACAAGATCATAAATATTGAATACAGTCCGAATCGGAACATTTGTTACGTTCGCAATTTCTACTTGAATGAGTTGTCATTGCCACCACTAAACAAAACAAATCTACAAATCATTTAGGAAACATAATTCTTTACTTTGAATGGCGTGAGGAATTATATTATTACTATTAACTACCCAGTAATGACGATATTCTGCATATCGATGTTCGTAAATATCGCCCATCTCTAGCAAAAGTGTTGCATGGCATTTAGTATCGTTTGGCTGCGTTTTTTGTATTTACTTGAACTTTTGGCATTGTTCTCTTCTCTTATGTGTTGGGAGTTTCCAACCGGCGTCGTGCTTCTATTAATTTTCCCATTTTAAAATGTCCTTTGACGCAATACCTAAAGATCTGCGTGGTCTACGCGCATGTTTGGTTTGTTCTCTAGTCAAGGTAAGTTTAAAAAACACGAGTACACAAAAAATTGTTGGATGATTCCCATTTTGATTTGCAGACTTTTGATCAATTCGAGACGGATGGCTGTGAAAACTGTGAAGAGTTCCTGCGCATGAAGAACAACAAGGACAATGTGTACGATCATACGAGCAACAATTTCGATGGCATGATCGCACTGACAACACCCACCGACTCTTGGGTGGCCAAATGGCAGCGACTTGGTAAGAGTGCTTCAATTATATACAATATATATATATGTATTAACCAAATATGCTTTCAGCACGCTTTACTCGTGGCATCTATGCCATATCCGTGTCGGGCAACCTGCCACATTCGACGCTGCGCGATATGAAGAATCGCGGTATCGTCTACAAGACAAGAGATCGAAGTCAGCGCTAGAAATACGCATGCTTTTTTTGGCGTACAAAATATGTAGTTTATTTTTAAGTAATAACGAAACCACAAGCAAATATAGCTAGAATAAAATACAGTTTTAGGCAGACAGACAAGTGTCCCATTAATTGTCCAAGCTGCTCACACGCAAACCAACGCCACCGGCTGTCGTGACATGAACACCGAAACCGGCTGCCTCCAGCTCCTCCTTGAGCTTCCAGTAGACCTCATTGCATTCGTAGTTTTCGGGCAGTAAGACAATCGCATAGCCACCAGCACCGGCTCCCGTCAGTTTGGAGAAAAACCCGCGCTTAAACGCAATTGTAAAGATCTGCTCCAGTTTGGGATGTGAGACGCCAATGGCCTTCAGCAGATCGTTGTTGATCTGAAAGAGACGCTCGAGTTTTTCAAACTTTTGGCTATCATCTTGGGCATTGCCGAAGCTCTCGTAGAGCGGCACAGCGGCGTTGACCAGTTGCTCGCACGCCTGCCAAATGGCCTCGATCAACTGCGGAAACTCCTCGCCGAGGTGACGCACCTTGGCCACAATGTCCGCCGTGCTGCGACTGATCCGGCTATCCACCAGCAGAATGCTCAGCGGTTTCTGTATGCACAGCGCCTGGAAACCCTGTCCCTTGACGAACCGCAATATGCCGCCATAGGTGCAAACGGTGTTATCCACGCCAGATGGGGTGCCATGATTGACTCGCTCCGATTCATAAGCCCAATGCGAGATCAGAGCCAAGTTCTCCTCCTGCAAATAGCTGTTCTCATCAAAATGACCGGCCAGGATAAGAAAGGCGGCAGCCAGTGCAGCTCCATATGACGCCGAACTGCCCAGGCCAGCGCCCACATTTAGTTCCGTCTCCACTTGCACCTGGAAACCAGTTTGCAACGTGCGCTGATCACCGGGTGCCGACAGCACAGCGCCAGCGAGCAGATAATAAATCGACAGAAAAGCGCGCTGTGTGTGCTGTTTGGGTGTGGTGCCCATGGTGCGTTCCAGCTGCTTGGCCACCTCGGCTCGCACTTCTTCCATTAGCTTGGCGGTGCTCTCGAGCTTATCGCTTGGATATTTGTTCCGAAAATTGGCCACAAATGCATTGAACTCATTCAGCTCGATTTCTACGGTGCAGTTGAGTGCCTCCAGCTGAAAACTGGCCACCTGGCTGCCCGCTTGACTGCGCAGCTGCAGCTTGGTGCCCAGACCGACCACGGCGGCCAACGCTGGCTTCTGGTAGACAACGGCGTGCTCGCCATGCAGTATCACTTTGCCCGGAGAGTGCACCTGGAATTTCAGCATAGTTGTTGCTGTGGTTTTGTTAAGCTTAAGTTTTATCTTGATTTTGATAATTTGAATTTCAGATGTAGTTCATGCAGTTCACTTGCGTTTAGGTTCTCGCTTTATTTGTTAAATGTTATTTATGTAATGTTACGCGAAATTTGCGTTTTGTTTTATTCGTTTTTATTGTAGCTGCGTTCATCGGCTGTTTCCCTTTCACTTTCTTTGTTCAACTGTTTTCGGCTTCGATTGGTTGGCGTTTGGTTTGTCTGACGTTGTCTGCTTTGCTTTCCGCTCACACATACACACATTTATGCACACATACATACATATATGCTTATGTATATGTATATGTATTTACAGGTTTTGGACTCCACGGAATTCAGCAACTGGTTACGATTAGAGTTACTGCTGTTGTTGCACTTTCTCCCACTCGGCGGGCGTATATGACTTTTGCGAGAAAGCGTGTATTTCCTTTAGTTCTTCGGCAAGCGTTGTGTTAACTCTTCAAAATAAAATTGATATGATTCTTTTTTAGAAATATGCAAATATATTCAGTAGGTGATGTTATATTTACAATCTGTGCTTTTGCAGTAGTGCTTTTCCCTCGAACGCTTTGGATACGATTACAGCGCTGAATTTACCACCACATCCATCCGAGTCGTCGCACACTTGCACATATGTCGCATCAAGCTTCTCTTTGAGTTTATCTTCTAGATACTTAGCGCTGTATTTACTCATCTTTATTTTGTTTTTTCTTCTCTTGTTTTTAAGCGGCCAAGTGTGAGAAATCAATGCAGTCGCCAGCGGCAAATTTTCTAACTTAGAAGGTTTCTCCACGAGGCAAGTAGTACGTCATAGGTGGACCAGCTGCTAAGATAACCAGAACAGATTCCTCTTGCTTATACAAGAAGTGAATTAACGGAAAATATAATAGAAATGAGATATTTTTGTATTTATTTTAGTATGTTGGTTATAAAAGAGTTTTTAAATTATTTAATGCCTGCAAATTACTCTTTGTGACGTCGCAAATTGATGTTGTTTACGACGACGACCTTCATTATCGAATTTAATATATCGTTCTTAAAAACTATCGATAGTTGTTGTCAGTACCAATTTATCGGGCTACGCTCATTTCTAGGATAGCATAAACTGTGCGTGTTTGAAGCGCCAAAATTATTCGTTTTTCTCGTTGTTCTTTAATTAAAAGCCAAATATAATAATTAACACATAACAGAGAATAAGTGCAAATAGTTAAGGATTTTGTACTGGTTGTAGTCATGTCATTCTTTGGGGGCAATACATCGCTTGGCGCAACAAGCACGCCGGCTAAACGTAAGTAAAACTCCCAAATTCCTCAGGTGGAAATCGCATAGAAAGAGTGCATGTGTAATTGAAATATGTATTAATATGCCGGGAGTCATGCTCTCTTCGCAAGATAGCGTTCAGGTCCAGCTGTTGAGGGCAGTGTTAGCAGCTTTTGTACATCCTTCACGCTGTGCAGGCGAATTTCCATGGGATTGATACTGAAATATTTCACAATTTGGAGAAATTATGTTCAAAATGATTCGGTCCAATTTGTGTTAGTTGCTAACAATTGTTAAACATCAGGCATACTCACTCCTTTTTATGTATAATGTAGCCCACATATGCCACAACAGCCAGCAACAAAGCCACCAACAAAATAATCAATAACATAGTTGGACAGACAGAGATCTGCTGGTTTCCAGCTCTTAAAATGTACTGATGCTTGACAGCAGCTTGTTGAACACGGCTCTCTCGCACTGATAACATATGCTGCGCGGAAGCTGTGAGAAGCAGCAACAAACACTTCCAAATAGTGACCCCTTTGTATTTTTCTTATCTCTTTGGATTGATAGCGGGCGGCATGTTTGGTTCAGCATTTGGTGCCCCAACTACTGCTGCGGCGCCGGCTTTTGGTAGCACAATGTCTGCACCGCCGTTTGGTAGTGCACCCACTGCATTTGGTGGGGCGGCAACAGCTGCAGCACCTGGTACAGTGGGCGGTGGATTTGGTGGTTTTGGCACAGCAGCGCCGACAACTCAACCCGGTTTATTCGGCGGATCCGCCATCAGTCAGGCACCACCCGCATTTAGCGGTTTTGGACAGCTGCCAAGCACCAGCAGTGCCCCCGCTAGTGGGTTTTCAGGATTTGGAGCGACAACGACGACAGCACCAGCGTTCGGCGGCTTTGGTGCCAGCCAACCGTCGACATTTTGCGGCGGCAGCAGCTTTCAATCCGGTGAGTAGCACAAGATTCCCTCGTAGGATAAATATTCTATTTATTTTTTAATATTGTAGCTTTTGGTAAGCCAGCTACAACGACTGTGACGCCGGGATTTGGTGGCTTTGGCGGAACCAATTTTATGCTAGGGCAGCCACAGCAACAGCCTGTGCCTATTTCATCGGATGAGGCCTTTGCACAGTCCATTCTGAATGTATCCATTTTTGGGGATGAGCGCGATAACATTGTGGCCAAATGGAACTATCTGCAGGCCATGTGGGGCACGGGCAAATTGTTTTACTCACAGAGCGCTGCGCCGGTGGACATTACGCATGAGAATTACCTGTGCCGTTTCAAGGCAATCGGCTACAGTCGATTGCCCGGCAAGGATAACAAACTGGGACTCGTTGCTCTTAACTTTAATCGAGAACTGTCGATCGTTAAGTAAGTGTAAAATGATTTCGATGCCTTTGGCAATTGTTGATTTAAAATTTTTCAGGACACAACAGCAACAAATTATACAAACGCTACACAGTTTAATGGGAAGCAAGCCGAACCTTTTAGTACATATCGATGTGATGAAAGAATTGGAAAACAAAAAGTGCCAGATGGTCATCTACGTGGAGGAGAAACTGCAGATATCACATGGGCCAATTGATAGCAAGCGCATACTTGCCACGGAGCTGGCAAGTTATTTGGGCCAGGGGACGGTGAAGGCACAGTTGAACAATCTGGGCATTACAGAGGCTTTGGCACTCACCCAGCCCGATGAGGATCAACTGAAGGAGTATCTAGAGAATCCCCCGCGCAGTGTTGATCCACGCATGTGGCGTCAGGCTAATTTAGATAATCCGGATACCAGTCAATTTATACCGGTGCCCATGATTGGTTTTGGCGATCTGAAATGGCGTGTTAAATGTCAGGAGCAGGAGACAGATACGCATGCTCTCTACATGAAAAAGGTGGAAGGTGAATTACAAGAACTGCGGCGACGACACGCGGCCGCAACAGCCAAAATAATGGAGCACAAACGTACATTAGCCGAAATGAGTCACCGCATATTAATGGTAAGTGAAAGAATATGTAATTATTTTGAGTATCACATTTTATTACTGAATTCTCCTGCGACAGATCGCTGTGAAACAGGAATGCACACGGAAAGTGGGCAGCACATTGACGCCAGAGGAGGAGGCATTGCGCACAAAGCTTCAGAATATGCAGGCAGTCGTCTCGGCACCGACACAATTCAAGGGTCGGCTCAGTGAACTGCTCTCGCAGATTCGAATGCAGCGCAATCAATTTGCCACAAATGGCTTTCTTGAATACGCACTTGACAAGAACGCGGAGGATGGCATGATAAATATATTGACCATGCAGCAGGGTGCCATGAAAGTGCTAAAAGACACTGTGACTAAGGATCTGGAAGCACTGGATATTATTATAAAAGGCTTACCCGAGTTACAGCAAACATGATACTCCATACGACTTGTGCCGAAATTATGTAGTTGTCTGTCCAATATAGAGTCAATCAACAAGATGTAATCGTTACAATTTTTTTGTCTATTTTTTTGTTGAATGCTTTTTGTTGCTCTTGCCAGCGGGGTCCAGTATTTCCTGTAACTTTGAACTTGCACTTTTACGGCTGGTGTGATAAGATATACAAATGTGTGACTATTTCTGCAACAATCGAAACGAGTTCACATCTCACGTTGCGGAAATTGTGAGTGACGTTGTGGTACACTCATTTTACGGCATATGCTCAGCTCCAACTTAAGTTATAAAGATTTTTACTGGTCTCGATTTGAAAGAACTTTAAAGTGTTTATTGTGTAATCGACTAATAAATTTTGCTATGCCAAAATTTTCTTACAAATTTTAAAGCGTAAACATAAGTAATTGTGCCGTGTATTGAAAATGGTGGAAGAGAAATTGTTTTACAAATTAAACATTTCGAAAGTGAAGGCGTAATATATAAAGGTATAATTGTTAATAGCTACGGACTATGAACTTCAGGGAAGGCCTTGCAACAGCCGTTGCCTAGCCTGGGTTTAGAATTCACGTAGTTAGTTCATCTCTTCGGTAGTCAATTGTTAGATATGAAAAAGGTATAAGAGTATTTTGACTACGGTTTACTAAATATGGAGTAATTGTTTTTGTCATAACGCTTAGTCGGTGCTGGTGTCAATGCACTTGGAGCAAGCGCCCGACTTTTCTTTGGCCACCGACTGAAATTGGACAATTTTGCAGCGATTATTTGACCATTTGACGCAATTTCGTTAGCTGTCTCCAGCTGCAACGAACTCATTACCAGTGACAAAACTCACATCCAGTTTGTTCAACTGCAGGCGATTCGAGTTTGCGTTGTTACATTAACATTATTATGCAGCCAAGCGATCGTTTCACATACGTATACATATGTGAACGTATGTTGTCTTGTTATATATTTATATATATATACACATAAAAATATATGAATTTATTTCTTTTGCGCTGGGAAAACTTGTTTGGAAACTTGTGCCTGGAGTGCTGCTGCCTCGCATTGTTGTTTGTTGTGTGGAGACTTCCGAGAGCTTCCGTTTCAAGACTGGGAAAATGGTAAAATGATTGCAGTGTGTATGGGGTATAAATGATTTGGTTGTGCTCAGACCCGCCTTACTTATTGTGCGATCTTTGCAACGACAGCAACTTATATGGACTACTAAAGTGGCTAACAAAAAAAAAAAAAAAAAAAAAATAGCAAGCAACGAAATTCGACATGACGAATGGGTCATTGATGGTGAGTGTGTCTACCGTTTGGAGTTACACAAGGATCTTTAACTAAAACCTATTATCTCAGTTGCTGCTGTGGGCATTTTGCTCAAGTGTTACTGCCACACCCATAAAACCTTTACCGGCGCGACGTGTACAGTTACAGGATGATGTGCAATTGTTACATCCGCATATCATAACAATTGAACGCTTGGAGCACTTGCTAAGACGGGCAGGCGAAATATTTGGACCAGTTGCCCAGGCCGAAGATGTGCTGCCGTCTGGCAGTGAATTGCAGCCCAAGGTGGAGCTGCAGCCGCAGCCGCAGCAATATATGCTGCCACCAACAGATCAGCCGTACAATTTCTACTTGCCACTGTATGACTACGTGGATCATAAGCTGGACGCGAAGAGCAGGCATCTGGCGAAAATTGCGCCACCGCCGCAGAAAGTGCAGCAGGAGCCTGACTACTATGCCGTTGACAAGCCAAAGAAGTCGCCGAAAAAGTTCAATGCGGCCGCCAAGCATGTCAATCTCAAGTGGCTCAATACGTACGAGAAGGCAATTGGCGGCGCTGAGCCCAAAGCCATCTATTTGGAGCAGGACGAGCGCAATCGCATCAATTTCAATGACTCGTTCTTTGCGGTTGACATACCCGTCAACTCGCCTGACAACCAGCCGCACAAGGACTCGAACAGGATACCAGCGGAACTGCTGCAGCACGGCGAACAGTTACCCGAGGATGATCTTATGGCTGCGCCTGCTCAGCTCACCTACAACTACAAGCCAACTGAGGAAGCCTAAAGGTGGTGAACTCAACTGTTATTTAATTGTAGTCATATTCAAAAGATGCAAAAATATATTTATAAATGTGGGAATAAATTCACAATAGACGTCACAGGAAACAAGCAGAACAATGGGCCACAAGTTGACAATGTAATTGTTTTAGTTATAAAGAGTATTATATACGTTAACAAAAATATAGGCTAAGCCTGCTTCAGTTTGGCGATACCATCGCGCACAACTTTCTCGACATCGTCGAGCAGACCGGAGGCACCGAAACGGAAGAGATGCGGCTGCAGCCAGTGCATACCAAGCGTCTGTTTGACCAACGTCATCCAGGCAATTGCATCCCGTACAGTTCTCACACCGCCCGCTGGTTTCAGGCCCACAATTTGGCCAGTGCGTCGCTTGAACTCCTGTATGGCAAAGATCATAACTAGGCCAACGGGCAGCGTAGCATTCACCGCCTCCTTGCCCGTGGACGTTTTAATGAAATCTGCGCCCGCCAGCATGCACACCATGGACGCCTTGTACACCTGCGAAAGCCAAGGGAATATATGATATATGTATGCTCTCCAATATGTGAAGACAACTTACATTCTCCATCGAGCCAAGCTCGCCGATGGCCAAGATTGTCTTCAGATGCGCACGCTCACCGCAGGCCTTTCGCATGAGGACCACCTCGTTGTAGACACCTTCCCAGTCGCCCACCAGTGCCAGCTGTCGATTGATAACAATATCGATCTCTGTGGCACCTGCCTCAATAGCATAACCAATCTCCCCCAGACGCGTCTGTAGTCCATATTGGCCAGTGGGAAAACCGGTGGCCACTGCTGCTATGGAAATATCCTTCAATTTGCCATACTGCTTCAATGTCTTATGGGCATCCTCCACTCGAGCGGGATACACACAAACAGCGGCACAATGAATTTCCGGAAGTAGCCGGCGCTCAACGTATTTATCAAAGAGCTCCGGTTCAAAGGGCAAACAGGCGCGCACACAAAGCCGGCGCACATTTGCCGCCGTATCATCCCCGGCCAAGGTCGTCAAATCCGTCAACATTAAGGCCTTCAGAGCCCAAGCAATTTCATTGGCACCTTCCACGATCGAATTCTTCGATATGCTCGATGCGATCTCATTAATTTGAGGCAGTGAAATGAATACCTTGAGAAAGGTGGCATCTGTTAAAAAATAAATTAATAAACAATAATGTTGACGATAAAGAAACTCCATTACTTACCATAAGGCAGGGTTTTGTTCACACTTAGAACTGATAATGAAGCGAAAAATTAACATTAATTTTAGGTAAATGCACTTAAGTTTTGGTATTTACCATTTTGTGTTTTCATTGTGTCTTCCATATTGTTGCGCTGTTTTCTGTTACAATATGCTTTCGTGTAGTTTTGAGAGAAGTGAACACAGACCCAAACATAAAACGTGTGTGTATGTGGACTTGTTATCAGTAGAAAGCGCAACAGCTGTTGACAGTGTTGCCACACCGTGTTTTTTTGAGGCCGGGCGACAAAAACAGAGTCGTTTTACTAATTTAAATTATTGAGGGACGTTATGGAGCTTCTTTGATGTCTACTTAAGATATATAATCATAAATTTTAAAAGCTAATAAGTGATTGTGAATTGCTGCACAATTAGTTTCTTATATTTATTGAATTTAATGAAAGCCAAAAGCAAAAAAGTCACTTTCAATTCCGTTAAAGCAACACAGTTGCTGCTTTACTGCAACCTTTACAATAAGCAGTGTGAATGTAACATAAGATATTCAATTAACAGTTTAAAATTTATTATATTATAATTCATAATTCATATTTGAAATGCATAGTATGTTTTTTTCTGAACTGCTTTATTACAATTTCGAATATGTACATTTCGACAAATAATTTTGACCCCATGGCACGAACTTATATTTCTACCTATAGTTCTAGCTCATAGTTTTACTATCTAATCCAATAATACGTATTCTTTAATCCCAAGTTGAGTGATTTTACAGTTAAGCATTATCAGTGGAAATTCCAAGACACATTCTAAAATCAACTGTTTATTTGATATAATTGTAAAGCCTTAGACATTCACACACCTGGCTATCTATAGGAGTCCATTTATAAAGGTTACAGTGCCAATGTGTGGCGAATAAAAACAGAATTTATTATTTTTTGCTGCACTCTTTAATGATTACGAAAACATCAGCATCTATTTAAAAGTATTAGTGTATAAAAGGGGTTGGTGTTAGTATTTATAAATTGACTTAAACTGTATATCTCTTCAAAATACTTAATAACAGACTATGTATTTTGATATGCTATCGGTAGTTTAGGCTTTTAGGTATTGCTTATCAATATATGTGTTGCAGGTGTTGGTCACTTATAGATTACACATTATGTTGTGAAAGCCGTTTACATTATAAATATATTTTTTTTATGATTTTAAGTGGTCAGTTTGGGAGTAAGTGTCGTACCAAAAATGGCAGTAATACCTACCACCTACAATGAAAAGGATAATACGTGGAGTGGCGCCAAGCGCAGTTCCATCTACAACTATGACATATCTGTGGGTAAAGTCATTTTCAATACCATGAGAAACTGGCCCAAAAATATCTGCCAGGTGAGCACTTAACCAAATAAAATAAAATAATATATATCCTGGATATTAAACTCTGCAGATAAATGATATTGACGGCGTATCAGTAACTAACATACAGGGTATTACCTGGGCCGTTCGCATTGCACAGTATCTGAAAAAGCGGGGCCTCAACCACAAGGATGTCATTGGAATTTCCGCCAAAAATACCACCTATGTTATGCCTCTTGGTGTGGCTTGTCTAATGAATGGAACGCCCTTTCATTCTGTCAATCCAATGCTCGATGAAGGTTCTTCCGCAAATGAATCACACTTATATTGCATACAGTAATTATTTTTTATTTTAAATGAATAGCAACTATAAAGTATGTTTATGAAATAACTAAACCCATGCTTATATTCTGCGATGGTGCTGATTATGAGAAGATAAATGCGGCAACCCGTAGCTGGCATCCTGAAATCTATACACTGACCGATCATCTTGAGGGCGTCTTCAAAATAGAAACCCTACTGGATCCGACCACCACTGAAACGTTTTATCAGTGAGTAATTGAAAGAAAATTTTATAGAGTGGTATAATGTATCAGAGCTCTCTTTTTGTAGACCGGAAAGTCTTATAAATGGTGGCGATCAAACGGTGGCTATCTTATGCTCTTCCGGCACCACAGGATTACCAAAAGCCGTCTGCATTTCGAATAGCATACTCATTCAGGAAAGCATGTGAGATGTCAACAATGCTTGTTATTTTTGTTTTATATAAAACACATATTTTATATTTTATTTTCAGGCTCGTCAGCAGTGAATCGGTGATATACGTCTCCAGTGGTCTGGATTGGATGACTGGCCTCTGGGCCTTTATCTTCAGCACAGTATTTGGTGGCATTCGCATAATAACTAACCGACCCTTTGCACCCGAATACTTTGTGCATTTAGTGAAGAAGTACAAGATCAACTATGCCATGGTGCCGCCCAGACATCTGTCCGCACTTATCACTTGTCCTGAGGCGACAACAGAGTCCCTAGCGACCATACGCACGCTGAACTATGGAGGTGGTCTGGTGTCCATGGGAACACTTCAGCGTGCCCAGGAGATCTGCAAGGGAGCCATGTTCAATTCGATATACGGGTTAACAGAGGTGGGTGGCATTACCGTTAATTTTGACATCAGCAATACCACATCGGTTGGCCGACTCCTGCCGGGCGTTCGGATTCGAATTGTTGATGAGGAGGGCAAGAGGCTGGGACACAATCAGGTGGGAGAGATTTATGTGCACACGGGACAGGCATGGAATGGCTACTACAGCAATCCTGTGGAGACGCGTCGGATGCAGGACTTTGAAGGCTGGTTCCACACGGGTGATTTGGGTCACTTTGATGACCAGAATTTCCTGTACATCGTTGATCGCAAGAAGGAGATCCTCAAGTACCAGGGCCTGCACTACTGGCCCACCGAAATTGAGATGGTCATTACGGAAATGCAGCATGTGCAGGATGTTTGTGTTGTGGGTATTTACGATAAGCGCCAAACAAATCATTGATCACGTCGCCAAACGTTTGACCGGTCTGCAGAAGCAGCTCCACGCCGGAGTTTGCTTTGTCGACAAGTTGCCAGCCAATGTGAATGGCAAGACCCTAAGGAAGAAAGCTCGAGAGGTTTTTGTTTCCCAGTCTAAATAAGACTCAACCAATACACCTGAATTGTACACTTCACTTTTTAGGTAAGATTACATGTGTTACTTAATAAGACTATTTGTCACATATAAATAAATTGAAATTCATAAACGTTTGCGAGCAACAGACATTTTTATACTTATGAGAATATTTGTAAAATTCTTTAATTAAAACTGTTCCACTTTTGTGGTCATGGCGGAATTCTAAGTCTTGTATATTTCTGAACTTTGCTTTTATATTATACAATATAAAGTACAATACATAAATCGTGCAAATGAGGAAGCATTGTAATAATACTTTAGAAACTATTAAAACTGATATTAAACAACATTAGTTGTAGGTAGCTTGAGATAATTAAAGAGTTTGCAATATACCAATCGAAGCATTTCGGCATTTCCTTTGTTGCCGTCGAGGCGCTTGTTGCGCAGCTGATGAGGCTTCAGCGGTGAGTCGTTGTCCTTTTGTTTGTTTTTGCCTAGCGAGTTGAACTAATCTGTTTATTAAAGTCTTTATTTAGGCGTTTTATAGATATTCGTGAGTAAATCACACTTAAGTGTGAATCCTTTCACTATGATTAAGTGGCAGTGTATGGATTCCTATGATAAGAATTGTGTACATTTTGAAGCCTTTGAAATCAATGCACTTTGATTTGATTGTTGTTAATTACGTTTACAAACAAAAGGTCCCACTGCAATTTTACGTAATTTATGAGTAGGGTATTACTTATCTTTTTGATAAGATAATTCACGAACGCTTAGCTTGGGGCTATTTAACAGATTGCATTTTCAGGAGGACTTTTATTGTCTTTGAAACTTAATGCGGAAAGAGCACTTGATAGTAACAAAATGAGAAATTTCTTTAAAAGCACCTACGACCCGATCCAACGGATTTGGAGTGGTGCAAAACGAGAACCCATGTACGATTTGAATTGCTCAATCGGCCGAATAATTCAACAGAATCTTCGAAGTAATCCGTGCACACAAAGCCGGCGCACATTTGCCGCCGTATCATCCCCGGCCAAAGTCGTCAAATCCGTCAACTTTAAGAGAGCCCAAGCAATTTCATTGGCACCTTCCACGATCGAATTCTTCGATATGCTCGATGCGATCTCATTAATTTGAGGCAGTGAAATGAATACCTTGAGAAAGGTGGCATCTGTTAAAAAATAAATTAATAAACAATAATGTTGACGATAAAGAAACTCCATTACTTACCATAAGGCAGGGTTTTGTTCACACTTAGAACTGATAATGAAGCGAAAAATTAACATTAATTTTAGGTAAATTCACTTAAGTTTTGGTATTTATCATTTTCTGTTTTCATTATTTCTTCCATATTGTTGCGCTGTTTTCTGTTACAATATGTTTTCGTGTAGTTTTGAGAGAAGTGAACACAGACCCAAAAATAAAACGTGTGTGTATGTGGACTTGTTATCAGTAGAAAGCGCAACAGCTGTTGACAGTGTTGCCACACCATGTTTTTTTGAGGCCGGGCGACAAAAACAGAGTCGTTTTACTAATTTAAATTATTGAGGGACGTTATGGAGCTTCTTTGATGTCTACTTAAGATATATAATCATAAATTTTAAAAGCTAATAAGTGATTGTGAATTGCTGCACAATTATTTTCTTCTATTTATTGAATTTAATGAAAGCCAAAAGCAAAAAAGTCATGTTCAATTCCGTTAAAGCAACACAGTTGCTGCTTTACTGCAACCTTTACAATAAGCAGTGTGAATATAACATAAGATATTCAATTAACAGTTTAAAATTTATTATATTATTATTCATAATTCATATTTGAAATGCATAGTATGTTTTTTTCTGAACTGCTTTATTACAATTTCGAATATGTAAATTTCGACAAATAATTTTGACCTATAGTTCTAGCTCATAGTTTTACTATCTAATCCAATACGTATTCTTTAATCCCAAGTTGAGTGATTTTACAGTTAAGCATTATCAGTGGAAATTCCAAGACACATTCTAAAATCAACTGTTTATTTGAAATAATTGTAAAGCCTTAGACATTCACACACCTGACTATCTGTAGGAAGTTTATCTATAAAAGTTACAGTGTCAATGTGTGGCGAATAAAAACAGAATTTATTATTTTTTGCTGCACTCTTTAATGATTAGGAAAACATCAGCATCTAATTAAAAGTATTAGTGTATGAAAGGGGTTGGTGTTAATATTTAGAAATTGACTTAAACTTTATATCTCTTCAAAATACTTAATAACTGACAATGTAGCATTAGGATAGAGGAAGAGGTACTTAAAACGTATTTTGATATGCTATCGATAGTTAAGGCTTTTAGGTATTGCTTATCAAGATATGTGTTGCAGGTGTTGGCCACTTACAGATTGCCTCCACTTAACGCCTCAAAAGCTTGCATTTGTAGAAGGAAGATTATGATGTGCAAGCAGTTCACATTATAAATAGATGGGCCGCACACGCTGGTGCATCTAGTGGATTTTAAGTGGTCAGCTTGGGAGTGTCATACCAAAAATGGCAGTAATACCTACTACCTACAATGAAAAGGATAATACGTGGAGTGGGGCCAAGCGTAGTTCCATCTACAACTATGACATATCTGTGGGTAAAGTCATTTTCAATACCATGAGAAACTGGCCAAAAAATATCTGCCAGGTGAGCACCTAACCAAATCAAATAAAAAATATATATATCCTGGATATTAAACTCCGCAGCTAAATGATATTGACGGCGTATCGGTAACTAACATACAGGGTATTACCTGGGCCGTTCGCATTGCACAGTATCTGAAAAAGCGGGGCCTCAACCACAAGGATGTCATTGGAATTTCCGCCAAAAATACCACCTATGTTATGCCTCTTGGTGTGGCTTGTCTAATGAATGGAACGCCCTTTCATTCTGTCAATCCAATGCTCGATGAAGGTTCTTCCACAAATTAATCACACTTTTATTGCATACAGTAATTATTTTTTATTTTAAATGAATAGCAACTATAAAGTATGTTTATGAAATAACTAAACCCATGCTTATATTCTGCGATGGTGCTGATTATGAGAAGATTAATGCGGCAACCCGTAGCTGGCATCCAGAAATCTATACACTGACCGATCATCTTGAGGGCGTCTCCAAAATAGAAACCCTACTGGATCCGACCACCACTGAAACGTTTTATCAGTGAGTAATTGAAAGAAAATTTTATAGAGTGGTATAATGTATCAGAGCTCTCTTTTTGTAGACCGGAAAGTCTTATAAATGGTGGCGATCAAACGGTGGCTATCTTATGCTCTTCCGGCACCACAGGATTACCAAAAGCCGTCTGCATTTCGAATAGCATACTCATTCAGGAAAGCATGTGAGATGTCAACAATGCTTGTTATTTTTGTTTTATATAAAACACATATTTTATATTTTATTTTCAGGCTCGTCAGCAGTGAATCGGTGATATACGTCTCCAGTGGTCTGGATTGGATAACTGGCCTCTGGGCTTTTATCTTCAGCACAGTATTTGGTTGCACTCGCATAATAACTAACCGACCCTTTGCACCCGAATACTTTGTGCATTTGGTGAAGAAGTACAAGATCAACTATGCCGTCGTGCCGCCCAGACATCTGTCCGCACTTATCACTTGTCCTGAGGCGACAACAGAGTCCCTAGCGGCCATACGCATGCTGAACTATGGAGGTGGTCTGGTGTCCATGGGAACACTACAGCGTGCCCAGGAGATCTGCAAGGGAGCCATGTTCAATTCGGGATACGGGTTAACAGAGGTGGGTGCCATTACCGTTAATATTGGCATCAGCAATACCGCATCGGCTGGCCGACTCCTGCCGGGCATTCGGATTCGAATTGTTGATGAGGAGGGCAAGAGGCTGGGACACAATCAGGTGGGAGAGATTTATGTGCACACGGGACAGGCATGGAATGGCTACTACAGCAATCCTGTGGAGACGCGTCGGATGCAGGACTTTGAAGGCTGGTTCCACACGGGTGATTTGGGTCACTTTGATGACCAGAATTTCCTGTACATCGTTGATCGCAAGAAGGAGATCCTCAAGTACCAGGGCCTGCACTACTGGCCCACCGAAATTGAGATGGTCATTACGGAAATGCAGCAGGTGCAGGATGTTTGTGTTGTGGGTATTTACGATGAGCGCGAAGGCGATGCGGCTGGCGCTGTGGTTGTCAAGCGCGAGGGATGCGAGATAAGCGCCAAACAAATCATTGATCACGTCGCCAAACGTTTGACCGGTCTGCAGAAGCAGCTCCACGCCGGAGTTTGCTTTGTCGACAAGTTGCCAGCCAATGTGAATGGCAAGACCCTAAGGAAGAAAGCTCGAGAGGTTTTTGTTTCCCAGTCTAAATAAGACTCAACCAATACACTTGAATTGTACACTTCACTTTTTAGGTAAGAGTACATGTGTTACTTAATAAGACTATTTGTCACATATAAATAAATTGAAATTCATAAACGTTTGCGAGCAACAGACATTTTTATACTTATGAGAATATTTGTAAAATTCTTTAATTAAAACTGTTCCACTTTTGTGGTCATGGCGGAATTCTAAGTCTTGTATATTTCTGAACTTTGCTTTTATATTATACAATATAAAGTACAATACATAAATCGTGCAAATGAGGAAGCATTGTAATAATACTTTAGAAACTATTAAAACTGATATTAAACAACATTAGTTGTAGGTAGCTTGAGATAATTAAAGAGTTTGCAATATACCAATCGAAGCATTTCGGCATTTCCTTTGTTGCCGTCGAGGTGCTTGTTGCGCAGCTCATGAGGTTTCAGCGGTGAGTCGTTGTCCTTTTGTTTGTTTTTGCCTAGCGAGTTGAACTAATCTGTTTATTAAAGTCTTTATTTAGGCGTTTTATAGATATTCGTTAGTGAAGCACACTTAAGTGTGAATCACTTCACTATGATTAAGTGGCAGTGTATGGATTCCTATGATAAGAATTGTGTAAATTTTGAAGCCTTTGAAATGAATGCACTTTGATTTGATTGTTATTAATGACGTTTACAAACAAAAGGTCCCACTGCAATTTTACGTAATTTATGAGTAGGGCATTACTTATCTTTTTGATAAGATAATTCACGAACGTTTAGCTTGGGGCTATTTAACAGATTGCTTTTTCAGGAGAACTTTTAATGTCTTTTAATAAACTATGAGAAGCTGAAGACTGCTAGTGCAGCCTGGAAACCACAGTTAATTACGATAACGGGAAAAATTGAGGGTGTGACTTATGTAGAGGATATGCTTGCGCCACAACAGACTCAAATTCTCTACCGGTAAGTTGTAAGTTGTAATCATCATAAACTTGGCCATTACTTATCTAACTATTTCCTCATCATTATTATAGACCAAAATCTTTGCTTTTGGGTGATGATCAGACTGTGGCCATTTTGTGCTCGTCCGGTACCACTGGACGGCCCAAAGCTGTTTGCATTGCAAACCATATGTTGTATGCTGGCATGCCGTGTGTATTGAATCCTCCACTCGGAGCATAGTCCAGTATTAAGAATTTGAAAATATTTATATTATACAGGTGCGTTAACACCGACACGGTCATCTATTGTGGTTCGAGCTTGGACTGGTTCAGTGGCCTTTTCACCTTCATTTACTCCGTTGCTGAAGGCTGTACACTGTTTTGAACTAGAACAACGCGGATGGTTGCCAAGTTCAAGCAGCTAAGTGAAGGCGTCTACTTCACAGATGAGTTGCCCTAAAGCGCTAACGGTAAGCTGCTCCATCGAGTAGTCAAAGAGAAAGTGATTAAGCCATATGTGGATCGTTAAATGAGTTTGTGGTAATAAGTCTGGGTTTTGGTTAAGCTTTAATTGTTTAATTAAATAAATATGATTCTCTAATTATGAGTAGCCCCTGAGTTGAACTTAAGCGATGTGTCATCGTGTTACTTAGCTTAAGAGCTAGCAATGACGCTGCTCCCTATGATTAGGAGCAGAACCAAGACACTGTGGCGATTAGCACCCGCAGTCATTGCTGGTAGTTGAGTTTCCTCCGGGGGCAGAGATGTGACACCGGCACCGGCACTGTTGCTGTGCTCCTGTTCCGTTGATTGATGCTGCTGCTCCTGCTGCCGCCTGATGTTACCCATTTTGATCTCAACCTTGGGCAGTGGAAAGCAATAGACGCGCTCCACCTCCACCATTAGCGGAGTGGCGCTATCTGCGGCTGTCTCAGTTACAGTTAGGGGCACACAAATAGTTGGCTCCTCGGCTGAATTGCGCTCCTCATACGGAATTCCGACGCGTGTTATGTTGAGTGGTAGCTGGGGTAAAATGGTCTCCGGTATGCTCAGCCCGCTGTGCATTTGGGCAGAATTGAGTCCTTCATCGAAGTACCTGTAGTCATCATCAACATCAACGTCAATGCGATCAATGGATGGATGATTGTTGTCGATACGATCGATGCCGCTACTGCTAACAGCATCTGTGTAAATGCGTTCCGTGCTGATCGAACTGGTTTCGAGGAAGTCAGTGGGCCAATTCAGTGCCACTGTGGTAGACTCTGTGGATTGGCTAGAGCGCAGCGTTGGCGCCTGTGTACTGCTGACTTTGAGGACCGGCTGTGTGCTCTCGGAGCTGTGCGTTGGATAGGGATACGGTAGCGGCATCCAGCTGTCCTCAGTGGTTGGTTGGCTGGGCCGTCGTTGCATAGCTGTGGTTGTCTCAACGGACTCATTGATTTGCTTGGCCATGGCCCGCATCAGCGGATCCGTTGCGTTCATGTACACCACTTCAATCGGTGCTTGGGCCTGTGGTGGCAATTGTGAAGGTGGTATGCGCCAGCGACCGCGTATTTCCTGGGATCTCTCAAAGCTGTCGCGACGCTCGTACGGATTTTGATAGCCATCAGATGCTGCATATTTCTCGGTTTCCGGTGACAACTGTTCGCCGGAAGGCTCTCGACTTTCAATAACTGCAATAAATAAAAAAAGCAAGCAAGTATGAGTATGGATACAAAATTTAATGAAGCTTTAAAACTCGTCGAACCATCTTTCGTTTGACCTAATTCTTTTTTATTCTAATTTTTACACAAATGAATAGCTGATAGCGTAACTGGGTTGACTGAATTGAGGGCTTGTTGAACATTTTAAGCTTTACTGTTCTTTTGCCTTCCTTGGTGCTCACCATCAGCTGGCATGCCCATTAGAATGGCCTCCAAGCGTCCATAGACGCGTTCCTTGGGCTGCCCATCCTCATTGTTGGGCTTGAGTGGACGATCCGGTTTCCAGTTACCATAGACGACAGCCTCCTTTACGGTCGCCTCACTGGTCGCAGCCATATTTTCCATATTTCTGTCAAGCTGCTCACGCAACAGTGGAATATGAGTGTGAACCGTTGAGCTAGCTGGCACAGGGATTCCCACAGGTACTGGCAGGGCAATGGGAGCCACTGCGCCAAAGCTGGGCCATCTCATCGGTCCGTGGCCGGGCATGGGCATTGCTGCGGGCTGCGGTTGCGGTGGTGGTTGCTGAATTTGCATATCCGTAATGCGTATACGACCCCGAGGCCGAGGTGCTTGCAGCTGTAGTGCATCAGGCTCTGCCTGGCCGTGTATTAGCCTACAGCTGGTCGCAACCAGCAGAAGCCACAAAATCCGAAGAGTCAACTGCTTGCTGGTCATAATCAAATTGGACTAAGACCCGTTTTTAAAATTTTGGCAACAGTTTGTACGGTTTCAGTTCGTTTCAGTTTCAGTTTCTATTTACTGAATGTGCCACTTCTTAAGTGGATATTATTGTTCTCGTTGTTGTTGTTTTGTATCGTTTCTTCAATTCACAGTTAGCTGCGTTCGTTTTGTTGTTACATTTCGTTGTGGTTGGCAGCGAAGAAAACAATAGAAACAACTCATTGTTCGAGTCAGTTTATAATCAGCTCTCAATTCCACCTGCCCATCGATATTCGCACTTTGTTGATGTTGATTTCAGATTTCAGATTTCCGTCAGTTTTCAGACGCGATTCGTCATTTACACGTTCTGTGATCTAAACGCGGCGGCTTCTAAACGGCAACTGACGATGGCCAAATCAATTTGCGGCCAGCTGCCACAAGTTGGTGGCCGCAACGGTCAGAAGAATATTCTTTAATCACAGCTATAGAAATTTTTCTTTTGTTCACTTTTCGCTTAATTATGCGCAAGAGCGTTAAAACTTAATGGCGAATAAACATTCTTTCGTTGTGGTTGGTGAAAATGCAGCGGATTTGATTTATTGCACTGGTGTGTATACATCTATATATATATATATATATATATATATATATATTCGTATTTCTACATTGGTATTGGGTTATGCTAACATTTATGTAAATTAATTGTAAAGTCGCTGTTTGTGCTACTAAAAAGTTGGCTTGATGATTTTTGGCACCGTTTGCGCGAGGTATTTGTTCCTCTTCGATCTTTGTATGTTTGTATGTGTTGTAAATATCTCCAAAAGCCGACGATTGTCGCTGTGGGCAACTTTTCACTAAATTGATTGGTTGAAAATTAACAACGGTTAAAATGTTGTAGGCAGAAAAGTGAGAATTTGTTTACAAAAGATTGTGTATACAAACCATTTTTTAAGTAATCTTTTGATACATAAGTAAATTAAATTAAGGGTTATACAAAAGATAGCTCTTGGCAAAAGATTAAAAGAGAAGAAAAAAATTTTTATAAATATATTAACCCTATTTTGCAACTTGTTTCCTTTCTGTACAATTTTGTAACTCGTTGAAATATCATTTTTCATATTTCTTATACGTTGACTGATAGGAGATCATTGAAGCAACTCTGGGGTAACTTTAACTCGAAACCGCTCTTAAAAAATCGAAACCATGTCAAAACGTCATGAGAAAAGCTGTCATAATTATGCAATACCTGGTCTGACGGGACTGTCAAATAGATTCGACTTTGGCTTGCAATGTAAGCCACATGAAAATTTAGCGTGTTGAAAACTGAAAATGTTGAATATTCAAAAAAAAAAGAAGAAAAAAAACAATGTACCATGGAATGGGATCAACAAACGGACACATGTGTAATTTAAGCTGTGAAAAAAAAACAAAAGGAAATTTAAAATAAAAACAGTAAACAGAAACAGAAATAAAAACCCATTGCGCATTGTCACGTTTTGTGAACATTATAGACATATGTACATTGTATGAGGATGGGATATTATGGAAATGGAAAAGCGTTGAATAATGTTTGCTTGGGGTCGCGTGTGTGATTGGCATGATGGAAATATTGTTTTTCCGCTTTTATTATGATTATTTCTTTTTATTATTATGCTCAACAAAACTTTCACGATTGCGATCGTTAACATAAATACGTTTACTGTGTATCTTCAATTGTTTTTTTTAAGTATTCTTCATTAATATTTGGGAGATAGATATTTTTTTTGCAGAAATCACAGTCTTTCTGTTGGTTATGATTATAAACGGGGAACAAGTAGTTAATAATTTAGAAAAATATCAAAAATGCAGCAGTTTCAACTGGCTTAGAGGCTACGTTTGAGCTGACTCTCTTATTGATTCTCCAGCAAACCAATGTATTGGCCATTCTGATTGGCAATGCGCCGCTCTTCCAGCTTCTTGGCAAATGTGGGATCGCTCTTGGCCCGCTGCTCTAGGCGCTCCTGTTGCAGCTTGATGCCAGCATAGATCTGATCGAGTCCCTTTTGTATTTCCTCGGGTATGGTTGGTGGTGTGGGAATGTGATCCCCAGTGGCACGAAAACCATTCTCATCGGCAGTGTACTGCACGTTAACCACGGTGCCCTCTGGCGATTGGTACGAGTACTGGCCATGCTGCACCAACACCCCATTGGGATTTGTATCGAAATCCTTAAGGAAACCGGTCTCCTCGTGCACAATGTGATTGCCGGTCTCGTATTCGGTTTTGTAGCTGCCATCCTCGCTCTGCTCCTTGTTGTACTTCAGTATCGGTATCCAGGTGCTCGTCTCGCGTAGATCCTCATGCCGATGAAGAGCTTTCTCATCGCGAGGTATGTTATTCACATTTGGATGTGAGTGGTGCTGATGCTGATTATGATGTTGGGCGTGGCACGAAACCGCAATCAGTGAAATAAGTATCTGGCAATTGAAAGAAGTTGACAAACAAAATCAAAAATTAAATAGATTCGATGGTGAATTTAACATTCATTCGAAAAAATTATGAATAGTTTAATGTGATGCTGTATGGAAGTTTTAAATGCAAAAGGAACATTTTAAGCCTCTTCTGTGAGACACTTGAATTTTGAAATTATTATTTAGGTATTTTTTATGCACGGATTTCATTCAAATCTAACTACAAACTATAATTTGGTTTGAGACATCACATTACGTAAGCCTTTTTTTCTTCAGTTTCGCTTAGTTACTGAAGAAAATCATTACTTTATAATTTTTGGCTCGTTTCGTATGCATTTGGGGATTTATTTTTGCTGCAAACCACAAAACACACAAACCGCAAACCAACAATGGTTTCATATTGAATTTACTGAAGGATAAACTTACAAACAGTTTCATTTTGTTACGCGTCAATTGATTGCAGATTCACTTGCAAGGAGTATGGTTGTAACTGTTAAAACTTGTGGTATTTACACTTGTTGCAGTTGCAGTTGCGCGTTTGTTTCGTCGTCCGTTTTTTGTTGGCAAGTGAAAGCTGCAACGGCTCGAACTGTGCTGCGGCGGCCCTATTTAAGAGCTTTATATAGCCGCGACTCTGTTTGTGCCTCCTGCGCTCGCAACTTGAACCCGCACTAGCGAGCGCCTTGTCCAAAGAGACGTATAAATAGAGATAGTCATAGATATACAGATACAGATACAGTTCCCGCACATATACAAATACATACTCGTATAATGACAATAGTTGCAATTGCCATAGTTGAAGATGCTGTAGTTACTCTTGTTTTTTTTTTTGGGTTTTATTGCTTGTTCGCATATTTCTCATCGAAGAGTACTTTTAATTTCATTGCAGTTGCAGTTTAGCTTTATAAAAAAGCAAATAACATTGATACTTGATTGTATTTATGCCTCAAATTAATGATACCTTAAAAATAGTTTAGAAATTTATTAAAGATAGACTTTAATTGTTATTATTATTATTATCTAGTATATGATATATGTGGTTATAACGTTTTAAAGAGATACTGTAAACTGTAAACTAGAAATATCTATACTCTAGATTTCAAAATGCTTTCAATTTGTATGTAGAGTTTACGTCAGTCAACGAATCTATTTGATTATAATAGTTATGGTAAATAGGCACAGCAAAATTGTGCGGATTGTCTGCGACTGTCGGGTCGTTCATCTTCGTAATGCCGTTATTTAGAAATAAGACAGAACGGGTTTTTTTTTACCGAGCTTCGACAATGTTTGTTGTCTTCGCCAAAATGCAGCCGAACCATGCAAAATGCTCTCTCAGCCAGTTTGTGTTTAAGAGTTGAGCTCTTTTTCTCTATCTCTCTCACTCTCTCTTTCTCTCTCTGTCTTTACATTATGGTCTCTCTGAATCTCAGTCAAGTAGAGAATATGTTGCCGCCAGCGGATTCGCTTTCTTGAATTCTTGTAATTGCAGTGGCGTCTATTGAATTGAGTGGTAAATGGGGTATTACGGAATTTCAGATATAAAATTTGTTCTGAATGTCACCCACAGTCGGAAATTGGTTGAGAACTGTTGTATGAAAACTGTTTGGTTTTTCATTCGATTGACTCCAAGGAAATTTTTAAAGCTCTATATAAAAGTAATGTGAAACATGATTTTTCAAAATCGAAACTCAAAAATACATAATTGTAGTTGATAAATTACGGCTTGGAAATTTGATGTTCAACATCCACGACACCACAAGCAGACAATTGTAGTACAAATATAAACACAACAATTTTACACGAACAAAGCCGGATGGTAAGGTTAGGTTATATCGGCTGTCAGCCCGATGGTTACTTCTAGTAAAATATGTATGTTTGGCATAGACTGGAATGAAAATTGTTGTAATAGTCGTGTAGCTTTGTATCGGGCTTGGTTTTTGTTTGTTTTCGTTTGCTTATGCTAGCAATGTTGCAGATGAGGCAAGACGATAATTGAGTTCAAACCGGCAATGGGTAATGCACCTTAGTAAATGTTAATTAGTTGCCGAAAATGGGTCAATCTGTAACGATAACATCATGCAACGATTACTTGCCAATTTCTGTGCATTGACCAAGAAAACGAAAAAAAAGTAAAAAATTTGTTTTAAAAAACACGCGAGAATCACTTGCAACATACTGCGAAAAGTTGAGCAACCGCCTTGCCGGTTCAACTGGGCAAAAGAGAAAGACTAAAAATGAGAGAGAATGACAGAAAGAAAGAGAAAGAAAGAGAGAGACAGTGAGAGAGAAAGAGAGAGAGAGAGAGAGAGAGAGAGACGTAGAGCAAGTAAAAACTGGTCAAGTGTTGCGACTTGCCAAACAAACAGCATTTTGGGCCTGGCTGCCTGCACAGCCACACCTCTTCACCAAGCCAAATGATGGTGCCGTCTTCGTCTGCCGCCCACCCAAAGCCAAATAGCGTTGCAAGTCAGATTTTTGAGCTTGGCTCTCTTGGACCAGTTACCAGTTGTGTTGGAGTGCCGGATGAGTCACCCAGTCACGGCAATTGTGCAATTTTTCCCCACTTGGCTGACTCAAGCTGAATGAAATCGAAAGCTGGCAAGGTTAGCTCCAGAGCTGCATCCTCACTGCTCACACAGTGACCCACTTCGTACTTAGCATCGACTAACCACCAACTGGGCCTGTGGATTGCTGTGGCTGTCCATTGGAAATGTCAAATGATTAGCCTGCTGCATTCTTAGGTTAGCGAGTTGTTGTAGGTTGCATCTTTTGCTGGAAATTGTGTTCTTAGCTCGTGCGCCATTTGACATTTAAAGCTGAGCGGCTCAGAGACTGTGAAGACTGCAGTCTGTGGACCGTAAGACTGGTTTATAAAAAAGTCAGGAGGGGGGCAAACGGCGAGGCAATAAATTTTGCGGCAATTTCAAGTGTCATGATGTTGTGAAATTTCTTGTCAGTGCTTGGCATCTTGAGCTTGAATCGTAAATAATGCTCTAGTAATGGATGTAGATGTCTGTTGATCCAACGTAATAATCGCCAATTGATAGACAGACCACGTATATCCCTTGGTAATTGCCGATTCTAACAAGCATTTCATTATTTCTCTTCAAAGAAATTACTTTTGATCCGATGGCGAGTTGGTTTTGAATTCAGAATATATTCTACATAATTGTATACACCTGAACTGAAGATTCGCGAGGTTTATTGACCGAACATAACTCAATGGCTGTAGCAGTTTCGCATACGAGTTTTCTGAGTTTTATTTTGCAATATTTATATGTATATATATATATAAAACATTGGGCACTTAACCACTATTGCATAATTATTATTTATATTATATGTTTTTTTTTTTAAATCGAGATAAGATTTAATTGAAACATAATGGTAGATTATATGTTTTATTACATCTTTAATATTTTCAGAATGTTTTGTTTAAAGTGAGTCATGCCTTTATTGAACTCTTACGATGTCCTTCTTTAAAGCTTGAAATGAGATTATAATTAACTGATTGTTATAGCTAAAACAAAATCAAAAAATAAATTAAGCAGCATAATGATTATTCTTAGTTTTTGTACAGCGCCACAAAGAATGCAATCCATAAAAGCTGTAAGCCATAGCACACTTTTAGGCCGTCAACTTTCGCTTGATGTAAGCATGTAAGTTAATTATAGTTTACCAATTTCAAATGGGATTATTTGTCATTTAAAAATATTTTCGCTTTCTAGCGTTCTCTTTGGATATTTCATATAAACGGCCAAGAACGGTGATATTCATGATCATTGTAGCCCTCGGCAAATACCAATTAAAACGTATAAGAAAATCGGACTCGGTGAGAAGCGGTGGCAAAGACTCCACAACCGTGATATTCTTCGCTTGATAAAAGCCCTTTGTAACGGAAAGAAATTAGTTAAGTAGTTCCTCTATTCTTAAAATTGTGTTTACTTACCGGGTTTATTGGGCACTGAATGACTCTATTACCCAAACAAGTCATACTATTGAGTATCTCAATTAGTGTCTTCCTTTTGCGCTCGCGCAGCACCTTGCACAACTCAAATGTGACGTCAAATATTTTCTGATACTTTTTCTTTCCTGGTTTCGGTATGGATACTTCAAGATATCCAATTAATAATGTGATCTTCCTTTCGAGCTTCAAGGCTGCGTTAAAACTTTTATTTCGAGGTTGTATCAGATTGCAGTTCGCATCGGTTATATACATCGAGTTGGTCACGCAGTCTAATTTCCGAAGTACTGCAAAGTAGCCCATATTCTAAATACAATATGGATTAGGTTCCTTGAGGATATCTGTCTCTTTCCTCTCTATTTATCTCTCCTTCTTACCGCTGAGATGCACAGATGAAATACGCTGGCCATAACAATGATATACACGCTGAATTTCAACATATCCAACTGCAGCTTCAACTGAATAAATTCCGATTACGGTGGCATTGGTCTTTTCCGATAATATAGTTATTTGGCCGTTTAATTGTCGGAACGGTTCGACAATTAAAAGGCTATTTATTATTCGATTCGTCGGGCGATTAATTGTGCACATATATTTAAAATCTGCGAGGTGTGCTTATCAACTTCTACTTACATCCAAATTTTCTTCAGCCTTTTTTAATTCATGGTTTCTATTTATTTTTCGTTTACAAATAGTTTGTGTTCCCACGCCACAAATGAAATAGCTATTTCAGCAATATGATCCAAGCCCCATTTTATCTTTAGATGATATATAGAAATATTGACATAACAGATAATATGGCATATATATATATATATACTAGAGCTAGTTGCAAGCACTTAATACTATTATTAGGGTATTTGCAATGATTCCGAGTATGTGCAAACGAAAAGCGATGCGCAAACAAATCGGAGGCGATCAAATCAATGCCAATGCTTGCGGTTGCGCAGCGATTAGATCATTTAGATTAAAGTTGGGTTTTCATATTGATACGATTTTCGGTGTCGACTTCAATTGGAATGTGTGTAAATAATCTTGGGCTCATCATCGTCAGTATTTCCATTTAAATCTACAGCCTCAGCAGTAACCGCAAGACGGCGTGAAGGGCAGTTTGGTAATTTTATAAGCGACACGAGGCTGAGAAAGACTCGAATGCTCAGCGGTGAGTGTGAGTACTGATGGAGTGAGTATGAGTACTCGTTGAGTGGCAATGAGACACAAACTTAATTGTTCAATATTTATTCATTTATTTATTTCTTATTCGTATTTCTTTTGCTTTTTTTTTGATTTGGCTGTGTTTCTGAGTGTAGGTGTGTGTGTGTGTTGAATGTCAGTGCCAAAATTGATATAAGAACTGATATAATGCAACCTATCGTATGGCTCGTATGGCATAGGGCAGTGCTGTGCTATCTCCAGTACGTAATACTTTATACGATATAAAATATTCATACATACTTATTGCTAATTACTTAATTACACATACGCCCCATTGACGCAACTATTGTGGCGCTACTGGCAGATGATCACCCTCCGGCTGGAAGCCATTCTCATCGGCCACATAGCGCAGGGTAATTATATTTCCCTCGGGATCGCTATAGCTATAGGATCCAGTTTGCACCAGTACCAGCTCCTCGTGCTCCTCAATCACCTGTCCATCGCTAGTCTCCGTCTTCGGTATGATGATCTTCTTCAGGTATCCAATGTTTTCTACTCTTATGCCATTCGATGTCTCATAACTGCGTGGGCAGAAGTTGGTTTAGTTCATCTACTCAACTCACAGTTGGTTGTTGTGATCTCACCTGCTGTTGAAACTGCCATCGGCATTGTTCACATTATCCTGATGGATAATGCTGGCCTGCGTTGTTGTTGTTGTTGCCCCAGATCCAGCGGCGCGCGCATCCTGAGGACGTGCCAGGACATAGGTCAGCAGCAGAGCCGAGCACAAAACACACGCAAACTTGTACATTCTTAAGAATTATGAATAGGTTTATCCTGTGATATGGCGCGTGGGAGGCGGGCGTGGCAGGTCAATTCCCGCAAGTTAATGCACAACTGTTGTCTAACCAGCTGCCGCCTGGTCTTTATATACCATACGCTCGACGGTGGCGAGCACCTGATTCACACTCGCACGCACCGCGACAGCTTCGCCGCTTCGGCGTTTGCCACAGCCAACGATGGGCGCACTAGATAAGAAGCAGAGAGCGTCAAGTACTCGTACTCGTACTTCACCAATAAAATAAAAAAAGCAAACACAAAAATTATGAGCGGACGCTTCTTCGTCTCGTTTCTCAGTTTGCTAAAGCATGTTGCTCAAAATGATCTTAAGAGGGTATGTAGTTGCCATTACGAATCTTAAAAGTTCATTATCAAATTTTAAATATCTAGTGTTCATAAGTTGTGCTGTAATTAAGATAATAGCTTTGTGAGGAGCGGATGTAAGCTTAAACTCTTTTCTGTGATATATTGATACATTTCAAATTATTTGGTAAATATCTACTCAATAACCGAACCTTGGGTATTTAAGTAATACACTTCATGCGAGTTTTTTTGTAGATACTTCCTTTATTACATGGCACCTCATAGTCATTATCTATTTTCTTACTTTGACGAGTTTTGCTTTGCTTTGTAGTATTTAGATCTATTAATTTGGCATATATCTATTGAAATAAACTTATCTTGGCTATTCAAGTAATTCTCCGGAATGTTTATGCTAAATTTTACATAGTTTTACTACAGGGTACCTCATAGTCCGCATCTATTTTTGAACTACTGGGACGTGTTTTGTTTTGTTTTGGTGTGGCCATCGTTTGAGTTTTTTATTGTCAATTTTGCGCGTCTGCCCGATGAGTAAACAGCACCGCACCGCCAAAGAGATGAAACTGAAGCGACGATTTCAGCGGGTGATACCCAAAGCTGCGATTTCGGACAGCTGAGCTGTGACATATCTCCGTCTTCTGTCTCCAAGACGATGTTGATGACATTGCCAGTTCGAGTTGGCAGCTACGTGATTTGCCTGCGTGGAACATAATTCTTTTTCAAGCACTGTAAGTTCCGATGAATTGTTAAAAGGAAGTTGACTTCAGCAAACCGTTAAGGATTTGAGTTCAAAACTAACCAACTGCCCAGCAGTGTTTTAAAGATTATTATTTATTGTGAATCGTTTGATTCTATTAAAGTGTCACTTGAACATATACCAAGAGTGAAAACTTATAATTCAAAGCACGTTTCTATTATGGAAAACAATTTGCCAAAAAATTTGAAAACACTCAGACGCAGCTAACGGTGATCGCGCACAAAGGGCCAATAAAAAATGTAGAGTACAAGGCATTGTTAGGGAAACGATAACGTCGGGTATTACGTATACGGGGTGAATATTCAGATTCGGTCAATGAACTTAATAGGTGGCCAGAAATTATTAGAAATTTTTAATTTCTTAGACTTTGTTTTTGCTTAAAATTAAGTTTACTTTCAGGAACTGAAATTCTACAATTCAGTTTGTTAAATTCTGTTTAACAGAAGCTTTCTAATATAATAAACACATACGGAATTCTCACTTTCGTTTTCTGCTTGATTACATAATACAAATTTGATGCGTGCTGAAAGTTTGCTATCATTCCAACCAGCTTTGCTTATGAAATTGTTAAAACCAACACTTGCCACAGACTCAACAAACTAATAGGTCTGGTCTTCTGCATACGCTTGGGCTTCATGTATTTGCCAATTAGAACCGAAGATCGAATCGAATAACTTAACAAGTCGATTCTTTATGTTTTTGAAATGCAGAATTGCAGCCGAGCAAAGCTGCTAACTAAGACAAATTTAACATACATTTCGTATACAGCGAGTCACACAAGGTAAATGGTAAATACATAAAGTGACCAAATTCGCAGATCTAAATCTCGTCTAAACTTTGGGCGAGGCACCCAAAATGAATGCGAAAAATACGAAATATAAAGAACGCGCCTCAGATAGCCGTTAATGGCAATAAAGTTACGTAACTGGCAAGTGGAGAATTAAGTTATGCAAATCGTGTTTGAATTTTGAATATCATTGCGTCCAATCGAGAAAGTAATGAGTGTACGCGAAAACAAAAACAGATTACGCTCTTTCCTTCTTTCCATAAAAAATATCAAGCGAACCGCATTTAACACAAAACAACACAAACAAATAAATATTACCAAAAAATTATAAATTATAAGCAAAAAATTCGATTTTGATGCAGATTGCTAAGCAAAAAATGTTTAAGCAATCGGTAGATCACCTCTAATACATAACAAAGAGATGCATTATTTTTGTATTTGTATTTCAATTTTCTAGTTTTGTGTATATTTTGCAAATCATGTAAAATTAATTTGTCTTATTCAGTTCTTTAATAATCACATTTATGGTTGAGCACATACATTTCGTCTAATGTTTTTTCTTATTTGGCATATAAGGATGTTTCTCAATATATGCCAGGGCTTTTAGAACAGATTCCGGCGTTGGTGGTGGAGTGGGCAAATGATCACCGGCAGGAATATAGCCGTTCTCATCAGCCACATAGTAAGTTGAGTATTCAATGCCATCATCGCCGATAAATTTGAATGATCCCGTGACGGCCTCGCCAGTTTTTTCCTTATCTATTTTCTTAAGATTGCCGTTCTGCGCCACTTCCGAGCCATCATGGAGTAGGTAACTTTTGGATAGAAATCGCCATTAAGCATGTTATGCTTTTATCGGACACCGGCCGTAATTTGGAAATTACAAACTTACTGGTAGAAGAATTTGCCATTGTGCTCCACATTGGATTCGTTTACAATAAAATCATTGTTATCAGCTGCATGCGACACAGCCGCAAACAGAGCACACAATAAAATTAGTTTCATATTTGTAAATTTTTCTCTATTTGAATCCCGAATTTATATCCACGCTGTGCAAATGTCTCAGGGCGACTAACATTTATAATGCTAAGCAAAGAGACTTATATTGTAGAATAGCAAAAAGCGAAAACGTGAAAAATAATATAAAAACATGCTAAGTCTGGACAATTCTTGTGCTAAAATATTTAACATGAAATTAAAGTCTCGGCAATAAATAATAATGAACTTGTTTGGCCTGTCTTTAGCCTTTTGCAAAATGGGTGTGAAATCCAATGCAGTCGCTAAGCAACGCCTCCGTTTGGCGTCAGCATTGAGCGATATCTATCAAAACTATAATGTGTATATATTTAGATTGATCATATTGGCAAACTAAAGATTTCCCTTAAAATGGCTGAATTTTCAGTTAGTGTATAAGCATTTCAGTGAATGTTTGGCCTTGAATTATGTCTACTGATTATGGCTGTCATCAACACCAGTATTGTATTCTGGTTCTTTATAAAACCGACTTGACAACATTTATCTAAGCTAACGAAGTCAACAAATAATTTACATTAGAAAAATTAGTCACCATTGCCTTTAAATTTAGAACAAAGAACAGTTTTCAAATGCTACTTTTGAGCATCTGGCTTAAGGCAAGTACTTTACCTATATTAAACAAGACGTATGAAAAATTGTTGCATTAGTAAAATGTTTTGAGCCTAACGTTTTCGAATTGAGAATACTTTAGCTGATAAGTTATGACTTTTTAGCTAATCGATCAGAATAAATGAAAAAAACATAATATTTTTTTAAAGAATCTTTAATTCTTTGTTTGCAGCTAAGGCTAAAGATATTTGAGTTCTTCTCATAAGATTAAATCATTTGACACGTACAAAAAAAAAACCAACAATTCGTATAAATTTATGCGTGTGTATGTATATATAAGTAGGTACATCCTTGTCATCCATAATGCTTATGCTCATATTACATGCAATCGATTATAGTTATATAGACTATTTACACAAGAATTGCTGTGCACAATAATTCGGTTATTATAGCATAATTCATTATTCTCTTTCTCCTTTATTTTTTTTTACATTTTCTTCTTGATTCCATTAATAATTCGATGATATCACATGAGTCCGAAAATGGCAAAGTTCCGGCGACTAAAAGATCTTAAGCACAGTATACATAGACGAAAAGAACGATTGGAAGAAATGGAGTAAAGGAATAAAACAAAGAATGTGAAATCAGAACTAAATAGTTAGTTAGTGCTTGTGTATGTATGTGTGTGTGCGTGTGTGTCTACAGGTTGTGTTCTTCAGTCAGCTGCTCGATGTTGGTGTTCGCTTCAAGGTATTAATTGATTGATTGTTGATATATGGGCTAGCAGCAATTTGCTTCGTTTGGGTATAGAATATTAAAATCGTTTGCATGGTCACTGTCCCCTCATTTCTCCATCAGGATCTTATTCATTAAGAACTAATTGTCCTAACGGCGACGCTGAGATGGGGGCAGGGTGAGCAGATAGTCGAGCGCCTTCTGGATCGCTGGTGGAATTGGTGGTGGAGTGGGCAAATGTGCACCCGTTGGCTGGAATCCGTTCTCATCATCAGCCGCATAGTTCAGAGTGATTAGCTCTCCCTCAGGCGAGGTGTACGAGACGGATCCCTTCACAATGATCACATCCGTGGTGTCCGCAGAGGTGGCCTTCTTTACGGTTCCAGTTTCCTCAGCCTTAATACCATTGGCCGTTTCGTAACTGCAACCAAAGTGTTATTATCAGGGTATGTTTTATTTTTATTTATTTACAAACCAAATTCACCTTGAAAGCTGTGAAAAGAATTAGTTGTCTGCTTTAAATTATCTTTTTATGGGTCTTATAGTTTTCTGAGAGAATTTGTAACGCATTTTAATTAATTACCAAGTCGTTATATTGACCAAACTAATTACTTTTCAATACCAAAAAAGCAATAGGTAGAATATATTAAATTTATGCAATTTTATAGTTCGGCAGGGTATTAATTCTTCAGCACATCAAAACTGGTATTCTTCCAGTTTTATTTTGCTTGTGGCGCCAACCAAATGGTGTATTTATATACGAACAGAATACATTTATGTGTTAGACTTGCTATCCAATTGAAACTTGTATATTGTTCATAAATTATTATTAAATTTGTTTCATTTGCATTAATAACTTGATTTTTAATGTATTTATGATGGGATTAGTTTGAAAAAGCAAACGAACAATTTGAGTATTATTTGGGTGTTAACAATATTTATGATATCACAGCCGCAATATTTTATGCAGAAGATGATATTGATATTTATGATATGATTATGATCTTTATTTAAATAATGTATGTAGCTAACATTTCCTATGCGACCAAAATATATTTGGAATATATGCGAAATTATCAAGGCTCGATTCGCACAGAGAACCTGGGCTCTAAAAAAACAACCCACAACGTCAAGTTTAAATATGCCTAAGATTATGCAACACAAAAAAATCCAAAAGGCTAGTTCCGTTTTTAAAATTGCTTAAAGTTTCAGCTCATAACTGGTTCCATTTTGGTGTGGGCAATTTAAACTTACGCATAATTGTAGGCACCATCCGGCTCGATATTCGATTCTTGGCTTATAATTGCAATGGGTTCTCCACCTTGCGGTTTGGGTGCTGCGTCCACCAGGCACAGCAGCGCAGCAGCGATCATACAGAGGGCAAACTGCAAATGGGTCAAAACCGGAAATTAATTTAATTTACGTAAATTGGCAATTGTTTATTAGAATTAGCGTAATTACACTAGACCCTGAAGGCTGAGTGGAACAAATCGTGAGCGATTTTTAAGTTGTTTTGTTTTTTCATACACCGCTTCCGAAGGGTAAACGACTATATTGGTGTTATTTTGATGTAGTATTTACTCCTAAAGTCAGAGCAGTGTATTGCATAGTCGGTTCAAACATACTTATGTTTTTCATGTACACTTGTTGTTGTTGGTAATTTGTGTTGTGTTGAAACTTTGCTCATCGTTTCGCATAGTTGTTTGATTTATGACTTTTGTTTACATTGTTCTCACATACAAACTATGTATACACACAGACGGACACACGCAGAGACAGACAATTGGATGGACAGTCGGACATGTGTCATTTTGCCACAGATTTCTTAAGGTCGTCAAATAACTAGACGCCAATTAAATATTTTACACACATGATTTTCAGCTTGTTTTCTGTGGGTCTTGGCAATTATCTCCCAAGCGCATGGAAAATTGTGGGGAGTGGAGATTAAAGACGAGTGCGATTCGTGACTGAGTTAAAATGCCTAATAGTATATATGGATTTAAAAAACAAATTGTGTAAATTGTAAATTGTGTTTAGTAAGATAGAAGTTGGCAATCGAAAAGAAAATACATAAAAGTCAAAAATATGTTTGGATTCCGTTTTGCTATGATTTTCTCCCTTTTGACTTAAAATACATGTTTACAGCTATTTGATAAGTATCTTAACACCCATGCCCTCTATATTTTACAAAATTAATATTGCTTACTTGAAAATTATCTGAATACCCATACCCTTTTAAATTTTGCTATATTAATGCCGATCAGATCAGATATTTACATACGATCGTGTTGAAACAAAGCCCAAAAAGGCTGAGATGGCAATTTTAGATGCAGTCTCAGTTTAAGTACAGTCTGACTTGTCTCTTGAGCAATTGCCAATGGGCGAGTGTGTTACGTGTCTAATGTTTCAGTTTAGTTTGCGCTCTTAGCCAGATAGACAGACAGCTGCCAACTGAGCGTAACGCTCATCGTCATCGCTTTTTTAGTCTCGCCTTTTGCGCCTCTGCGGCCAAATGTCTCGCAGCCTCAGCTTGTCCAGTGCAACCCAGTCGCACAGTTGTGTTGTCGTTATTGTTATTGTTGTTGTCGTCGTTGTCTGACCTTTGCATTGCATGCCGGCTGCATGTTAGCTGGCTTGGTTTGGCATCGTGCTTGAGCCTTTTAAGTGGCTGCTTCGTCTCCAGCATTCATTAATTGCTATTGCCATTTCGGCCGGGCTTGGCAGCCACTTTTGGCCATTTGCTAGCCAAATGGACGCAATATTTTTTTGGCAAATAAACCAACACGGAAACAATACTTTAAACCGCAAATTGCAAACCTTTAAGTTCTTATTTTGATCTTCTGCCTCAAAACTAAAGTTATTATTATGGGTCTCTTATGCTTTAAAATTTGTGTTGATTGATTTACGACTGTGCTGTTAAAATTTAAGTATTGAAGGATTTTGTATGTGTGTGTGTGTGTTTTTTAATTTGTAAGGTTATTTTGCCTTTGGACCTGTCGAAAGTCATAATGTTAGTGAACCATATGATTTGCAGCAAGTAGGAAACTATTTTCTTAAAGGCAGGCTTAAAAAACTTTAAAATGTCTACTGACTAAATAGTCTAAATATTTAAATTTCTCCTCAATTTTTATCAAGTGGTATTAGTTTTAACTTCGTATACATTGTCTCCAATTAATAATTATAGTTATTATTTACATCATAGTTTTTATATTGGGGCTATAAGTTTTCATATTGAAAGGACTCTCTGTCATTTGCTGCAGTAGGCTTGACAAACTTGATACAGGGTATTTTCTAGACGAGCACTCAGCTAAACACTTTAAGGACCGTTAGCAATTTTAAAATAACAAGCCTTATCAGCAGTTTTTGGATGTTTAACACTTGTAGCTTTCACGCACACACTTACGTTTTTCATTTTGTATATAAAAATGATTTCTTTCTGTAATGTAATCCAAAGTTGTTCTTATCCTTTCCAACAATCGTCGCACCACACTTCACACTTGTTGTTAATTGAACAAAAGATTTTTAATGATGCCCAAGTACCGGCAACTGAGTCTATTTATACGAAAAGCCCAAAGACGAGTACGACGGCAACGACGACGAAGCTGCAAATTCAGCAGGTAAAGCGTTGCACATGAAAGATGCAAAAAAAAGGAAAAAAAAAAATGTATATAAAACTTAACTAAACATTCGTCGTCGTCGCTGTTTGTCGCTGCCAGCTTTAGCGTCGCAGTCTGCGCCAGCGTTGTTTGAAAAGAGCAGCAGCAGCAGCAGCAGCAGCAATATTATTCGCCAGAGCAACAGAGTCACCAGCTACACAGGTGAGTAAAAAAGCATTTGAGGCACACTTCATGGTTGCCAGTTGAAGCCCCTCTGGCCATACGCCTCTGGCTGTCCAGCTCAGCTGTTCTGTGCGCAATTGAGAATTGAATGTAAAACCATTTTTATGTAATTGTTACGGATAATATTTTTGCATTGATTTCCAGTCGGCAGAGCAGTTAGAATTACATCACCAGAGCACCCTTTGGCAAATAACTTTGCCAGCCATTTGTTCAGATAAGATATGCAATATCTTACTCTTACTTGAGTTTATCTATCAACGGCAGGTGACTCGCACAGTAGTGCAAATTATAAAATAGGCGACATCGCCCTAGCGGCGTTGCCACCTAAGAGTTTGCAACATTTTTTTTGGGGTTTTCAAGCGAAAAAATTCCATTTAAATACGTGGCCAATAATCGGCAAATGCAATCAAAGTCAGGCAGTGGCAGCAGCAACTGCGCACAGTGGTGCCTCAAACTGTCTTGAGCAGTAAATAATATAAGAAAAACTTCTGTATGCAATTTATAAAATTTTGTATATATTTTTTTTAGACTTCATGGTGTGGCATAGGTGAGTGAAGAAATATATATTTATTATTGCAAGTGTACGATCACGAGTCTTTATATTAGGTCTCTCAAATTGGATTTTAATTGATGAAGATTGATGTTAAACCACAGTGCGCCCAAATTCGGGCTCAGGGCTCATGGCGCTGTCTGTGCTTGTGTACTGTGCTGTGCTGGGGTCAAAATGCCAAAAATTGCTAAACGCGAAGAGGCCGTCGTCGTTGCCTTTGCCGTTGCAGCCGCTGCTGCTGCCAAAGTGTAGGCGCGTCTAATGAATAGCTTGGGTCGGTTTGGCGCTGTGTCAGGCAGATGGGGACACAGACATAGACGGCGACAGAATTTCGTGACAAGATTGTCCCAAAGATTGTTGCCATATTGTATTCCAAGTAGTGTCTACTGTTGTTGTTGTTGTTTTTCAGACTGTGGCAATCAGCAAAACAATTGCCAGTTAGTTTTTTCTTTTTTTTTTGGGTCTGGTCTATTGTTATTGCTTGTTGACTAGTGTTAGGCAGTGCTTTATAATTATGAAGACATTCAACTGCATTAATTTTAATATTTATTATACTATGTTTTAATAGGTTTAATTAAAATTACGTAAGCAGCAGCAAAAGCAACAACAACATCAACTGCAACTTCTGACTTAATTAATTGCGCCTTAACAATATGGTCGCGCTAGCGAGTTCGTTGCCTAAGTCTTTTGATTTTCCAAGTGCAATAAAGGTGTAGTATGAGATTTATTTTTTGACAAATTTGAACCTTGAAATATTACGCATGACTTCTTTAATTAGCTGTTCAAGCCACATATGCTGTAAAATGTCAGTTGTTTGGCCGGCCATTAACCATAGAACAGATGCATCATTTCCACCTGCATCTTCATCTCCATCTTCATCCACTGACTTTGACACGCGCTGTGCATCTTTTTATGGCAACTTGTTGTTGCTTTTGCTGTTGGCCTTGAAGGTCGTGCCACCTTCTTTATGGCTTCAGACGCAATTTGTTTTAACTCTTAGTTTATACCCCGCCCCACATTGGGTTACAACACGTTACCAACTCTTGATATTTTGTTGCGTAAGAGTCACCCAAACTGGCGCGGTTAAGTTTTGTCTAGACCTAAACGGCCGGCATAGTTTTCGGAACCCAACTGGTATGTATAGCTGCATGGCTAATGGCTAATGCTAATGTCAATGCAGGCATAACTAAATAATTGCAAATAGCAGATAGCTCAGCGGTAGCCGTCGAACCAGTTGCTACAGCGTTTAAATGTCAGTGGTTTTGGTCATGTCGTGAATCTTTAGATACCACAAAACATCGCTTAGCTCTGATCTGGTCAGCTGTAGAGCAGAGCTGTCAAAAGTAATACGTAAACGGGCTACTTTTCATGGTCAAGGAGTAGATGTATAGTTCCAAGGCATTTGGTCAGATCGCAACTAGATCAGCATCATGGAAAGATATTGAACTTGTAATTGAATCCACTGTAGATCTGAAACGACACGTAATTGTACTAATTATGCATATCTTATGCACTTTGGTCTGACATTAATAAGCCGCCTTTTATTCTTCATATTAATGTTAATCCGTCTGAGCATCTTTAGATGCCACGCTGAAGGCGAAGGTGAGTCTTCTTTATGCAAATTAACTCATAAATGTTATATGTCAGCGGAACTCTCAGCATGTTGGCTGTGCGAGGGTGTAATACTTAATGGCAATTAGTGTAATATTAGTCAAAGATAGCTATTTACCACTCTTCACATCTATCATTACGAATTTCATTACGTTGACAACAACGAAATAACCACAATTCAGATTGTGTAGGTAGACAGAAAGGGCAACTATTTGCATATGGAAGTTAGTGTCTGTCTACCCCAGACTTAATTTAAATTTCCCCCAGTCAAAATAGTTTGCACAGTAACTTGAATTTATTTACTAATATAGTTAATCAATATTTAATTATGTTAGGTCGTTGAGCAATCAACTGACTACTAATCTTATTTAACAGACACTACAAACTTTTTTGAGGAAAATGAAAATTTTAATAGTGGGGATTTTGATAATTTTCAGGGTGTATGCAAGGAAAGGTGCTAAAATATTAAACAATGCATCTTGAATAATTGATGATTAAATTTGATTATTGATTAGTTTTGCAATGCTTTTGTGTATGAGAAATTGTAATTACTTGTCGCGTTATTCACTCTAAGTATGTTTGACTTTTCACGTTGTGAACAGAATTTTCGTTAGCTTCTGTGTTGAATTTTAGCTTAGACGTGCTGTTTTGTTATTGCAATCTCAGCTATTGTTGCACACATTTTGACTTCGTTGAAATTCTGTCAAGCCGTACGCGAAATGTGAAGGCTAAAATCGCAACGGCCAAAACCGCCCCTACCTCACTACTGGCTCCTCGTTTAATTGTTCATGGCTGAAAATGTATAAATGTAAGCATGGGTATATTGTATGACATACATAAATCATCTATTATGCTAAATTTGTAAGTTTTTGTACATTTATATGCAATTTTGAGACTTTAGAAAAATGATTATCTTGTTAATATTAAGGCAATCTTACTTAGTTTAATCAGAGATTTTCATGTGCTACCGAAATTAGTATCCCAATAATTTATAATGTATTTATTTAATTGACATCGTCTATTCGCCTAAACGCATAAATCGATATAAAATAATAATAATATATGGCTACTTTAGCAGTTTCTTAACAGACACATACATGATTTGCAATGCAGTCGAACCAGTTGGTTAAATGTGAGTGGTTCGGGTCACATTATTAATATTTAGCAACCTCACAAACTCTGCATAGCTTCCAGAGCCAGTCCTAATAATACATCTGCATATAAGTTTTCATTGTCAAGGGATAGTTGAAGTGTGAATATAACTGTAGCCATTTTGGTGTTGGCTATTAATACTAATCCGTTTTGAGGCGAACATTTTACACATTAATACATTAATAATTAAAAATTTCAGGGATACGGTCATTAAATTTGACAGCTCTGCTCTACAGCTGATCAGATCAGAGCTAAGCTATGTTTTGTGATATTTAAAGATTCACGAAATAAATTCCTTGTGTGATATTTTGAACAACGCAAATTTATTTTTCCAGCACTCTGCGCACAACTGCAAGAAATCGATACGTGATGCTCATCATCTGTTAAAAAATATATAACTTACGATTTGCTAAAGTACAGTTAGCAGTCAAAACTTACATTTTTGAAAGACTCCCTCGAAATGATAATGACTCCTTTGGCCGAAAGCTCTGCCGGCCTTTGAGCTCGTTGTATTATCATGAGAACATATTTCTGATAGGTGGGCGAACCATTATACCAATTGTGTATGTAGGCAGCTAAAGCAATATTTTCACTCTGCGAATGAAGTGAAAGTGAGTACACCATTTAATTGAAAAAGCTGACTTACCAAATCAATCAGACGTTGCCCATAGTAGCAAACCATGTAGAAATTCACAGAGTCACTGAAGAAATACAATAAAAATCCGAATCCCTCCCTTGTGAGGCCCTGCAAGATTATGTAGTAGGCAACGCAACAAAGTATGGTCGCTGTGCTAAACACATTGTAAGCCAACATCAGACCAAATATTTTGTTCAGTTCCTTGTACAGACTACAAAATCATTGAAATCGTAATCAAATTCTAAAATATTACAATATTTGCTTACTCACCTCAATAGTTGTTCATGTTTCCGTATCAATCTGGCTAAAAATTCACAATCCTCGTAATGGTTCTGCCTGCTGGGATTATAAGATGCCAGCTTCCTGCCCAGATGGGCAAAGTGCATGCAAAGCTGGCCAGAGAAGAATATCATCCAGATTTCGATGCCGAGTTTCAAATTCATTGAAGAGTGACTGAATGTAAATTCTATACACTGACTTAAGACATAAGTCATTGGAGACGTTACCTCAAATAGCTTTATGGGGAATGTGCTCAGATAGAGAAATATGACCTCACTGTCTGAAGTAAAGCGCTGATATAAATACATAAGGATCCCCTGGATGATGGGTCCAACAACCACTACAATGCCTACGAAATAATATACGTATATTGCATAAAGCGCAATGAATGGCCAGTAAGATTCATTGACTCGATACTCTTTGCGCTTTTTTCCTTCTTTCGGATAGAGAGCGCGCAACTTGTGATTCAATTCTTGTAGGTGTCGACGATGGTGCATAAATAACGAGAACTTAACGTAGGCATTGATTATACATAAATAGATAATTGCGAATCGCATGATGGCATCAGCATTTCCAGCTAGTGTTTCCCACTCAATGGTTCGTAGTATCATGTAGTAGACCATATACCAATGGCTAGTCACGCACAGGATCCCGTAAATATTAAGCATTAGTTTCTGCCATCTGGGCTTCGGGGTATTCAGAAAGTCGTATCCCATCGATTTGAATATAAAATTCGGCACATAGATGAAGTCATCGTAGGTCCGCAGTTCATCCGGTTTACCGTTTGACATTTTAGAAGTGAAATTATCAACTAATTATTGTTGAGTACGCAACGATGTTTTTATACCAAGATTTGATGGCGTGTATCAAATTATGTATAATTTAATTGTTTGGCACCTATTATATACCGAATATATTTTAATTATCATTTATAAATTGTTTATTAAGTCAACTACTTAGTAACTATTCAGAGCATATAGTCATACATATCTTATGAAGAGAAAATAATCAAATTTATTCATGACTTCCAGATACTCTTTAAACCATTTTTATTGGGTAAAGGGTATCAAAATAATAAATTCTTAGGCTTTGACAGCTGAATCAAGTGAATGGCATAATTATTCAATTAATATCTAATACTTCTCCAAAATCATAACTAAATTCAAACCAATTAATTTAAAAAAAAAAGCATTTGAACGACTTATTTATGTAAATTGGTTAATAAAACTTTTTTGATGTTTGTTTACACTGTCAAAGAATTTCCTAATTTGTGTAACACATTCTGTCTTGCTCTAAAATCCAGTTTTTAGCTGGGACCGTAAAAGTGTTACAAGACGAAAGAAATAGGATTAAAGTTTCAGTAGTTTAAAAGAATAATTTGAAAATTCTGTGAAATTATATTAGATAAATAAATTATTGTTAGTCTATTTTGTGGACTGAGTTTAATTTGTTAAACTGTTAAGCCAGGTGCTATAAGCTATGAAAGCACAGGTTCAGCACTACTTGAAATGATAATAATTGTATATTCTCATTTGAGGCATTGGCTTCGATCTAATGAGATTGCTTGTGGGTCGCGTGGCTCTCAGCTCCTCAGAGCACAGATCTTGGAGCTGTTGCAATAGCTATGGCACCTATTGTTGCAGCCGCATGCGAAATGTGAAGGCCAACAGCGTTGGCAAAACGAGCGCCGTTCCCCTCTACGTTCTACACGTCTTTGTACTTAGTCATTCATTCAGTAATCAACTCATTCATTGATTGCTATTTTCATGGCAATTTGAAGGCATTCATTACTAACTTATCAATGTATTTTGTTTAATCTGTTTCATGATATCAGTAACAATTGTTACTTTTGTATTCTTTACGGATTTTAACGTCTTTATTTTCAATTTTTATGGGGCTTAGTTTTATATGCATCATAAATAAATCGTATAACCTTTGCAGAACACACGTGCTAAGCTTTTTTCATGATGTAGATTTGCTTTATTCGTCGACACAACAAAATTAGCAATTTGATTGACACTAGTATTTAGCTGCGCCTCAAATTTCCAAATATAAAATTTGCATTTTAAGCATGCTTCTTAAGCAGCGAGCATTTAATTAATGTGCTATAATCACATTCATAATTATGTATACAGAGCAGCAGAATAACTTTGTCTCCACGATTGATACAGCAATCGTTATATTTCTTTATTTATCTGTTGAAATTAAAATTCATTTCATTTCTTTGGTATCTGATAGATTAAATGTGCTATTGCCAGCTGCCGGCTGCCACCTCCAACTGCTCTTAATTGTTAGTTATTTATTAACTTTGACATACCCTTTGCACTAAAATTGCGTCAATAGATTAAATATATTGAGCCCAACTTCTAATAAGATTTTTGCTTAGTCGAAATAATCAAAAACTGGCTTTAATTATAGAGTATGTATACGTATTATGGATAAACCAATTTAAATGACAATCAAAAATTTTAAACGGAAATTAGCAAGCCAGCCAAAAAAATCTGGTGAGAATGACTTTCAGAGTCAATGCTAAACTCTGACCAAATTTAATGGTTTTATGGTATGAAATTTAGGGCATAAATATACATAAGTCATCTATTATGCTAAATTTGTAAGTTTTTGTACATTTATATGCAATTTTGAGACTTTAGAAAAATGATTATCTTGTTAATATTAAGGCAATCTTACTTAGTTTAATCAGAGATTTTCATGTGCTACCGAAATTAGTATCTCAATAATTTATAATGTATTTATTTAATTGACTATCCGATAGGATTAATCGTATTTAGTTTCCTCATTAACGATTTGCCATCGTCTATTCGCCTAAACGCATAAATCGATATAAAATAATAATAATATATGCTACTTTAGCAGTTTCTTAACAGACACATACATGATTTGCAATGCAGTCGAACCAGTTGGTTAAATGTCAATGGTTCGGGTCACATTATTAATATTTAGCAACCTCACAAACTCTGCATAGCTTCCAGAGCCAGTCCTAATAATACATCTGCATATAAGTTTTCATTGTCAAGGGATAGTTGAAGTGTGAATATAACTGTAGCCATTTTGGTGTTGGCTATTAATACTAATCCGTTTTGAGGCGAACATTTTACACATTAATACATTAATAATTAAAAATTTCAGGGATACGGTCATTAAATTTGACAGCTCTGCTCTACAGCTGATCAGATCAGCGCTAAGCTATGTTTTATGATATCTAAAGATTCACGAAATAAATTTCTTGTGTGATATTTTGAACAACGCAAATTTATTTTCCCAGCAGTCTGCGCACAACTGCAAGAAATCGATACGTGATGCTCATCATCTGTTAAAAAATATATAACTTAGGATTTGCTAAAGCACAGTCAGCAATCAAAACTTACATTTTTGAAAGAATCCCTCGAAATGATAATGACTCCTTTGGCCGAAAGCTCTGCCGGCCTTTGAGCTCGTTGTATTATCATGAGAACATATTTCTGATAGGTGGGCGAACCATTATACCAATTGTGTATGTAGGCAGCTAAAGCAATATTTTCACTCTGCGAATGAAGTGAAAATGAGTACACCATTTAATTGAAAAAGCTGACTTACCAAATCAATCAGACGTTGCCCATAGTAGCAAACCATGTAGAAATTCACAGAGTCACTGAAGAAATACAATAAAAATCCAAATCCCTCCCTTGTCACGCCCTGTAGGATTGTGTAGTAGGCAACGCAACAAAGTATGGTCGCTGTGCTAAACACATTGTAAGCCAACATCAGACCAAATATTTTGTTCAGTTCCTTGTACAGACTACAAAATCATTGAAATCGGAATCAAATTCTAAAATATTACAATATTTGCTCACCCACCTCAACAGTTGTTCATGATCCCGTATCAATCTGACTAAAAATTCACAATCCTCGTAATGGTTCTGCCTGCTGGGATTATAAGATGCCAGCTTCCTGCCCAGATGGGCAAAGTGCATGCAAAGCTGGCCAGAGAAGCATATCATCCAGATGTCGGTGCCGAGTTTTATATTCATTGTAGAGTGACTGAATATAAATTCTATACACTGACTTAAGGCATAAGTCATTGGAGACGTTACCTCAAATCGTTTCATGGGGAATGTGCTCAGATAGAGAAATATGACCTCACTGTCTGAAGTATATCGCTGATATAAATACATAAGGATCGCCTGGATGATGGGACCAAGAACCACTACACCGACTACGAAATAATATATATATATTTCACAACGCGCAATGAATGGCCAGTAAAACTCATTGACTCGATACTCTTTGCGCGTTTTGCCTTCTTTCGGATAGAGAGCACGCAACTTGTCATTCAATTCTCGTAGGTGTCGACGATGGTGCATAAATAACGAGAACTTAACATCCGCATTGAGTACAATGAAATAGATAATCGCGAATCGCATGATGGCATCTGCACTTCCAGCTAGTGTATCCCACTCAATGGTTCGTAGTATCAAGTAGTAGACCATATACCAATGGCTAGTCACGCACAGAGTCCAGTAGATATTAAGCATTAGTTTCTGCCATCTGGGCTTCGGGGTATCCAGGAAGTCGTATCCCATCGACTTGAATATAAGATTCGGCACATAGATGAAGTCATCGTAGGTCCGTAGTTCATCCGGTTTACCGTTTGACATTTTAGAAGTTAATTTATCAACTAATTATTGTTGAGTACGCAACGATGTTTTTTACCCAACATTTGATGGCGTGTATCAAATTATGTATAATTTAATTGTTTGGCACCTATTATATACCGAATATATTTTAATTATCATTTATAAATTGTTTATTAAGTCAACTATTTAATAACTATTTAGAGCATATAGTCATACATATCTTATGAAGAGAAAATATTCAAATTTATTCAGGACTTCCAGATACTCTTTAAACCATTTTTATTGGGTAAAGGGTATCAAAATAATAAATTCTTAGGCTTTGACAGCTGTATCAAATGAATGGCATAATTATTCAATGAATATTCTAATACTTCTCCAAAATCATAACTAAATTCAAACCAATTAATTTAAAAAAAAGCATTTGAACGACTTATTTATGTAAATTGGTTAATAAAACTTTTTTGATGTTTGTTTACACTGTCAAAGAATTTCCTAATTTGTGTAACACATTCTGTCTTGCTCTAAGATCCAGTTTTTAGCTAGGACCGTAAAAGTGTTCCAAGACGAAAAAAATAGGATTCAAGTTTCAGTAGTTTAAAAGAATAATTTGAAAATTCTGTGAAATTATATTAGATAAATAAATTATTGTTAGTCTATTTTGTGGACTGAGTTTAATTTGTTAAACTGTTAAGCCAGGTACTATAAGCTATGAAAGCACAGGTTCAGCCTTACTTGAAATGATAATAATTGTATATTCTCATTTGAGGCATTGGCTTCGATCTAATGAGATTGCTTGTGGGTCGCGTGGCTCTCAGCTCCTCAGAGCACAGATCTTGGAGCTGTTGCAATAGCTATGGCACCTATTGTGCTAAGCTTTTTTCATGATGTAGATTTGCTTTATTCGTCGACACAACAAAATTAGCAATTTGATTGACACTAGTATTTAGCTGCGCCTCAAATTTCCAAATATAAAATTTGCATTTTAAGCATGCTTCTTAAGCAGCGAGCATTTAATTAATGTGCTAAAATCACATTCATAATTATGTATACAGAGCAGCAGAATAACTTTGTCTCCACGCTTGATACAGCAATCATTATATTTCTTTATTTATCTGTTGAAATTAAAATTCATTTCATTTCTTTGGTATCTGATAGATTAAATGTGCTATTGCCAGCTGCCGGCTGCCACCTCCAACTGCTTTTAATTGTTAGTTATTTATTAACTTTGATATACCCTTTGCACTAAAATTGCGTCAATAGATTAAATATATTAAGCCCAACTTCTAATAAGATTTTTGCTTAGTCGAAATAATCAAAAACTGGCTTTAATTATAGAGTATGTATACGTATTATGGATAAACCAATTTAAATAACAATCTAAATTTTAAACGGAAATTAGCAAGCCAGCCAAAAAAAATCTGGTGAGAATGACTTTCAGAGTCAATGCTAAACTCTGACCAAATTTAATGGTTTTACGGTCTGAAATTGAATGCTGTAGCCCAACTGAGGCAGATGTCGTTATAAATGGTGCGGGCAAACACTGCTTTCTTACAGTTTCTTTTTGCAGATTAACGTTGAAGTATCAAACTCCTCGCATATCTCTAAACAATTTTACTTATAAACTCGTCACATATATCTTCAAAATGTCTTTCAAACTGGTAAATCCAATTGTCAAAAGAATCCCAACGTGTTACATAGTGATTAAAGTGAATGATTCGAAAAGGTTCTAATGAAAACGGATATCTCTTCTTTTTTTTTTAGATATCCTGTCTGTTTGTGTTTTTCCTCATCCTGGTTGCCTGCAGTGCGCAACGTCAGTACAATCCGTATCTGAACAATCCTCGCTATAGAGATACGTACTACAAGAATCGTGACTTGTACAATCAGCAACGTTACTACGACAACTTCTATAAAAAGTACAACCCAAACATTGAAAATGGTGTTGCACGTGCCGTCGAACAATCGAATGAACCCAACCATGGTTCCGGCGATTATTCCTATAGTTACGAGACTGAGAATGGTATACATGGGGAGGAGCGTGGTTTGCCTTTTAAAAATGACAAGGGAGAGCAGGAGGAGCAAGTTTATGGGGCCTATTCGTACATATCACCCGAAGGCATTCGTGTCAGTGTCAAATATGTCGCGGATGCTAACGGTTTTCGTCCCATTATTACCTGTGAGTAAATTTAACTAGACAAAATTGAAATTATACATTGTTTGTAATTGACTTTCAGATGATGGTCCAAATGCTGCTTTTTATGCTAACCAACCAGCGCCTGCAAATGTGGTCTACACAAAGCACTAGAAACATGTATGCTATACAAATTATAGGGCACTGCAATTAACTAAACTTTAAATAAAACAAAAATTTAAAAAGACAATTCTTATATCTTCAATAATCCACTAGCAACCAAGTTTTTGAGTATATTTGAATTTATACTGAAAAAAGACAAACCTGATTATTATTCACTCAAACACAATGAACAGAAAATGGAGAACAGACCGAGGCTTCTTATTGGTCAGTTTCAGTTTTATATCATTAAATTTAATATCGCTTGACTTATTTTTTCATAAAAGCTTTTATAGTAAAGTAAAGCTTTAATTTCACATTTTATAGTTCAGCACAAAAGTGTGCTTTAAACATTTAAAAAACGAAACTTGTTTTTTTTTATTTAAACTTTTATGGATTCACAATTATGTGTGTTGTATGCCATTTGCATCTATCATAAATCAATCAATATATATATATATATATATATATTTATTTGTGGCCATTGACATCCAGTTCATATATGTACATTTAAACGTACAACTAAAATTAAATATGCGCCTACTATATTTTTTTACATTAATCTCAGTACATATAGAAATATGAATTTTTCTGATGTCGAAAACAAATTACACTGAATTTATCTTACTTATATATGATAAGATCTGTTTACTTGAATTGGAATAGTATGAACAAAGCATCGATACTTGATAGTGTTATATGCGCTACTAATTTCATGTAGAAATGATTACACTAACAATTAAGAGTATCAAAATTTGTTTGGGTTCAATAAACTCATTAATTGTACGTTCCCGCATTGTTTTGAAATTTGGTTTTTTGTTTTTGTGTCTGTTGGTTTTATTATCAATCGACCTTTGTATTCATTATATAGGCCATTGCCAATAAATATTATGACATTACTTATTAAAATTCCGAATTATTGAAATCTTTCCAAGGCATCATGAAATACATACACAGCGTATTTAAATAACAAATAATGATTTTATTAATAAAAATATATAAAAATAATTGTTTATAAATTCATAACACAATTTAAATATATCGATAAATAAATAGAATATTAACATAATTGGTCGAAATTCTTCAAAATTCTTTTGAGTACAATTCATTTTTTGTTATGGACTTCCTTTCGTTCTTTTTTTACATTTTTTTATGGCTTGTTATAGTTTTGCCAGCTGCAGACGGCAAATGCATGGGAATGGGGGGACATTTTTTGTGGTTTGTTGGGGTATAGGGTGGGAGGGAGGACTAAAGAGTGTGTTGTGCACACAACACAATCCAAATGGCTTTCGATGAGAACACAGCAATGTGGGATGTACTCGAAAAGCCGTTAGAGCTGAATGGCGTTATGTCTAAGTACCTCCTCCATTTCGCGAGCTTCCTCTTCTTCGGCCAACTCGACCTCGTGTTCCAGCATGCGGATTTGATCGCTCAGCTCCTTGGGCATTTGTTCCAAATGGATGGACTTGATTTGTGCCTTGATTTCTTTGGTCATGTGATTGATACGGAATCCACGATGATCGTACAACGGCTTATTGCCATTCGCCTTGTGCTGCTCCTCCACATATTTGAGAGCACGAGCAATGGCTTCGGGAATTGGTGGTGGTGTCGGTATGTGCTCACCCTCAGGCATGAATCCGCCATCATTCGAGGCATAATTTACGCGATAAAGTTTGCCATCATCGCCGGTATATTCGTAGTAGCCCTTAGCATGGGTGCCGCCTTCATGATGCAGCTTCGCTTGCTCCTCTCCATATATGCCGTTCTCAGTCAAGAAACTGAAGATTAAACGATCGATCAGAATGAGTGGGACGAGTCAATTTCAGTGACGACATCTTCAACTTACGCATGATCGTATTTGTCCTTCTTGCGGATCTCTTCCTGGTGCAGAATCTTATGGCGTCCTTCGTCATCATAGTTGAATAGAATGGGCCGTGCCGTTGTCGTTGTGGTTGTCGTTGTTGTTGTGGTACGTGGTGTGGTTGTGGTTGGCTTCTTCGTTGTGGTTGTTGTTGTCGACTGTGTTGTGTGTTTTTATTTATGGTACGTGGTTAACTAACGATCTCATCAAATTTCTCACGATTTTTTTTTATGCGTGCGTGTGGGTGTGAGTGTATATGTGTGGGTTTTGAGTGGATTGGGTGGGTCATGCATATACAGGCAGAGTTGGTGTTGTTCATGCAGTTCATTGGGGAGTGGCAGGAATCGGGAAACGGTTGGCAAGTGGTTGCTTTTGAATTAATAGCTTCTTGGTGTGTTATGCTGTTTGAATTATGAAAGCTTGGGTGGTGTTCGGGCTAATTTAGGTGCGCGTGGGGTGTCTTTGATCATGAAAATTGTTTATTTATTTATTTTTTTTTCGTGGTGTTGCCTAATCGGCTTCTGTGTTGATTTGGGGTTCATGTTCGGGAAAGCCGTATTCCAAGCGAATTTCTGGTACATTAAACTCGGCTTTACTTACTGTGTACAGGTCGTGGCTATCGAAGTTAGAAGTCGTATTAGTACTGCGATTAATTGCAACTGCAATGAGTCATAATTGCTTACTTGTAGGGTCTGGCATCATGGACGTAGGGCAAATTGAGACCAGCATATGGCCCATAACCACCACCGTAGGGATTGTGTATATGATGATAGACTCCAAGCTCACGATGATCGTTCACATGATTGTATGGTTGTGGCATGTGCTGATAACGACCTGAATAGTGAGAAACAAAATCATCAAATTGTTACAAATAAGTGTAAGTTAAGAACAAGTGTTTGTGTGAGTGAATAATTGCGTGTCAATGCATATGTAAACTGGAGCTTCGTGAAGAAGGTCAACGAAGTATATATGTAGTATATAAGCTTCTGAAATTTATACAGTTTAAATTAACAATATAAATATACAATATTCTTTAGAGAATTTATAAGTAATATTATACAAAAATAAATATTTGTAGAATAAGAAATATTATACAAAAATAAATATTTTCTCTCAAGATCATAAATAAAACTTGATGTTATGTATGCTTTGAAGTGTTTCCGTTGCTCACAAATGTATAAAAATGAATCATTAACTGTTAGGTCGAAAAGAATATTTGTAATTTTCAAAATCTACTGTTATGATAAAATATGTTTTAATTGGCTGAATGTGGTTGTTATGTTTCATTACACTTCAATGTTTACCTAAAGAATCCTGATAGCCACCTCTGCCTATAAGAAATTATATGTTAATAAATATATTACAAGTAGTTTGTTGGGTTAGTAGATTTCACTGTAGCCAAAGATTAAAAATGTTGTATGTTTTTTGTTTGCCAAGAACCAAAAAAATATTTTAGCTTAATCTTGAACTTTGCCATTCTTACGAATATGTAAAATTCTATTGGGTTATTAGTAAATATACAGTACTTATATAAATACTTGTTAGTTATTTGTTAATTTGCAATTTGTTTGTTGATTGGATCGCTGTTGTTAGTGCAGGTGGCATCAACATGCAGTGCGGTTGGTTGGCATGCAGCATTATCAGGCGCTTAGAAACTCGATTGCAATGCCGAAATACCTTCATCAGCTGAACTGGGATGGTATCGTCCATCATCTTGGGCACGGTATCTGCCATCGTTCGGGGTAACCTCATACTTGCCATTGTTATCAACGGGATTGCTGCGGCTAACTGCAACAAGGCCCTGTAAATAAAATTGATTGGAATGAGAGTTATGGAATTTGGCATATTAATCAAACGCCAACGGCATGCCGGCAATACTCAAGTCTCTTTCGCAGTACAGTTGGCCGGCCGGAAGTGTTAAAGTATAAATCAAGCAATAAATGCCAAAGAGCACGCACATACATCCCCATAACTGTATGTGATTTTTTGCTAGTTTTATTTATTTATTTTTTTTTTAAACATATTTTATGATATTTCAAATGCTATTAATAACGGCGAGGTATGAAGTTTTTTAAAAGAGCTTGACTCTGAGTGAGCTGCAAATTAAAAAAAAAATACGCCTGCATAGCCATGAAATTGAGCTTTAACTGTCTTGGCACTAATGAGTTGAATAAGCTTATATAAAATATATATTTATATAGTTATTTGTATACATATATATTTATATATAGTATTGTTTATTAATTTTTTTTTCAACTAAGTAACGTATGTCATGTTTGCGTAAACTTTATATATTTCAACTTTATTTTTCTTTGTCATTATACACAGGAGATAAACTGGTTTTATGTCCTTTTTATTCACTTTACTCACCACAATTACACAAATGCTTAGTACAGATTTCGCGAACATTTTACGAATTTGTTATATTTGTTTTTGAGTACTGCCGATAATCTCTTAATCCTTGGATATTATCCTAGTGATATTGCGTTAAGATCCCGGTGCGGTTAACGCGTCTGCTGTTGCAACAGGAATGTTTGAGTTTCGCTGAGATACACCGGATTTATATAGAAATGTGTTAAGTACGCTGTGAGCGCATCTCGCAATCTGATTCTCACAGCCTCGCCTAAATTCTCACATGTCTGGGAGAGGTAGTTGGCCTCATTTGCTCCTCAATTTGAGAGCGTTTCGGTTATGGATTCGACAGATCAGCTCAGACAACGTTGCTTACTCAGGTCATCTCAGTTCAGTTCAATAAGCAATAACGAAAAAAACGTCTTGAGCTGCGCTCCCTTTAAATTTACTCCAATGACGGGTTCTTCTTGTTGCTGTTGTTGCTAATTTGGTTATTGTTTTCATTTTCTAATTTTTTTATTGTTGTATTTATTATCGGAATTCGCTTGGAATTAGCTGTGCGCGTTTTTAAACGGTTGCACATCTGCCAACAATTGTAATTACTAATTAATTCAATTAAATAATTCGTATAATTTATTGAATTCAATGTACTTTTGGTATGCATCGATTATTCATAAGGAGCTCAGAATAATATTTTTATATTTTATGTACCAATCAAGGGCACCAAACTGCGCATTGCCTCACCCTGTTCTTGTTTTCTTCATATAAACTGCTGTGAGTTTTTCCCTGCAACACGTCATACAAATTATTTGTGAACACCACCAGCGCTGAATCATTATCAAAAAATTAATTTCATTACTGATAAACAAAGGTCAGGTTCAATCTGCAATCCGAAAATAATATGTATGTATAAATACAATAAATTTGTTTAAATATAAATGAGAACTTTAGATTGTTTACTCTCTTCATTACAGTATTGTATTGTTAATGGGAATGTTAATTTATTCAACTTTTAATTATCATATTCGGTGAAGCTTTGTATAATATTTAAGAAAAACCCGAAATTCTTATCGATTCAATTAATACATATGTATAACTGAAATGGTAAACACTAATGCCTACTTTCCTTTCATGTGGCTAACAGTAGATAAGCTTTTACTCAAATGCCTTATGAAATAGTCAAAATTGTGATTAATCCTTGATTACTTAGTGAAATTACATAAATATATTACATGCTATAGGTAATTATAACCCATCTATAGAGAAAGCCATGCTTGTCTGTCTGTAAGCTAATTCTTCTTGTTCTTAATGTGCCCATAAGCTCTAATTTATTTCCTGGATACTCAGTTCAACCACATTGATATGTGTTTTGTTTTTCTTAACTAAACGGTTTGGTATATTAAAATACTTATCACATTGTTATGGAGCTTGGATTGATGGCTGCATCGTCTTGGTAGATCGTATCCAAGCCAACTACCTGAGGCACTCGGAAGCGCTATAAAAGTGCCGTAATGAAAACATAAATTAAAAAAATACAAATAAAAAAAAGGTACGGAAACACAACAACATTCAGATATTGCGCGCGCCGGCCGCAATGTGATATGCATTAATTTTACTGAGTCTGGGGCTTGGTAACCCAGCCAGCATATGAGTATATATATCTGTGTGTACATACATATAACCGGAATCGGAATCAAAAGTCGGCGTCAGCCCGCGAAGAAAAATGTTGACAAAATTCAATTTAATGGTGGCAAACGTTGACATCGAATCGCAAAACTTGGTATGTGTCCTTAACTTAACTTAATTTAATTTAACTTTACTTGTGTTAACGGTATTTCTGATTGTGCAACCTAGAAAGATGCAAGCTGCAGCTGCCGTTGCTAAGCATATCTTTTATTGTGCGGATTAATTGCAGCAATAAACATAAACAGTGATTAAACAGTCAGTCACAAAATCTCGAGTAGAGAAAAGAAGAGTCAACTGCTGGGACAGGGGATTCAAGGGGTGACTGGGCGCAAAAGTCGCTGCACTGCAAAGGTCGTACAGTGAACCCGGCCAGCACATGAGTCCGTTCCGATCCGATCCGTTCTGTTTCGCACCAAATCTCCAAATCTGTCGCACTGTGAATCACGGCGCGTGGCTATTGTTGCTGTTTGCTATTTCTTGACTCATATTTAAACGTATATATATAATGGGAATAAGTATGGCATTCATGTAAAAATTACAAAGTATTTAAATATGCTGGCTTTTAATCAATTACAAGTTCAGTATGCTGGCTTTTAATCAATTACAAGTTCAGTATGATTACACATAGGGAATAAATCTTGCTTGACTTTATATGGCTTAACGCTGATTCAGATTTCACACATTCTTCAATGAATGAAAACAACCAGAGAGAATGTGTCGTAAGCAACAAATGTATAGTCATACGCTTTTATTTAATTTAAAATTCAATTATCTTCTTTAAGCTACTTAATGAGTAGATTTGGCGACAAGCCGGAATTGATTTTTGTTTACAACTTCTTCTTTATTTAAGTTACTTAAAAAATGTTCGTGCTTAGCTAGCAATCCCCCACATAACTGCAGTAATTCTATATAATCTGACAAAGCTAAGAACATTCATATCTCAATGAGTAGTTGTAAGTTGCTTAACAGCGTCAGTACATATGTTATTATAATAAGGATGTTGAGGTCGCGATAAGGCGCTGAATTACACAAGTTGCCCCGGCAATGGCAATGTTCCACGGCTGCTGACAGCATGTTATGCGAGTTCGATTCAGTGCAGCCATCCTTGTAGGGCTCTTCTATGGAATAAACATGGGTATAAATCCGATTTATGAGCTTATAGGTGATTGCCACTTGCTTTGCGCAATCTCTATGATGTGTTGACCATTTCGTTCCATTTTTTAGTATTATCGATATCACTTTCTTCTCACACATTGTAGAGTTTGCACACTGTACCCTGTACTTGGGTGAGTTCTGTAGCTTTGAGCATGGCATAGTTGCTTTGCTATCTATTCCATCGGAGCACTTGTAACACTCCAGTATCTCGGCTGCGGCGAGGCTGCTGCACAGAATGGCGAGTACAGTGAAACCAGAGAACATTGTGAGAGTTATGATCGACATAATGTTGAGTTCTGATAAGAATACATTTGGTTCTCTTAGGTATATGTTTAAGTACAAGCTGTCACCAAGAAGTCAGAACATGAACTACATAGCTGCTTTGTATCCGTGTTCAACATATCATGAATTTAATTTTGAACGACCAAACGTCCGGTCGGCTCTGACTTATTTGTACTTTATTCATGACACAAACATTTTAATACTCTTGCATTGGGTATTATAATTTTGAACTGATGTTTGTAATGCATTGAAGAACACTTGTCATTATACAAATAATATTTGGACTAAAAGCTACCAGCACCGGATTACTATACAATATAACTTTTATAGGAATAATCGATCGGTTTTGTAATTTCTAGTGAATTTAGATTTCACCAATTTCAGCAATTGATCAAAAAATATTTCAATGTGATGGCAAGTTCAATTTCATTGTGGGTTCACTCTAAATGGCTTCCTGATGACTCAGCCTTGGCAATGACCTGATTAACATTTTCGTGGTAAAATCATTTCACACTTTCTGTGTTATTCTGTATATCTAGATGTATTGAATAAAAAACAATAAGAAACCCAGAAATTGTATCGTAGGCAACAAATAGTATTAAAGTTTATTAATTTCAAATTCAATTATCTTCTTAGAGCTAATTACTAAATAGATTTGACACAACCGGAATTGTTTTTGTTTAACAAGTTTTTAAAATACTTTCTGTTACTCAGAAAGACTTTCCCATAATCTGACAAATCTGAGGACATATCTCAATGAGTAGTCATAACTTGCTAAATAAGAACAATACATATATTATTTTCATGATGAAGGCCTATAGATTCACTGCACTTGTATTTGAGCGTTGTATGTGTTCATTTCTCGTTAAAACACTCCAGTATCTCGGCAGCTCCGTCGCAACGATTACAGTGAAGCCCAAAGGCAGTGTGTGAGTGTGAGTTGTACAAACTTTTAGCAAGAAGTCAAAATACAACCTAACCAGTTGCTGGGTAGCATATCAGCGTATCACGAATTTTATTTGAATTATTAAACGTCCGGTCAGCTCTTTATTTGTGTATTCCTCCGTGACTTATTAGAGTAAATATATATAGTTTTTAATCATGCACTCATGATACATGACTTATATATAAATTTGGGTGTTAAATGTTCATTTCCAAATTTTTACTTTTTGCCAATGCCATGTTGACTTCGTGCGTTTTGTCAACGTTCGCCTAAAAATAATGTATAATTCATAACTATCTATAATAAACCAATCAGTTCTCGCTGCTTTTCAAATGACAACAATATCTTTGTCAGTCGGTTACATCCCATTGCTTTCCTTTCAAATTTGCACAATATTTCACGGCACCAATCATATCAGTGTATACATTTTGATTGTGCCCTGTTCCTGTTTTCAGCACTTCTCCAAACTCTTATGATATACGCGTATTTTCACCTGCTTTCTGGACATCAGACAGCTTTTTAAAAGCAATTGAAATTTTTATAGGGTGAGTATTGAGCATTAAGTGTGGACTATAAATTGCCTTAACTCTGAGCGTGGGTATTTGTATCTGGACATGTATGAGAGTACTTGGTTTAATTATTTCTCGCTCCATATTCGAAATAATTTTTTAACAATAGCTATAAATATATCCAGTTAAAGCGGGTTTTGCTCCAGCCAGCAAATTGGTAGCCGAATCTCAAATAGATAGATGACTTTTGTCAACACTTGGTGTGTGCACAATTGATGGATTGGATCAAATGATTTGTGTCATAAGCTGTTTTCATTTCTTTTCGACAATCAAATTAATTTACATAATACAAAAAAACAATGTAAATTTTAGCTAAAAGCGTTATTTGAACTTCATGTGAAACAATATAACAAATTACCAATCAACCTGACAATCAATTAAGTATTTACATATGTATGATATATATAGTATATCTGTGGGCGTAGATCTGTATAAAATATCGCAAGGTTCAAAGCACCGATCCGATGTGAGGCCGCTTCGATGGGATTTTTATCCGTAGGTGCTAAATAACAATACATTTTTATGTTTTAACTTGTATTTATCTGCTCATTTTATGAGTTCAATAAAAAGAAAAAAATGCAGTTGAAATCAATTCACAGCTTGTGCAAGTGTCAAAGAAAGAATATTTTTGGATTTTGTTTAATAATATATTTGTATATTGGTATATTTTTGTGCGCTGACATCATCTGAAAGGAATTTCAGTTGCATTTAAAGTAAAGTTCACGGTTGGGTTTCTTCTTACGACAAAGGGATAGTTCCGTGGTTTATACAACGATGGAAAAAATTTAATAATAATTTAATCGTTTAGGCCAATGGACGCCACCGCAAAAATGCAATTAAATAATTCGTCGCCGACGATTGATTTTTTTGTATGCGTGTATAAATTGAGCGCTGTGTGGAGAGGGTTGAGTAGTCGAAAAAGCTTTGCACGGTGTTGAAAATTGAAATTAAATTAATTGCGATCAAAACACCAAATTACGCATGATATTATCTGGATAACCACAACCCAAACACATTACATTTATATAGATACCTGTATATCAATACATGAATAGTATAATATTTCACAAACAAGCTCGGCGAGAATTTACATAAGCCAATCAAATTGTTTGTTAATCTAACTTGTATCTTGTATCTTGCTATACCATTGTCTTAGATATGTGTTTTCTTTTTTATTCAGCGCGTTTTATAATCTATAATAACAATAATTTTTTAGCATAGCTATGGAAACAGCCCGAACGCCAAAATACTGTAGCAGTCTTGATTTTTATGACCTGACAAAAACGTCAGATATAGTTTGATTCGTCTTAGTCTTGGTAAATCTGCTTTGTGCCTCATATTAAAAGCTTGTCAAGGTTTTTGATTTTTGCTTTTATTAATTTTATCGTTGGGTGTGTTCAATAGGTGGTGTATATTTGATTTTAACTACCCTGCAAGGTAAAAGGTTAAAGAGCAGACGCATCTCCTAAATTTAACATTTGACAGACTTTGGTATTTGTTTTTATTAATTACTATTTAAGCTAATATGAGTTATGTCTGTTTGCAAGGTAAAAGGTTAAAGCAACTCTAAGAAGTTCACAGTTTAGATCAGTTGCAAACTTTGTGGGCGTTTTCACTTTCAATTTCACACAGAGTTCAACTATTCTCAATATCCAAAGCGAATTTCGACTTGCTCCGATCATGTTTTTAATGCACATGCTGAAACTGGCAAATGATTTATGAATGGCTAGTGGCCGTTGTGATTGATCATCAGCTATTATGAATGCCCATTAAGGTAAACGATCGTTTTATTGTTTATTATGAAGCGTTAAACGACACTAATTAACTTTGATCCTATCAAAGCAGCTGAAGTGTTTACAAATTACCTACAGCGGAAACTCAACAATTCAACTCTTGACTGATGTAAAGAACTTCCGACAGCTGCAAAGATAAGGCGATTAGAAAGACTTACTGGCATTATTTTCTAATTAGTCTAAAACAATACGGAACCGTTACAACTGAATTTTTATGGAGTAGAACCAGAATATAATATTTTCTTATATGCATGAAAGAAATCTAGAATTTGCAACTAGACGAACCCCCCCATCCATTTTCAATACCAGACCAGAGAGTAAACCGATTAATTTATTTATTTAACTATACTTTGTAATTTTATACTGAGAAAACGTTCTCTTTTTCAAAGCACTTTGCATTTTATTGTTGCTGTAACATCTCTCGAGTTCGTGCCACCACTAATGGGCACAGTGGTTTCCGTTTTAAAATATTTTCACTGACGTTCAAATGTCAGACGCAATTGGGGTCTACCAATGGAACGAGTTGTGCTACTAGTCAATTAACAGATTGTTAGTATGCAAAGAATTTCAATTAATATACGTTACGCTAGGTTCGAAGTTACTTGTGCGACAACTAGTCGCAGCAACTACCAAATAAATATGATAATTAAATGATTAAGCCTGACAATTAATTAGCTGCCCACTTCATGTGCAATTGACACTGAAACTAACTAACCTGGCCAGTCATTGGATTATCGACATTTAAACGCACTTAACTAGTCGAGATGTACACTTTGCTAACGTTGCTTATTGTTTTGCTCTTATTAAGCCTGTGCTGGGCAGAAGGATCTGCACAGCAACAGCAGCAGGAGAAGCTAGTGCCATTGCCCACGCCTCCATCCAAGCCGGGCCACTATCTACACCATCTGCACGGGGCTGGCGGCTGGTATATGCCAGATAATAGCGGCAAGTATCGGCACGAGCACAAACCTTACGATGGCGGCTACGGGGATCGTGGTCAGCCGTATGCCAACGATCTGCGCGGGATCCTTAGAAAAGCCGAGGAGCAGCTCGTGGCCAGTGTGCAGGAGGCCGAGGAGAACTTTGCGCTGGGGCCACGCGACCATTTGCGCTTTATGATTGACTTCAACTACAATGGCACCGGCTGGCAAATAATCCAATTCGAATGGGTCCGCGATGGCGACGATCAGCGACAGTTTAGCTACGTGAATGAGAACAGGCTCTGGGACAAAAACTCACAATCGCAGTCTACTTCGCAATCCCAACCAGCACAAGCCTATAAATATGATCAGCCTCAGACTGCACTGACAGATCCCGATCGTAAGCAGCAGCAGTCCCGAGAGGAGTACGAGATTAGCAAAATAAATTCTCAACAGAATGTAAGTACAATAACCAAAAAAATTGGCGTAGATTTATCTATATAAGTGCGTATTTTTTTTTCAGTCAGGCGAAGTGCAGGCCACCATTAATGAGGTGTTGGAGTATATACAACAAGAGATCTTGCCGACACTCAACTAAAACTATCTATTAATTTAAATGAAACTTGAGAAATGTATTTTGTAAATTATATCTGAAATATTATATTTTTGTGAGTTAAAATATATACAATTGTCTGATATTTACAAAATTAGAAGGTTCTAATCCACGTCAGAGTTTCAGACTTCTTTCGTATAAATATAAATATTTTGTTGTATTCTTTGACATGATTTCCAGAAGCTGACCAAATAATTTTAAGCAATTGCGTTTTGATTTTCTAGTCACTCTATTTATTTTCTGATAAATGAAATAACAAAAATATTTTACTAAACTTTATAATGCGCCCTTCGACCTCAAAAAGTCCAGCAGCTTTGCAATATGGGGAGGCTCCTGGGGAATGTGTGCACCGACGGGCACAAATCCATTTTCATCAGCCACATAGTCCACTCTGTAGAGGAGGCCATCGTCACCGGTATATTCATAGTAGCCATTGCTGCGCAGAGCATCGGCCTCTGTTTGCTTCTCAATGCGGCCACTCTCCTCGGCAAGGATGCCATTCTCAGTTTCATAGCTTTCCGGCAAACGGGAGAAGAATTTAAGATGAATTTAGTACAACACTCATGATTTTAAGGACTCGCCCATTGCTTACAGATAATTATAGCCATCGGACTGCACGACTGCTTCCTGACGTATAATAGCTTCACCACCTTTGCCGACGCCTGTACCACGACCTTGTGGCAAGTTGGCGCGCTGATCAACAACAGCCACAGGTCGTGACTTAATGGACGAAGCTCCACCTCTACCATTACCGCTGGCATGAGCACCAGCATTATGAGCACCAACACCATGAGCACCAGCTCCGCTACCACCACGACCAGCACCGCCGGCACCGCCGAACTTGTTCTTGTCACCCACATAACGTTCAGCAGCGCCGCTGTAGTCACCACCAGGACGATTGTCGTGCTGATACTTGTTGTCTACATGCACATAACGTCCATCGTTGCTGCCGCCGTAGCGTCCACTATTGCTGGGCACATAGCGACCATCGTTGTTGCCGCCTGAGCGAACCACATTGGTTCTCACATTAACTCTTCTTGGATCAGGTCTATAACGGCCATCGTTCTGCGCCAGCGCAGCGGCAGCGCAGATTAGCAAGCAAATCTTTGGGTAGATGAATGATTAGACGAAACCATTAGCAGCAGGAGCAGCTCAACTTACCGTTAGACGCAACAACATAGTTAATCGACAATGATGTTGTTTAACCAAGATTCAGACCTTTATATACCGCTTTGAGAGACGCACAACGCCCACTGGCTTACTGAAGATTCACTCGTTCTATGTGTGTGCTTTGGCTAACTGGCTAACTTGGCGCTGATCGGACAACATTTGCAAAATACTCTCAAAACTAGATCTATTAACTATGTTGATTTATGAGACGTTTACTACATATTTTCTGGAAAACAACTGCGCCCAACACGCAGCCATAAAACGGATGAGATGGAGATATATTGAATTAATTAAATCATCGACTTCAGCGACACGGAAACGTTGACATTTCTTTGAGCAGTAATCTAATTTCGGTGAGCATTCAACATAACATCTGCCATTTGAAACATCAGCAAAAAATAAGTGCAAGTCTACGTCATGAAATTAAAAAAAAAACATGTTGATTGAAGAGTTTTCTTTAATGCCTGAAAGTAGACTGTGATTTATTTCAATTTATGGAGTGGAACTTGATGTGCGTAACTCTTTTCAGACCAAGTGTGATAGACTCTATGCATATAAGAATATGACATATTAATATCTTATTATTACACGAGTTATCAACTAGTTAGTAACGCTAGATAAAGTATTCATTATTATATATATTTTACGATGTATTCACTTATTTTCTACATTTGCAGATGTGAACTTCTAAATTAGTACAGATATTCTACAAGCTGAAGCGATTAGAGAGATTAAGTACTATGTATACAAATATAATTACTTAAAAATTTGGTTATTATGTCAGCTATGCCATAAGAAGTAATAGTTATCTTTGAGGGTATGTAACATTCACCAATACTGAGAGAACTAAAATGCAAATGTATTCAAATATGATTTTATTTTAATTGAAGTGATTATTACTTAAAAATATCACTCTGTAATTAATAAAATATTTATTAACTAAGATGTCAAATAAAGCATCTGCATAATTAACCTGTTGAAATCAATATAATAAATATTGGACATTTTTTTATGATAGAATTTATTAATTGTGCAGTTTTATTTACATATGCGAAATTATTTTATTATTTAATGGTTTAACAAATTAGCATTTATTAGCATTTATAGTTGCTTCTCCTCTCTATTACTCTCTATGTCTCTCCACGCTCAAGGGAATTAGCCTCTGCGTGCGGTGTAGGCGCTTTGCTGCTGTTCAGCTGGTTGCGGTGGTGCTGTGGCTATGTAATCCAAGGCCCTCTGTATAGCTGGCGGGATGGGCGGAGCTGTGGGCAGATGATCGCCCTGTGGCTGGAAGCCGTTCTCATCTGCTACATAGGTAATCCGTATGGGTGTGCCATCCGGCGCTGTATACGAGAAGAAGCCCTGAGCGACCTTTTCCATTCAAGCGAAAAAGAAAATAATAAGAAAAAAAATAAAATGCACAGATGGAGCTACAATTTGTCGGCGGTGGAATCGTGGGGCATCTGATGCAGATGCAAATGTCAAATGGCCGCATTGCTTGAGGTCGCTTGACTCACCGGTCCTGCATTATCGGTGCCAGCATTTTTGAGATAACCCTCTTCCTCGACGTTAATGCCATTCTCTGTCTCATAGTTGTACTTGTAGGAGCCATCAAAGTTCACCTCCTGCTCCTGCCGTAATATCTTGATGGGCTCCGTGGCAGGTCCTTGCGGTCGCGCATGCGTCTTGCATAGCAGCAAAGCTGCAACAATCACTAGCTGCCAGAAGATTAACGCCAATCCTTGGGATGAACTGAATGAGCCAGAGGTAGATACTTACAAAGTATTGCATGTGGTCTGGTTTTATCCTTGTGTTCGCTTCCGTCAGCGTCTCGTTTTGTAACTGTGGCCAATAACGCCAAAGGTTTGCATATTTATAGCAAAAGCTCGATTCAGTGGCGCTGCTTTTGAGCACTCATACTGACTGCTGCTTGAACTTTACAGTTCAGCCTCTTGCAGCAGAGTAGCTCTTTGCCTCTCGATCGCAGCTTGGCCTCTGGTGGGTGTTTAGCATTTGGATGGAAGATGCACAGATCAGAAGCCAAGCTCAAAGCCTGGCCAAACTGATTAGATCTTAGTTAACTTCTTCGGTTGTTCCAATGATCGCGTGATTAGTGCTTTTGGTGTTGTTAAAGTGTTGTAAAATCTGCAATTTGTCAAGTGAATTGCTTATTGTGTACTAATTTGTCACCTAAGTAAAAACTACTGTCCAATTTGTTTGCTAATAAAATAATTGCTTTTATGTGAGATTTCTATAAAGTCGTTAATAAAATTAAAAGCTATAAATATATTAAATATGTTTGAAACATGTTTGTAAAAATATTTAAAAAATAAGGTATTGTGTCATCATTTTAAAATAAATTTTGTATTCACAATTCGCCCTGAGTGACGTTTTACTGTACGCGGAGCGTTGTAACAGAATATTTTGGTCAGTTTATAATTGAGAATGTTTATCTAGAAATAAACTTGTAACGTGGCATTCAAAGAACACGTCTTGGGTTTCAAATCAATTTGTCAGCCACACTTGTAGACATTTAACTTTAGCCTTACCAGCATACATATTCGAATGCACCACAGACACAAGAAAACAAATTGCACAATCTACCCATACGAACCCATACACCAATACACCCAGTGCAACAGCCTTTGCTGCGTGGAGGCGGCAACAGCATGATCATTACGCGAATAACATTAGAAGAGTATCATTATATTTGTGCTAAACATTGTTGCCACGCCACCTGACCATGATCATGTCTATCTGACTGCTTGTCTGTCCCCGTCCCGGCTGTTGACCTTTGTTGGAGGTGGTATTCAGTTATTCTGAACTGAACGAGGCGTGCTTGTTGAGACGCGTACAGATTTGACCACAGGCGTTAATTAGCCCTCATTGGTTTGGATCATTTAGCTTGTGCAACACTAGTTGAAACTCGATATGTGGAAATGTCATTTACTTTCCTAGTCATTAGATAAAATTATTTTTATTTTTTTTTTTATAAATTAAGTTTTATTTTGGAGAATTAATTATATTTTCACATTTTAACGAAATATATTGCGGTATGTGGCGTTGTTGTTTGGCATCTCCATTTTATCCCTTGTTGAAGAGCATCGACAGGAGTTGCTGCTTGAATGGTTTTACAGTTGTCGTCTCGTCGGTGTAGTAGGTGGAGTCATAGTAATCGGGAGTCGAACTCAAATACGAATAGTAGTCAGTAGGCGAGTATGAACTGGAGCCGCTTGGGGAGGTGGATGAGCTGGTGCTGGTGCCGGAGCCGGAGCCGGAGCCGGAGCCTGTGGTGCCGGTACCGGTGGCGGTGGCGGTGCCGGTGCCTTGCGCCCTCACCGACACAGATATCGCGACGATTATGAGTAGAACTTGTAGTTTCATTTTATGTTTGTTTTTTTAGCTACTAGTTTTCGTTGGCTGTTTACCACAATGTTGTCCAAATCGAAGTGTGTCTCCTAATGCCCCAATGCACCACTTTTTATACGCCGCAGAGACATGCTACTAGAAAATACATATGACATGTAAAATATACAATGAACTTCAGCTAAGACAACAGTCTATGGGTTATTATTTACACAAATGTTTGCTAGGCTAGAATACACGAAATTATGTTTGATCTTTATTTGGAGTACATTATGAAATGCACTTTGAGTACAGTTTACGCCACTATTTATCTCTTAAATAAAACTGGGCATGCAACCACATAAAGCGAATAGAATTGAATTGTTAAGTGTGTGTCATTTTATATGGGCTTAGAGACATTAAATGCTTGGTTTTTTGTTTTGGTTTTTCTACAAATTTATTATATTATTATACTATTACTCTAACACAATATCTTTAATATATATAGCGATCATAAGATGCTGGCCATTCCATGGCATGTACAAAATCTGGAAGATCTGTTATGAACTGTGAGCTAAACGTATCCCGCCTATGCACATGGCTTATATAATGACCAGATATGCCAATTTCGAAAACCGGTTCATCGAATTTACCATTCACCTTCTAAAAGAAGATTTAAAAAGAAAAGAATTATTTATGTAACTTACATTCTTGATTATACGAAATTACGTACCGCCAACTCCAAATCGAATTCAATGGGTGAGCTATCCGCGGCCCAGGCAAAGAATATGTGATATGGTGGCTTGAAAGTGCCCGGGTTATCCAGCATGCCCCTTAAAAATGACCAGTCTAACATTTTCACACCATCCAACGGTTTCAGGAATATACTCATGCGTGCGGGTCCTGTTAGTTTAAACTGATACCGTATCGAATAGCCACCGGCTAATATTGTCTTATTGACTAACTCGAGGGTAGTCGTGCCGGGCACCTCGACAGGCTGCTTGCGTGGCAGCCAGCGAGCTGCCTTTCGTGCTTCGCACCACCGATGATTGAAACAGGGCACGCCGCACATCATTTGATTTTCGCATTCGTGCTCCAGGTGAACTAAACCGGTCAAATCCATTGTGTCGGCCAGTGGCTGTTCCAGACGACGATCCTGCAAGTCAAAATAGTAGCCGGAATCCTCCTGGCTAATGGAACCATCGTATCCGTAGAATCTACGATGTACTTGCTGTAATGTCAATGAGTCTTACAATCGAGATATCTGAGATATTTAGCAGCTAAGTGGCTTACCAAAAAGTTAACCCGCATCACATTCGTTTTACGCCGATAAGGGAAACCCACATCCGATACAGATATCATGCAGAATATAAACATTATGAGCGCCAGGCCGCCAATCATCCAATTTGGTCGCCGGAAGATGTTAATTAGTGGTGCCTGAGGGGTTGAGCCGGTGAGTTTAATATACATACATTATTTAATATTATCTGTCTTTGACTAATATTTAACTTATATTAGTTTTGAACTTACCAAACAACCCAGAGCAAGTATTGTGCCCATTGCACACAGAAGTGCAATCAGCAAATCTGGATTCACTTCGGTTCCCTTACGGGCTGTCATTGGAATGCAAATGACAAGAAAAGCGTGAAACAAGTAGCTGAAGTAAAGGAAGGGTATTGCTTGGCATACACATAGCACCAGCGACCAATAGTAACCTGTAGAATCCAAAGAATTATGTAATTATCAAATGCTCATAAACGACATTAAGGTTAGAGCCCTACCGCGATCATGCAGCCTGCTAAGCAAATTTATGGCCAGTGCACCCGCATAGAAGAGCAGACTTATCATTAGCAGATAGGCACTACGCAGACCAGCGATAGTTGCAATGATGCATAGCAGGGCCAAGAGTGCACAGTGGGCGTGGCCAGCCATTTGCAGGTGATAAAAGTGCGGTATTTTCTTCTGCAAGTAAATCAAAAATTCTCTTGGGGTTAGCTATGTTGTTCACTTCAGTTGAGAGTTAAATTGCACTTACACTGGGCCTAAAAGTGTAGTAGAGAGTGAAAGGCAGCAGCAGACCAATGATTGAGGGACAAATGAAGAGTCCAATTACGAGCCAGCTATTGGTGAAGTACGTCAAGGTGCGATTACCGGCATCATAAAACACAGCCATAAGCAGTGGCAGACCCAGAGCCAGTACAAATGCAACCAGCTCTAAGCCAACCATAACACCAAAGGCGCCAGCAATGGAACCCATCTTCACATCTGTTGTCCTTGTCATGCGCCATAGGGACACGCAGACCAGGATGATGCCGGCAAGAGCAATGCAGATATTAACGGCAATACCGGTGGACTCCAAGTAGTAAACAAAGAACAGGCCCATAAAATCAAAGAATACGGAGTGACCCTCGGAGTGCGCCTAAGCATAATAAAGATAAGCCTTATCAAGATGCTAAGCTAAATAAACAAAATCTTACCTCAGTGTCGCGCATTTCCTCCGCATTGCTAATTCTACGCGTTAGATGTAACAAATTCTCACCCGTATTCTGTAGTGAATTTCGGGATATAACATCAAAGCGATCGTATTTGGTATGGTAGACGAAACCATTGTATTGGCCAGCCATATCCAGACCTGCGAGATGAAACATAAATATATCGATTGGGGGGCAGTCAAGTTGAGAACACATACCTGGCACCGGACCAAAGTCGCGGAAGATCCTAAAGTCCGTGTCGGAGGGTATGATACCAGCCTGAAATACCTCCTCGGCCATTGTTGTTGCAAACGGATGTTTGGCGGCGTCCCTGTAGTGCTGCAAGCGTTGAATGCAATTTTGCAAGATTTAATACTAATAATCGAGATAAGAAAATCAGATAACACATTTTTCAACTGATATCAAAACATTATCTGACTCTCGATAAGATCGCCGAAATAGTCTATGCGAATTTTAATAGTCACTTACTCGCATTAGCCAGGGATGATTGGGACCACCTTGGAAGAGTATCTCACGGCCACCGGCACCGGCAGAGTCCAGATTGATGAGAGCCCTACAGAAATATGTGTCAAACATTGCTAGCAGCACATCACTCTCTCTCTCTCTCTCTCTCTCTCAGATTTTACTCACTTGCAGTTGGGCGACCATTTGTGCTGTGAGATAAACGCATGGGAACCCTGAAGCGGCTGTTCTTCGGCACCATTGAATAGAAAGACAATCGGATGCTCGAAAGTATCCTGAGACATGACAAGTTGGCGCATCACCTCCAGCATTGCAACAACCATGAAGGCAGCATCTCCGGTACCTACACTGCCCGGTTTGGTGTCGTAATGACTGTTAATAAGCAAATATGATGTACTATTCGAGCTCTTTGTGCTCAGTTTGACAACAACATTCTGGACGGCCTGATACATATTGATCATCTCCCAGTGCAGATAAGCTCCGGATGCCCGCTGCACATCCACTTCCATCTCATACAAATCATGTCGCATCACGCTACGCACTGTGTCAATTTCCTTGAGCATAAATTCAACCATTGTCTTCTCGTTCATTTCATCGCCCACAATTTTGGGTCCCATGCGATCCAGCTCGAGTAATTTCTGTTGAGCTCGCTCCGCTACAAACTGACCCGGTTTGCTTGTCTCCTCCGCTAAGTTGACTGGTGTGGGCAACGAGTAGAAGAGTGGGAAGACCACAGCGAAGAAGAGAGCGACCCAGAAAAGCAGAAAACTGGGCGCATAATACCAGGGTAGCTGTTTATGGAGTGTGTCCTTCTCTGATACAAGAATGATAGTATTATCCATTATCTCACTGGTTTGAAATTCCTACATAAAACAAGGAGAAGCACAGCAGTTAATTATAATTGTGGCCAATAAAAAATTGCAATGCCTCCTACGTTCTTATCTTCGCCACCATCCATAATTGTAGTTCTATTCGTAACCAGCTCGTCTCGTAGCTCCAGCAATGGCCAAATTGTTTTAGCGACTTAGCAATTATTTGGCTGCTTCTCCGTTTTAAAGCAAATTATTTACGATCAAATTTTATCAGCTGTGATTTCATATCTCTAATCGTAACTGTTGCCATAATTGCTGTGTTTATACAAAAAACGCGCTGATATTTGATATATATATATATATTTTTTTTATTTTTTTACCCCCAATATCTATCAATAAAACCCTACAAAAAACCCACACAAATTATACTCGCGTAAATTGGGAGAAATGGTTATTGGGGCACTTTGGAATACGGTTCAACATCCAATTGGGTTGCCATCGTCAAGTGAGTGATCGACACTCCGATTTTATCAAGTTTTGTTCTTAATATGGTGGATTTATTGGAGTAACTACTTAGCATCTGTTAAGCAATTAACACGTATTGTTTGGGACCTTGTGAATCATTACCCGTAATCGTTTTTTGCCTTGAATTTTTATCATATCGAAAATGCGCTCCATATAAAATATTGAGTATATAAAGCAACTATTGGTTAATAGATTTTCAAGCAACTTGACCGTTTTCAACTTCCATATAGTAAGAAGCAGTATTTATTAAGTTACTAATAAATTCTGTTATATTTATTCGAAATTCGTTCATGTAAAATTTATTATTACAAGATTGGAATAGGTGCCAATTTTTGTAATAAGAACATCATTGCTTTCCCAAAAATATTGAAAATAATATATATAAAGTCCGATTAATATTTATATTTAATTTAATCTCTTACAATAAAATTAATTTTATATGCATAAATCTAGTCATTTTTGTATTGTATATATTTAGAATACGTAACGCTTATATAATGTTGGCCACTCCATCACATGCACAAAATCTGGAAAGTCGGCTATAAACTGAAGGCCAGCGGAGTCTCTTTCAAAGTCATAGCTGACATAATGCCACGCAACGCCCAATTCAAAGATGGGCACATTGAAATCACCAGTAGGTTTCTGGTTGGGAAATTTTAATTATTTAAATTATTATATATTATTATGTATTTTCATTATTTAACTCACTGCAAAGTCTATATGGAATTTTAGAGGGGTTTTATCTTTGCCATATGAGAAAAATATTTGATAAGGTAACTTGTATTTTTCCGGCTCGTCAAGTAAATTCCTTATGAAGGACCAATCCTCCACGGATACACCCTCCAGTGGTTGTATAAACAAGCCCATATGTGGTGGACCACTCAACTCAAACTCATAGCGTGCCGCAGTGCCACTTGGCAGAATAGTTTTACTCAAAAGCACCAATGAGGAGTTGCCTGGTATTTTCACTTCCTGTTCACGTGGCAGCCAATGTGCCGTGGAACGAGCTTTGCACCAGCGATGATTAAAGCAGGGCACCCCGCACATTAACTCCTTGTCACAGTGCTCCTCAATGCCAGTCAGGTCCTTCAGATCGACTGAAGTGTCCTCGAGCGGATAGTTGAGGCGCCTGTCCTGGAAGTCAAAGTAATAGCCCGAATCGCTGAGACTCACACTACCATCATACTCATAGAAAATGCGTCGAACATGCTGCCAATAATCAATAACAGTTAACCTATAAATCTAATCTGAACATATCGATGTCGAAACTTACCAGAAAATTAACACGCATAACGTTTGTCTTGGGTCGATAGGGAAAGCCCACATCCGACACAGCAATCATACTAAAAATAAAAGTAATGATGCCAAGCCCAAGCATGACAAATTTGGACCAGTGGAACATATTGATAAGTGGTGACTTATATGCACAAGAAAGAAAGAATATTAATATTAATATGGATGAGCTAATTACCGCCATACTCACCACGAATCCCAAAGCGAAAAATGTGCCAAGTCCACATAACAAAGCAATGAGAAGATCAGGGTTCAGGGAGCTGCCATTGCGACCCATCATGGGTATCAAAACAACAAGAAACATGTAGAACAGATAGCAGAAGTAACAGAAGGGCATAAGCTGCAATATTTGCGTTATCAGCACCCAGTAATAGTCTGAAATTCACAATAAATAATAAAGGTGATTGTGATTTTGAGTTAGATTGATCCATAACTTACTTCGATCGTGTAGTTTGCTCAGCAGATTAATGATTAGCGCAGCGGAATAGAAGAGCATTGATATCATGCAGAGGTAAGGGGTGCGCAAACTGATTGCAGTCAGTATGATGGCCGCAAGAGCCAGCACCACACAGTGGGCGTGCAGACTCATGTGTACATGGTGGGAGTGGCTGACATTTTGCTGTTCAATATATCATTAAAATATATAAAAACATAACCAATTTAGTTTAATGTATAGTTTATTGCTTACATTCTTGCGGAAACTGAAATAGAGTGTGGTGGGCAAACTGAGCCCAATGATCGCCGGGCAGACGAACAGGCCGAGCATGAGCCAGTTGCTCGTGAAGTAAGTCAACGAATGATTCCCGGCATCAAAGAGAACAGCCATCAACAGGGGCAGACCAAGGCAAAGAGCGACTCCAACAATGTGTAGGCCCAATATGATGGCAAACCAAATTAATACTTGGCACAGCGACAGCTCGGATACGTGTGCCATGCGCCACAGTGAGATGCCTACAAGCAACAGGCTCACAGCCGCAATGCAACTGTTCAACACAATGCCAGTTGTTTTCGAATAAACCACAAAAAATAAGCCCATGTAGTCAAAGAAAACGGCATGTCCTTCCCTGTGCGCCTGCAAATAGTTCGATTCAAGTTTCATCAGCTAACTTAAATTTAACAATATATATATAAAATGATTGATATGAAACTTAAGAATAATTACTAAAAGTATTCCTATTAAAGTACTTACCTCAGTGTCGTACATTTCGTTCGCATTGGCAAAGGCCCGTACCAGTGGAAGAACATTTTCCCCCGTGTTCTGTATCGATTTAGCGGGCACATTCTCATAGTTATCAAATATGGTATGGTAGACATAACCATTGCCGATCTGAGCCATATCCAAGCCTACACATCAGAGCATACATTTAGCCATTATCATATTTAGATTTATTATTTCCAGACATACCCGGTAAATTTCCATAGTCGCGAAATATGCGAAAGTCCGTATCGGAGGGCAGTATACCGGATTGAAAGATTTCCTCGGCCATTGTTGTTGCAAAAGGATGTTTGGCATGTTGATTGTAATACTGAAATCAATATATGTAACTAAAGTTAGTCGAAAATAAATGGCGGGTGTCAACAACCAAACTTTTAATTTATAACCCATAATAATTGTCAAAAGGTATTTTTATAGCTAGATTTATGACTTCTAACTAGTATTCGCCGCCACGCGTATGCATATAACAAATCTGAAGATAAGGGCATATCAATGTTATAAACTTACTTGCATTAGCCACGGATGATTTGGGCCACTTTGGAAAAGCAATTCTCTACCACCACTTCCGGCTACTTCTAGATTTAGGAGTGCCCTGTTAATATGGATATAATATTCACAAGTTAAAATTAAGCCTCAAATTATTTATTATGAATAAGACAAGATATAACCAAAAAATAAAAATAAATAAAACTTTTTCTCTTACTTGCAGTTCTTTGCCCATTTGTGTTGGGTGATAAAACCATGTGAGGCTTGCAAAGGATTCTCCTCAGCTCCATTGAACAGAAATACAATGGGGTGCTGAAAGCTCTGGTCCGATATGGCCATTTGACGTAGCACTTCCAGCATAACAATGACCATAGTGCCATCATCGCCAGAGCCAGGACTGCTGGGCTTCGAGTCAAAGTGACTGTTAAGCAGCAAATAGGATTCGCTGGTGGAGCTGCGCGTGCTCAGCTTGACGACCACATTCTGTACGCCCTGATACATGTTTACCATATTCCAATGCATATAGGCACCCGATGGCTGTTGCACATCCACCTCCAGATCGTAGAGATCCGATCTCATAGATGCTCGCACATTTTCGACTTCGTCGAGCAGGAAGGCAACCGTTAGCACCTCGTTGGCAATGCTGCCGACGACTTTGGGACCGATTTGATCATAGCTATATAACAGACGCTGTGCTCGCTCGGCAATAAACTGGCCCGGCTTCAGCGGCTCCTCGGCAATGGTAACTACTTCTGGCAGTTGGTTGAACAGCGATATAACGATGGCAAAAAAAATTCCGACCCAAAGGAGTAGAAAGGCAGGCGCATAGTACCACGGAATCTTTGCTCGAAGATGTTTTGATTTTCTTACCATGTGGACCAGGGCCACCTCCAATGGGGCAAAATTCTGGAAAATATTTCATTACTTTTTGCAGCTTATTCTTTATCGTACATACACTTTCTTCCATTTCCTTGACTGCCATAATTTAGCTACTTTTTATTTTCACTCTTTCGACGCACAGTTCCGTTGACAAACTTTGGCCAACTAAATTTCTGTATGTCGAATAGTTCATTTGGCTCTGACTGCATTTTATTGGCACTGATTTGTACTTTGAAGTCTATAAAGATAAACTTATTTCATTGATAGATACATCAGAACAAAAAAATAAATAAAAAAATAACAACCTAAAGTCAAGCCTTTTATTCAAAAATATATTTCGGTTTCGTTGTGGTCAACAAGGAAGTTTAGTATCTAAATTATGTGTAGTATATATTTTATGGTTTAGCTATCGGTAAAGAACTGTAATAACCAGTTGGATATAAAGCGTTATGTACTCGAAAGCTTCAATAAAATCAAAACAAACAATTATGAATGGAGGAGTGTCTCGACTTTACGATACTCTGATCACAGAATATGTTCTGTTCATTTCATTCGGCAAATGATAATAAGAATAGTTAAGCAATGTAGCCAGTAATCTTCCTTTAACATTTGCTTAGCATTTTCTTAGAATTATTTGAAACAGGCTTTTTATATCTAAGCTCGGTAGGTCTTATGCAGTCACATTTACTGGAAATTATATATTATTCAGAGTTTCACATGTTAGATTAATATACTCTTTGTATTCATCATTAGTAAATAAGCGCAAAAATCAGGTATTTGAATTTGTTTTTGGTTTTGCTCTATCAAAGCTATCCATAAATGTTGTTCCATTGTATATGGTCGATAGTTGATAAGGTATAAATCAAGTAACCTCTAGCCATATTCGCTGAATAACTGGATACCAATAAATCGGCGTCTCTTTTGGCAATATATTCCGGACACACCGGTTGTATACTACACCTTTTGGAACTGATAACCTTCTACCCTGATACCGAAAATTAAGATGTAAACTTTGAAGTTCTGTAAACTTCAATAAATATCATTATTTATCTTTCATTTACCTCAATAGAAAAGCTTAAATTATTCCATACTAAAATGTCTTCCAATTTAATTTGTGTTTAATTCTACGAAAATAAATATCAATATAGCAAAGTTCTGAGAGCAATAGTTAAATGCTAATTGCCGTTTGGTTATTTAAATATGCAACATATTTTGCCCGCGCATTTAAGCCGGCATTTATTATTAACGCCGTTCAAATATAATGTTAACCTAACACAGCTATTTGAGTTTAACAGTGCAGAAAACCAAAGCATATTCCCATAGTGACGGTAATTTCATTCATATGCGGGTAAATTTAAAGTCAAAGCAATATAAGTATTTATTTTATAATTATAAGCAAGTAAGTAAACCTTGCAAGGTGATTTCATAATCATCGGCAATTTCGCGAAAGCTAACGGTAATTGATGCTCATCCGCCCAGCTGTTGTCATGCGCTGGAGGGCGATAGCTTTTTGGCGCCGATAATAATTTACATTTGAAAATGTCATCTTAATAATAAAATTCAAGTGGAATGGAAAATCGAATAGATCTGAAACTAGTTTTTTTTTATTGCTTCATTATATTAATATTATTTCTTGATTGGTTCCGACAGTTAAAATATGTAGCGCATGTATACAGAAGGCCAAGTGGCCACAATCGAATAGGAGGGAAATGAAGATTTAAATTTCAGGCTTTGTTCGTCCCCCTCATCTCCAATATAATGACCCGACACACCCATTTGGAACAGCGGAACCTTAAAATCGCCATTCCATTTCTATAAATGTATGAAGTAAATAAATTAAGGTTAAATTGATATTTGAATATATACATAGACCATATCTTACCGAAAACTCCAACCAGAACTTTAACGGCGAGCTATCAATACCAAAACCAATGTAAACATGGTATGATAACGGCTTCGGTGGTGGGTTGTTAAGATAAGTAAGCGAAAACGACCAGTTGCTCATATTTACGTTTTCATAGGGTTGAATGAATAGACTCATGTGCGAGGGACCCGTCAATTCAAACTCAAAGCGCACTGTGGTTGAGTTTACAATGCTTTTGTTAAGCACTTTCAATGTGGTTAGTCCTGGGGGTACAATAGGTTCAGAGCGGGGCAACCATTTGCTTTGTAGTCGATTCCCGACGTAGCGATAGTCAAATAGTGGCATGCCACACATCATGTGAGTCTCGCATTGCGATTTTATGTCAACCAAGCCAGTTAAGTTAACTTTTGTACCCACGAAAGGTTTCTCTTCACGTCGGTCTTGAAAATTAAACAGATAGCCAGACTCATCTTTACTCCGAGTGCCATCGTATTCATAGAACATATTTCGCACTTGCTGCAATTTTATGCATTGTATTTGATGTACATATAGATGCCAGTTAACTATGGGAATCTTACCAGATATGCAACTCGCTGTCCGCTGGTCTTTGGCCTATAGGGGAATCCGAGTTGCGTGCTACTTGCCAAATACATAGAGAGTGCTGTGATTGCAAGCAGAGACAACACCACAAAGCTGGGTCGCCGGAAAGTATTGATAAGTGGAATCTGTGTAGGTACAAATCGTAAGAAGAAGGTAGAAATAAAGAGTAAGACAACTTACCAAGAAACCAAATGAAAGAATCGTTCCTAGTGCTGCCAATAATGCTATGTATAAATCCCGGTTTGCAGAACTGCCACCACGACCACCCATTGGTGTTAAAATAACTATGAATAGGTAGGCGACGTAGCTGCTGCACAAGAAAGGAATTATCTGACCCGCCTTAACTAGACCTGCCCAGGCATAGCCACGATCGTGTAAAGTGGTCAATAAGTTAAGGGTCAAGGATAGAACGTAGAAAATTAGTGGTATGACGAAAATGTATGTGGAACGCAAGCCGAACATTGTAAGACCAATGGTAAGAAGAGCCAAGATGACTGCCTGGGCATGCAATGCCAGATGGATATGGTAGGCATTTGATATTTTATCCTGGGGAAAAATGTATTGATAAGTGTATGTGTTAAGAAAGAATATTTCTAGAGTTCGAACTTACGTTACGCTGTAAGCTATAGTAAATAGTTGTGGGCAAACTGAGGCCAATAAGTGACGGGCACACATATAAACCGATCACAAGTAGGGGAGTGCTATAGTAAGTCAGTGATAGTCCCAAATTGTCAAATACTTGTGCAACCACTAAAGGAAGTGCTAGTCCGAGTACAAAGGAGATAATCTGTATGACAAGAACCAGGATAAGCCAGCGGGCCACGTGGCAAATGGAGACGTGGGAAACATCAGCCATTCGCCACAATGAAACGTAGATCAAAATGAAGGCAGCTCCGGCAGCGCTATAGTTCAATAATATTCCTGTAGCCTCTGAATAATGGATAAAATAAATTCCCAGGAAGTCAAAGAAGACGCCGTGTCCTCCTTTATGTGCCTGTCATTTACAATTGGAAATGTTCAATAAGATACTTAGATTATTTAGTGAAATCAATTAATTACCTGGATATCTTGCAATTCGGTTGCGTTTGACAAACCTCGAACCAAACTGAGAATATTGTCACCAGTATTCTGCATGGATTCACGAGGTATCACATCAATTGTGTCGTAGTTGGTGTGGAGAACAAATCCATTAATAATTTGCGCCATGTCCAAACCTACAAAGATTGATGTATTTTTGCAACACACTTTCTTTTTCGGAAGCACATTACAACATACCTGGGATGTTGCCATAAGTTGTGAACTGTTCGAAGTCTGTGCTCGATGGAATAAAGCCGGCTTGAAATATTTCCTCACCCGCAGTTGTAGCGAATGGGTATTTTATATACTTTTTATAATACTGTGTGAAACTTTAAATGTTTAGATCGAAATTTTGCGTGCATTTGATTTCCGATAATTCACCTGTAAAAGCCATGAGTGATTGGGTCCACTTTGAAAGAGGGCTTCTCGACCTCCACTGCCAGCACCTTCAAGATTAACGACAGCTCTACAATTAAGGTGTTTTTTTGTGAAAAATATGTTAAATTGAAAAGATGAGATAATAACGGCTTACTTGCAGTTTGGAGCCCATTTGTGTTGAGTTATGAATCCATGCGAAGCTTGCATAGACCTTTCTTCAGCTCCATTAAACAAGAAGACAATGGGATGCTCAAAGGTTTGCTTAGTAGAAGATATAATGCGCAATATCTCCAGCATGGTGACTATCATAACGCCTGCATCCCCAGCAGAGGGAGTAAATGGCTTAGAATCGAAGTGACTGTTAACCAGAAGGTAGGACTCGCTCGTTGAGTTCTTTGTCGATAATTTCACAGCAATGTTTTGAACGCCTTGGTATTGGTTTAGAAGATTTTTAAATGGATATCCCCCAGATGCTCGTGACAAGTCGATTTCCATATCGAAATAGTCATTCTGTAGATCTAACTGAATCTGTGACAGCTCGTTCATAATAAAATTCACTGCTTCAACCTCATTTTCATAACTGCCAGGCAATTTGGTACCAATATTAGATAAAGTGTACAGATTTTTGTAAGCACGTTCTGCAATGAATACATTTTTCTTAGCGTCCTCCATTGTCATTGCTGTAGGTAACCGGTAGAAGAATGGTATTACAACGGCGAAAAAGAGGAGTCCCCAGAATAGCAGGAACCCACTGGCGTAGTACCAGGGCAACTTAGCAGCTGCCTCTTTGACCACATTTTTAGGGGCTGCGACGGATGCCTCCGAGATCTATATAAAGTGTGTAACTCAGCATTGGGGAGTCGAAAATTTATTAAATTATTTTGTGATCCTTACAAGTTTCTCTTTATCACTCATGGTGTGCCGCGCGGATTTTCCAAATTATAACTAATAAGCAAAAGAGCATGTAGAAAATCTTTATAGTTAACCAAAATCGTTATCACAAAGGCGAGATTGTTAAATACCCATACAAATAAAACAATTAAAAATGATTAAATTTAGTGTGATTGACTAAGAGATACCCTTAATTTAGGTCTGAAGTTGAATCATATATTTTGCACGGATTAAATTTATTGACTTCTAATTATAATTTGCTCGAAGATATTTTAATAAAGAAGATATAATTGTTAGAAAAATCTGCGCTAGGATAATGTCAGAAGAAATCAGAATTATTTACAAATATACATGAAAGATATATGCATGATAGCGAAAATAATTCGAAGCATAATAATACATTATCGTAATCTTTTAAAATCAAATTAAACCTTATCTGTCGACTTTGGGCTTTTTGAAAAATGCCATATTTCTTTATGATATATTAATTGCTTAATAGCGAATATGTACATACATTGATTTTCTAATGGGATTGGCAAATCATATATAAATTAACCATGAGTCAATTTTAGTTAATATCGGGTAATATCAAATATTAATTATTATTATTACTATATATTTATATTATGCTGATATGATGTGAGATGTCAAAATTGAGTGCAATTTAATTCATTTTCTCAACCTTCAATAAGAATTCAAGTTTTATTTTACATTTATCAAATATTATTTCACGACATAGATTAAAATTCCAGTTCAAAAATATATATTACAATGTATAATAAAATTTAATAATATACTGCATGAAAATTATTTATAATAGGCATGTAATTACGCATGTTAAATTACTAAGGGCTTTTATAGTTATTAAAAATAAAACAAATACGATTATATTCATTAGTTAAAAAACGTATCGTTGGTATGACACAGGCCAATCGGCCAGAATTGAATAGGAAGGGAAAGAGGATGCGAACTTTCTACTTTGTTCACACACCCAGTTGGAAACAGGGAAAATTAAAATCGCCATCCCATTTCTGCAATGTCATAATAGATATATATTCAGCTTGGTTTTAAATATCAAAATCGTACCACTTACCGACAGTTCCAAAAAGAAATTCAATGGAGCGCTATCAATTCCATATGTGAAGTAGATATGGTATGGAAGTGGCGGAGCTGGTGGTTTCTCCAGATAACTGTTAAGGAACGACCAGTTGCTTATTTTCACATCTTTATATGGTTGAATGAACAAGCTCATATGAGAAGGACCCGTCAAATTGAACTCAAAACGCACAGTAGTGGGATTCAGAATTGTTTTGTTAAGTTGCATCAATGTGGTTAAGGTTGGCGGTTCAATGGGATCAGAACGCGGCAGCCATTTGCTTTGTAGACGGTTTTTTGCATAGCGGTAATCAAATAAAGGCATGCCACACATCATTTGTAGTTCAGAATCTCAGTGCAAATTACCTGGAATATTGCCATATATGTTAAACTGACGGAAGTCTGTATCCGATGGTAAAATGTCTGATTGGAAGATTTCCTCGGCCACGGTTGTGGCATAAGGATGTTTGATATATATTCTTGCAACAAATCAATTTCTATCTCGAAATAGTCTTCAAGTATACTTTCTTTAATCTTTGTCAGTTCTTTTAATATAAAGTTCACTGCCTCAACCTCGTTTTCCCTACTGCCAGTCAATTTGGTACCAATATTTGATAGAGTGCCCAGATTTTTGTAAGCACGTTCTGCAATGAATACATTTTTATTTGCGTCCTCCATTGTCATTGCCGTCGGTAACCGATAGAAGAATGGTTTCACAACGGCGAAAAAGAGAAGTCCCCAGAATAATAGGAACCCACTCGCAAAGTACCAAGAAAATGTAGGATTGGTTTCTTTGCTGACCTCATTTTCACAAGCTTCAGCAGATTCGTCCGATATCCATGAAGTGTTTGTAATTAAGACGACTTTGGGACCGATTTGATCATAACTATATAACAGACGCTGTGCTCGCTCGGCAATAACTGGCCCGGCTTCAGCAGCTCCTCGGCAATTGAAACTACCTCTGGCAGTTGGTTGAACAGCGATATAACGATGGCGTTATTTGAAACAGGCTTTTTATGTCTAAGATCGGTAGGTCTTATGGAGTCACATTTTCTGGAAATTATATATTATTCAGAGCTTCACATGTTAGATTAATATACTCTTTATGTTCATCATTAGTAAATAAGCGCAAAAATCAGGTATTTGAATTTGTTTTTGGTTTTGCTCTATCAAAGCTATCCATAAATGTTGTTCCATTGTATATGGTCGATAGTTGATAAGGTATAAATCAAGTAACCTCTAGCCATATTCGCTAAATAACTGGATACCACTAAAATAAGGGTAACGGTAATTGATGCTCATCCGCCCAGCTGTTGTCATGCGCTATTCAAATTATTAATTACGACTGGCTATCGATATCTTTTTGGCGCCGATAATAATTTACATTTGAAAATGTCATCTTAATAATAAAATTCAAGTGGAATGGAAAATCGAATAGATCTGAAACTAGTTTTTTTTTATTGCTTCATTATATTAATATTATTTCTTGATTGGTTCCGACAGTTAAAATATGTAGCGCATGTATACAGAAGGCCAAGTGGCCACAATCGAATAGGAGGGAAATGAAGATTTAAATTTCTGGCTTTGTTCGTCCCCCTCATCTCCAATATAATGACCCGACACACCCATTTGGAACAGCGGAACCTTAAAATCGCCATTCCATTTCTATAAATGTATGAAGTAAATAAATTAAGATTAAATTGATATTTGAATATATACATAGACCATATCTTACCGAAAACTCCAACCAGAACTTTAGCGGCGAGCTATCAATACCAAAACCAATGTAAACATGGTATGATAACGGCTTCGGTGGTGGGTTGTTAAGATAAGTAAGCGAAAACGACCAGTTGCTCATTTTTACGTCTTCATAGGGTTGAATGAATAGACTCATGTGCGAGGGACCCGTCAATTCAAACTCAAAGCGCACTGTGGTTGAGTTTACAATGCTTTTGTTAAGCACTTTCAATGTGGTTAGTCCTGGGGGTACAATAGGTTCAGAGCGGGGCAACCATTTGCTTTGTAGTCGATTCCCGACGTAGCGATAGTCAAATAGTGGCATGCCACACATCATGTGAGTCTCGCATTGCGATTTTATGTCAACCAAGCCAGTTAAGTTAACTTTTGTACCCACGAAAGGTTTCTCTTCACGTCGGTCTTGAAAATTAAACAGATAGCCAGACTCATCTTTACTCCGAGTGCCATCGTATTCATAGAACATATTTCGCACTTGCTGCAATTTTATGCATTGTATTTGATGTACATATAGATGCCAGTTAACTATGGGAATCTTACCAGATATGCAACTCGCTGTCCGCTGGTCTTTGGCCTATAGGGGAATCCGAGTTGCGTGCTACTTGCCAAATACATAGAGAGTGCTGTGATTGCAAGCAGAGACAACAGCACAAAGCTGGGTCGGCGGAAAGTATTTATAAGTGGAATCTGTGTAGGTACAAATCGTAAGAAGAAGGTAGAAATAAAGAGTAAGACAACTTACCAAGAAACCAAATGAAAGAATCGTTCCTAGTGCTGCCAATAATGCTATGTATAAATCCTGGTTTGCAGAACTGCCACCACGACCACCCATTGGTGTTAAAATAACTATGAATAGGTAGGCGACGTAGCTGCTGCACAAGAAAGGAATTATCTGACCCGCCTTAACTAGACCTGCCCAGGCATAGCCACGATCGTGTAAAGTGGTCAATAAGTTAAGGGTCAAGGATAGAACGTAGAAAATTAGTGGTATGACGAAAATGTATGTGGAACGCAAGCCGAACATTGTAAGACCAATGGTAAGAAGAGCCAAGATGACTGCTTGGGTATGCAATGCCAGATGGATATGGTAGGCATTTGATATTTTATCCTGGGGAAAAATGTATAGATAAGTGTATGTGTTAAGAAAGAATATTTCTAGAGATCGAACTTACGTTACGCTGTAAACTATAGTAAATAGTTGTGGGCAAACTGAGGCCAATAAGTGACGGGCACACATATAAACCGATCACAAGTAGGGGAGTGCTATAGTAAGTCAGTGATAGTCCCAAATTGTCAAATACTTGTGCAACCACTAAAGGAAGTGCTAGTCCGAGTACAAAGGAGATAATCTGTATGACAAGAACCAGGATAAGCCAGCGGGCTACGTGGCAAATGGAGACGTGGGAAACATCAGCCATTCGCCACAATGAAACGTAGATCAAAATGAAGGCAGCTCCGGCAGCGCTATAGTTCAATAATATTCCTGTAGCCTCTGAATAGTGGATAAAATAAATTCCCAGGAAGTCAAAGAAGACGCCGTGTCCTCCTTTATGTGCCTGTCATTTACAATTGGAAATGTTCAATAAGATACTTAGATTATTTAGTGAAATCAATTAATTACCTGGATATCTTGCAATTCGGTTGCGTTTGACAAACCTCGAACCAAACTGAGAATATTGTCACCAGTATTCTGCATGGATTCACGAGGTATCACATCAATTGTGTCATACTTGGTGTGGTATACAAATCCATTAATAATTTGCGCCATGTCCAAACCTACAAAGATTGATGTATTTTTGCAACACACTTTCTTTTTCGGAAGCACATTACAACATACCTGGGATGTTGCCATAATTTGTGAACTGTTGGAAGTCTGAGTTCGATGGAATAAAGCCGGCTTGAAATATTTCCTCACCCGCAGTTGTAGCGAATGGGTATTTTATATACTTTTTATAGTACTGTGAGAAACCTTAATTTTAGATCAAAATTTTGCGTTCATTTGATTTCCGATAATTCACCTGTAAAAGCCATGAGTGATTGGGTCCACTTTGAAAGAGGGCTTCTCGACCTCCACTGCCACCACCTTCAAGATTAACGACAGCTCTACAATTACGGTGTTTTAGTGAAAAATATGTTAAATTGAAAAGATGAGATAATAACGGCTTACTTGCAGTTTGGAGCCCATTTGTGTTGAGTTATGAATCCATGCGAAGCTTGCATAGACCTTTCTTCAGCTCCATTAAACAAGAAGACAATGGGATGCTGAAAGGTTTGCTCAGTAGAAGATATAATGCGCAATATCTCCAGCATGGTGACTATCATAACGCCTGCATCCCCAGCAGAGGGAGTAAATGGCTTAGAATCGAAGTGACTGTTAACCAGAAGGTAGGACTCGCTCGTTGAGTTCTTTGTCGATAATTTCACAGCAATGTTTTGAACGCCTTGGTATTGGTTTAGAAGATTTTTAAATGGATATCCCCCAGATGCTCGTGACAAGTCGATTTCCATATCGAAATAGTCATTCTGTAGATCTAACTGAATCTGTGACAGCTCGTTCATAATAAAATTCACTGCTTCAACCTCATTTTCATAACTGCCAGGCAATTTGGTACCAATATTAGATAAAGTGTACAGATTTTTGTAAGCACGTTCTGCAATAAATACATTTTTCTTAGCGTCCTCCATTATCATTGCTGTAGGTAACCGGTAGAAGAATGGTATTACAACGGCGAAAAAGAGGAGTCCCCAGAATAGCAGGAACCCACTGGCGTAGTACCAGGGCAACTTAGCAGCTGCCTCTTTGACCACATTTTTAGGGGCTGCGACGGATTCCTCCGAGATCTATATAAAGTGTGTAACTCAGCATTGGGGAGTCGAAAATTTATTAAATTATTTTGTGATCCTTACAAGTTTCTCTTTATCACTCATGGTGTGCCGCGCGGATTTTCCAAATTATAACTAATAAGCAAAAGAGCATGTAGAACCTCTTTATAGTTAACCAAAATCGTTATCACAAAGGCGAGATTGTTAAATACCCATACAAATAAAACAATTAAAAATGATTAAATTTAGTGTGATTGACTAAGAGATACCCTTAATTCAGGTCTGAAGTTGAATCATATATTTTGCACGGATTAAATTTATTGACTTCTAATTATAATTTGATCGAAGATATTTTAATAAAGAAGATATAATTGTTAGAAAAATCTGCGCTAGGATAATGTCAGAAGAAATCAGAATTATTTACAAATATACATGAAAGATATATGCATGATAGCGAAAATAATTCGAAGCATAATAATACATTATCGAAATCTTTTAAAATCAAATTAAACCTTATCTGTCGACTTTGGGCTTTTTGAAAAATGCCATATTTCTTTATGATATATTAATTGCTTAATAGCGAATATGTACATACATTGATTTTCTAATGGGATTGGCAAATCATATATAAATTAACCATGAGTCAATTTTAGTTAATATCGGGTAATATCAAATATTAATTATTATTATTACTATATATTTATATTATGCTGATATGATGTGAGATGTCAAAATTGAGTGCAATTTAATTCATTTTCTCAACCTTCAATAAGAATTCAAGTTTTATTTTACATTTATCAAATATTATTTCACGACATAGATTAAAATTCCAGTTCAAAAATATATATTACAATGTATAATAAAATTGAATAATATACTGCATGAAAATTATTTATAATAGGCATGTAATTACGCATGTTAAATTACTAAGGGCTTTTATAGTTATTAAAAATAAAACAAATACGATTATATTCATTAGTTAAAAAACGTATCGTTGGTATGACACAGGCCAATCGGCCAGAATTGAATAGGAAGGGAAAGAGGATGCGAACTTTCTACTTTGTTCATCGCCATCATCCCCAATATAGTGTCCCGACACACCCAGTTGGAAACAGGGAAAATTAAAATCGCCATCCCATTTCTGCAATGTCATAATAGATATATATTCAGCTTGGTTTTAAATATCAAAATCGTACCACTTACCGACAGTTCCAAAAAGAAATTCAATGGAGCGCTATCAATTCCATATGTGAAGTAGATATGGTATGGAAGTGGCGGAGCTGGTGGTTTCTCCAGATAACTGTTAAGGAACGACCAGTTGCTTATTTTCACATCTTTATATGGTTGAATGAACAAGCTCATATGAGAAGGACCCGTCAAATTGAACTCAAAACGCACAGTAGTGGGATTCAGAATTGTTTTGTTAAGTTGCATCAATGTGGTTAAGGTTGGCGGTTCAATGGGATCAGAACGCGGCAGCCATTTGCTTTGTAGACGGTTTTTTGCATAGCGGTAATCAAATAAAGGCATGCCACACATCATGTGAGTCTCGCATTTGGATTTTATGCTAATCAAACCAGTCAGGTTGACCTTTGTTCCTAGAAATGGATACTCTTCACGCCGATCTTGGAAACTAAACAGATAGCCAGACTCATCCTTACTGAGACTACCATCGTATTCGTAAAACATATTCCGAACGTGCTTTAATGTCACAAGTATTATTAGATTGAATTTTAATAAACAGAATTTTTTCTAACTCACCAGATATGCAATGCGTAGTCCGTTGGTCTTCGGTGTATAAGGGAATCCGATCTGTGTACTGCTGGCTAAGTACATTGAGATGGCCGTTATAACAAACAAAGTGACCACCACAAAGCTGGGCCGGCGGAAATAGTTAATAAGCGGAATCTATGAGAATAAATATTTGTAAAATACTTTTTGAAGAAGAACACTCGACAAGTACCCTTACCAAGAAACCAAATGAGAGAACCGTTCCTAATGCTGCCAGGACAGCAATATACAAATCCCGATTGGAGGAACTGCCCGAACGACCACCAATAGGTGTGAGAATCACAATAAGTGCATAGAAGAGATAGCTACTGCACAAGAATGGAATTATCTGACTCGCCTTAACAAGACCTGTCCAAGCATAGTCACGATCGTGCAAAGTAGTCAACAAATTTATGGCCAAAGATAACATATAGAATATTAGTGGTATGACGAAAATGTATGAGGAACGGATACTAGCTGCTGTAAAACCAACGGTAAGAAGACCCAGGATGATGGCTTGAGCATGCAATGCCAGTTGGACATGGTAGGAATTTGATATTTTATCCTGCGAAATAATGTATAGATAAATGTTTATGTTAAGAACGAATAATTCTAGAGATGCAACTTACGTTACGCTGTAAACTATAATAAATAGTTATGGGCAAACTAAGGCCAATAAGTGACGGGCACACATATAAACCGATCACCAGCAGGGGAGTGCTATAGTAAGTTAGAGAAAGTCCCAAACTATCGAATACATACGCCACTACTGCGGGAAGCGCCAGTCCGAGTACAAACGAGATTATCTGGAGAATAATAACCAGTGTAAACCAGAATACTACTTGATAGATGGAAACATGGGAAACAACTGCCATGCGCCTCATTGATGCTAATATTAAAATGAGAGCAGCTCCACAACAACTATAGTTCAGGCATATTCCCGTAACCTGTGAGTAGTGGACGAAGTATATTCCCAGGAAGTCAAAGAAGACAGCGTGTCCAGACCTGTGCGCCTGTGAATTGCAAATTGCAACTGTCAATTTGATACTAAGACTCTTTTGTGGTGTGAATTGGGTACTTGGATATCGTGCAATTCGGTTGCATTTGCCAAACCTCGAACCAAACTGAGAATATTGTCACCAGTATTCTGCAAGGATTCACGAGGGATCACATCAATTGTGTCATATTTGGTGTGGTATACAAATCCATTAATACATTGCGCCAAGTCCAAACCTATAAGAGCATGAATCGTTTCCATTGGAAATACTATTTCAGAATCAGTGCCAATTACCTGGAATATTGCCATATAAGTTAAACTGACGGAAGTCTGTATCCGATGGTAAAATGCCTGATTGGAAGATTTCCTCGGCCACGGTTGTGGCGAAAGGATGTTTGATATATTCTTTGTAGTACTGTTTTAAATGAAACAATGCTTATAATTGATTAAAAATGCGATTGAAAATAAGATAACTTACATTTACAAGCCATGGGTGGTTGGGACCACTCTGAAATAGAATTTCTCGACCTCCACTGCCACCAGCATCAAGGTTAACGACAGCTCTACGATTGTAGGGATAATTTAAAACTGGTATATTTCTTTGAAAAAACATAAATGACTTACTTGCAGTATGGAGCCCATTTGTGTTGAGTTACAAAACCATGAGAAGCTTGCATAGAACCTTCTTCAGCTCCATTGAATAGAAAGACGATCGGATGATCAAAGGTTTGCTTTGTTGTTGCTATTACACGTAAAACTTCCAACATCGTGACTACCATGAAACCGGCGTCACCCGCTGACGGAGTTTCTGGCTTCGAATCAAAGTGACTGTTCACTAAGAGGTAGGAATTGCTGGTGCTCCCCTTCGGCGTTAATTTCACAGCAATGTTTTGAACGCCTTGGTACATGTTCAGTACAGTTTTATACGGGAAAGCACCAGATGCTCGCGACAAGTCAATTTCCATTTCGAAATAGTCATTCAATAGTGTGGATTTAATCTGCGTTAGCTCATTCATTATAAAGTTCACTGCCTCAACCTCATTTGCATGACTGCCCTCCAATTTGGTACCAAAATTAGATAGAGTGTACAAATTTTTGTAAGCACGTTCCGCAATGAATACATTTTTCTTAGCGTCCTCCATTGTCATTGCCGTTGGTAGCCGGTAGAAGAATGGTATTACAACGGCGAAAAAGAGAAGTCCCCAGAATAGCAGGAACCCATTGGCGTAGTACCAGGGTAACTTTGCATCAGCCTCCTTTTTGACCTCATTTTTATGAGATTCGACTGTTTCGTCCGAGATCTGGAAAATATGTAGTTAGGAATTGCGAAGTTATTATTATTATTATTATAATTGGGACGCCTGGATTGCGGCCAACTAGATCTATCGTGCCCCCTACTGGGCCGAATGCGAGAATCTTTGTTGGGTTGAACGCTTCTCTATATTTGAAACTCATAACATGCATTCCTAGTATGCTGCATTTTTATCTAGTTAAAGCGACACACTCTGCTAAGATGTGCATAGAGGATTCTTCCTCGCTTTTGCAAAACCTGCATAGTTCGCTACTATAAATACCTAGTTTAGTTGATTTCTTAGTCTACAAGGTCCTGTCAGGAGACTGATGAATATCCTAAGCCCATTCTTTCGTATGGTTATTACTTCCCTAAATCGTTTATGATTATAGCCACCCAAAAGACATCTGGTTTGTCGGAGTCCTGGTGTCTTTGCCCAGCTCCGTTGTCGCCTCTGTCCTTCTTCGTTTCTATTTCTATTTCTAATAACGAAGTTATTTTATATAATATTTCACTTTGGTCGGTACTTACAAGTTTCTCCTTGTCGCCCATACTGTTCTTTAAAGTGAGAGCGAGATTTATCAAATGAACTTTACTAATGAACTATTGAGCTGAAGGAACTGTAGACCACTTATATAGTTGTCAAAAAGAAGGTAATTAAGATTTTAAAAGCCCAATTCAAATAACATTTATAGAGTCTGCCATTTGATTGCCTTATCAAATATATCGAAATATATAATATTATAAAGTTGATAAGAAGACACTATGCATCGTCTCCTATTGTATAAACCAATAGGGTCGATACGACCAAGCGAGATTCACTATAGATATAAACGTAGAATATCGTTTTTCAAATTTGTACCTTTAATTTATAGTTCAGCTGAGTTTCACGATGTATTCATTTTTAAAATGTACAAATGGAAAAATCTCATAAATAAGCGTAGGGCGTAATTAAATAATTGGATATTGGATATTTTCGAGCCAATAACGTACGAGTATATGCATTGATATCAAGTCGTCCGTGTACGGTAAACTCTGTTGAACCGAATTGCAACTTCATTCTTTTGGGATCTACGTTTTTAATAGTGTAGGGTTCTAGGTACAGAGTATGTCCTAGTTAAGAGCTCTTGAACAGAGTATTCTTCTTTCAACCGTCTATGTGATGTTGCTATGCTTTATGCGATACTGCACATAATATATACATTTCTTTATCCTATAGTATATTCATCTTTATTACACATCATAACATTTTTTATATTATAGGGTATAAGTCGTTTTCCCTATCAAAATTGTTTCTTTTCATTACAATTTATTATCGCTTGATATATAAGTTTATGGTTTCTCAGCATTTAATGAGTCGTCCAAAAATAAGTTTATCAACAGTTTTTCGTTTTTAATGGTGACATTAAAAACCAAACCTTTTGATATATAAATCAAGACATGCGTGTCAAATCTTATTAATGCGAACACCATTAATTGTATTTAAGACTTATATATACTGCTATTTCTTTGCCTTCTAGCATAACATTGAATTATTTGACTTTGTTTAATAATAAAATATGAATAGTCGGTCTAATGCAGACCATTTAGTCAAAATAGCATAGTTTCAATAAAAGCCATATTAATTTACAAATATAAGTTTAATAAACAGATATCAATGCCGAAGCTCCAAGATGTCAAATAGTGTAACTACTGAGTTAGTAGTCTCTCAAGTTGAGTGAACAGTACAATTTGACCAAAGTGTTGCACTGTGTAATTATGCATACCACGTCGTACCAACTTTAGCTTGAAGAACTGTATCGATGAACCGATTAGCTTAACCTCTATGGAACTTAATGTGTATTCACACACTTATGAGTGGCACCACTAAGCAGACAATATTTTATTGTATTGTCTTGTATATATGTATTGTCTGCTTAGTGGTGGCACGTAATCCATGAAACCAGTGTCAAAATTCCCGTGTGAATCAAAATTCTGCATTGCTTGTTCGATAACAAATGTAAAAAAATGTTGGCGGTTCAAAGGATTTTCTACGTAATTCTTTCACATATTCTTAAACTGCAATCACGCTGATAAATCATAGCTTGAAAATAAATAACTATTAATTGGAGTTCACACAGAGTCCAATTATTGTTCAATTAAATTTGTCGATAATAACCAAATCGAATTTCATTAATTTTGTTTGGTTTTATCGACTTGCTGCGTTTTGCTTGAGTGGATCTAAGTTAACGCCAAGCAATGTAAGCCGTATAACCTGCTAGCTTCAGACACAATCTCTTTTGTATTCCTTAATATGTTTATTTTATAAATAATCAATTATTCTTCAAATATTTTTAAAATTTAGAAAATAAATCGCTGGTATAATGCAGGCCATTGATCCAGAATTGAATAAGAGGGAAATGAAGATGCGAACTTCACACTTTGAGCATCGCCATCATCTTTTATATAATGTGCCGAGACCCCCAGTTGAAACAACGGTACATTGAAGTCGCCATTCGGTTTCTAAAGATTAAAAAATAATTATGAATTTAAATATTAAGTGCCCATATATACTATATCTTACCGATAATTCCAAAAAGAAATTTAATGGTGAGTTATCAATGCCGTATTTGAAATAGATAACGTATGTTATTGTTGATGGTGTTGGTTTTGAATTGATCGTGAATGACCAGTTACTCAAAGTCACATCTTCATAAGGTTGAATTACCAAATTCATTTGAGAGGGACCTTTCAACTTGAACTCAAAGCGCACTGTCGTAGAATTCAGTATGATTTTATTTACCATATCCAAGGTGGTTAATGATGGAGGCATAATTGGCTCAGAGCGTGGTAGCCATTTGCTGTTAAGTCGACTTACACCGGGCACAGGCATGCCGCACATCATGTGAGTATCGCAATTCGATTCAATGCCAACCAAACCATTCAGGTCAACCTTGCTGCCCAAGAGTACTTTTTCTCTAAGTCTGTCTTGAAAGTTAAACAAATAGCCAGACTCATCCTTACTGAGAGTGCCATCGTACTCGTAGAACATATTTCGCACTTGCTAGTATGATAGGCGATATATTTAATGAATAAAGTTAGAATAGATAGAATAGATTATATCAGACTTACCAGGTACGAAACTCGCTGGCCATTGGTTTTTTGCTTATATGGGAATCCGATTTGTGTACTACTCGCTAAGTACATTGAGAGGGCTGTGATTACAAGCAGAGACAACACCACAAAGCTGGGTCGTCGTAAGCTATTAATAAGTGGCATCTGTAGATTAGACAAATTAGTAAGCTTTATAAGTAAATAACTCAGTTAGTACCAAAAATCCAAACGAAAGAACCGTTCCTGCTGCTGCCATTGCTGCAATATATAAGTCCCAATTAGAGGAACTGCCCGATCGACCACCCATTGGTGTAAGAACCACAATTAATATGTAGAAAATATAGCTGCTGTACACGAAAGGGATTATTTGGCTTGCCTTGAGTAGACCTGTCCAGGCATAGCCACGATCGTGCAGAGTAGTCATTAAATTAAGAACCAAGGATAAGATGTAGAAAATTAGTGGAATGACGAAAATGTACGAGGAACGCAAGCCAAATATTGTAAGACCAATGGCGAGCAGAGCCAAGATGACTGCGTGGCCATGCAATGCCAGTTGGACATGGTAGGCATTTGATATTTTATCCTGCGGAACAAAAATACAATAAGTAAATGTGTGATTTAAGATAACAAATAATAACCTTACGTTGCGCTGTAAGCTGCAATACACAGTTATGGGCAAACTGAGGCCAATAAGTGACGGGCACACATATAAACCGATCACCAGAAGGGGAGTGCTATAGTAAGTCAGTGATAGTCCCAAATTGTCAAATACGTGTGCAACTACTAAAGGAAGTGCTAGTCCGAGTACAAAAGAGATAATCTGGATGACAAGCACCAGGATAAACCAGCGGGCCACGTGGCAAATGGAGACGTGGGAAACATCAGCCATTCGCCACAATGAAACGTAGATCAAAATGAAAGCAGCTCCAGCAGCGCTAATGTTAAAAAATTTTCCGATAGCCTCTGAATAATTTACGAAGTATATTCCCAGAAAGTCAAAGTAAACGGCGTGCCCAGTTTGGTGTGCCTGTAAATGAAAGAGTTTCAGTAGTTAAACTTGAACTAAGAGCCACGAAATTAAGTTTGTACTTTTGTATCATATAATTCAGTTGCATTTGATAACCCTCGAACCAAACTGAGAATATTGTCACCAGTATTCTGCAAGGATTCACGAGGGATCACATCAATTGTGTCATACTTGGTGTGGTATACAAATCCATTAATACATTGCGCCAAGTCTAAGCCTATAAGAGCATGAGTTGTTTAAATTGAAATTACCCATTATAATTCAGAGTCTCAATGTAACATACCTGGAATTTTGCCATATGTTGTAAACTGTCGGAAGTCTGTATCAGATGGAATGATGCCGGATTGGAAGATTTCCTCGGCCACGGTTGTGGCGAAAGGATGTTTGATATATTTTTTATAGTACTGTTTAAAATATTAATAGCCGATTTGGATTATATTTTTTTTATTAATATGCCTTACATTGACAAGCCATGGGTGGTTCGGACCACTTTGAAATAGAACTTCTCGACCTCCACTGCCTGCAGCATCGAGATTGACGACGGCTCTGCAATAGTAGTGAACATGTTAAAAGTTAATATTTTTCTGATATTGTGGACTGGAATAACTTACTTGCAATATGGAGCCCATTTATGTTGAGTTATAAATCCATGGGAAGCTAGTAGGCCAACTTCCTCAGCTCCATTAAAGAGAAACACAATCGGATGATCAAAGGTTTGCTTTGTTGTTGCTATTACACGTAAAACTTCCAACATCGTGACTACCATGAAACCGGCGTCACCCGCTGACGGAGTAGCTGGCTTAGAATCGAAGTGACTGTTTACAAGAAGATAGGACTCGCTTGTGCTGGTCTTGGGCGTCAATTTTACAGCGATGTTTTGAACGCCTTGATACACATTTAGCCTTGTGTAATATGAGAAAGCACCAGAGGCTTGAGATAAGTCAATTTCCATATCGAAATAGTCCTCAAGTAGATCTTCTTTAATCTTCTTCAGCTCTTTTAGTATAAAGTTCACTGCCTCAATTTCATTTTCCATACTGCCAAGCAATTTGTTACCAATATTTGACAGGGTATACAAATCTTTGTAAGCACGTTCAGCAATGAATACATTTTTATTTGCGTCCTCCATTGTTAGGGCCGTTGGCAACCGATAGAAGAATGGTATCACAACAGCGAAAAAGAGGAGTCCCCAGAATAAAGGGAAACCACTCGCAAAGTACCAAGGTATATTTTCATTTGCCTTTGTTTTTACCATCTCTTCGTCTTCGGTAAGTTTATCAGATATCTATATAATATGAGTAAAATGAGTGTGCTTTAAAATGTGAAATCATTTGGCTCTTACAAGCTTCTCCTTATCTTCCATATTGTTTTGATTTAAAAAAAAGAAAATTTAAAACGATTCTGTTCTGATGTGAGTCTTGCATGAAACAAATGATAAATTAAAGCAAGTGCGGCCCGATTTTATAGAAAAACGCAATCATAAAACATATTGTAAAAGCGCAATAAATGTGATAATAAAGTCATTTATAGTTGACGCCTAATGACCTAAATGCGCCAGTAATTTTGTGGATAGGCATTGTTTTCAAAAGAGTAAGGTAGTTAACTTTCAGAATGCAATGTAAAAAAATAAAACTATATTAATATATACATATATTCCGTCAATATTCATACATATTTCACTAACAAAAACACGTTGCGACGAGTCGTGCCTATAATGTCGCAAAATTAAACACACGCACCCAACACTAACTCGAAACCCGATTAATAACTTTGAGCTTATCGAAATAATAATTTTATTAAACGATAGATTTATGGCTTAATAGACGCCACGTGTATACAAAATGATTTTACTATTTTACAATGCATATCGTGCATGTATAAACATATAAATGATATCTCGATAAAATTATCATTTGTTGAATCATTAAAATATGCCTAATAAACGACAGTGCACTGATAAAGTGAAACTCAAATCATTTAAATACCTGTGAAATTCTCTATGAGTAAAGTATTTGTGATTTTGACTCAAAGTGTGCAGAAACTTCTACAAAATGGTACACCTTTCTAACCAGTGTTTGCTAATCTCTGAACTTCATATTTATGTTCTTATAATCTGAAAACTTGTGAACAAATTTGTGAAACACCATATGAGGTCAGTAATGTCTACTTCTGATTTATTAAGGTTAAAAACATGATAATTGCTTACGAAGGATCACTTAGTTAATGTCACGTCTTCATAGGGTTGAATTATCAAGGACTTGTGAGAGGAACCTTTCAACTTGAACTCAAAACGCACTGTCGTGGAATTTAGAATGTTTTTAATTACCATATCCAAGGTGGTTACCTCTCGAGCCACAATTGGCACAGAGCGCGGAAGTCATTTACTGTTTTGAGGAATTACACCATTGGTGCCTAAGAGATGAGTAATATTATGCGTTAGTACTTCGCAATGTATCGTTCATGTTATCATTTCAAAATCATTGTAACTTAACAACAGATCAATTTTGTTTACCAGCCACCTCTTAGCAACTTGTAACTATTTTGTAAGTTGATTAAAGTTAATTCAATTGATTGATTGATTTTACTATATTAAACAATAATTCTGAGTTCCTTAAAAAGCTATGAGGTTTTTATTTACATTTATATATATTGTTTTATTACAATGCATTAGTAAATTAAAAAATATATCGTTGATATGAGGAAGGCCAACTAGCCACGATTGAAAAGGAGGGATATGATGATGCGAACTTCATGCTCTGTTCATCACCCTTATCCCCAACAAAATGTCCCGACACTCCAAGTTGCATAAGGGGTACGTTAAAGTCTCCATTCGCTTTCTACAGATTAAAATCAGAATAAATTAAAACGGATATATTCCAAATTAACATATAGATTTCTTACCGAAATTTGAATGAAGAACTTTAAAGGCGACGAATCAATGCCGTAGTTAAAGAAAATATGGTAGGAGAGGGGATATGGCGGGGGCTTCTCAAGATAGCTCCGCAAGAAAGACCAATCCATTATTGTAACATCTTCATATGGTTCAATAAACAAACTCATTTGAGCTGGACCCATTAAATGGAACTCAAATTGGACAGTGGTCGAATTCAGAATGGTTTTCCTCAACACTTCCAAAGTTGTTACCCCTGGTGGTACAATTGGCTCAGCTCGTGGAAGCCACTTGCTCTGGAGACGATTCTCAACAAAGCGATAATCATACAACGGCATGCCACACATCATGTGTTTCTCGCATTCGGTTTTAATGTTAACTAAGCCAGTCAGATCCACATTTGTGTCCAATAGGGGTTTTTCTTCAAGTCTGTCTTGAAAATTAAAAAGGTAGCCAGACTCATCTCTACTCAGTGATCCATCATACTCGTAGAAAGTTTTTCGCACATGCTGAAATGATAGGCAACATATTGCATAAATGAAGTCCGTTCTTTTGGGTATGTCACACTAACCAGGTACGAAACTCGATGGCCATTGGTCTTTGGTCTATATGGGAATCCTATTTGCGTGCTACTGGCTAAGTACATAGAGAGGGCTGTGATTACAAGCAGAGACAACACCACAAAGCTGGGACGTCGGAAAGTATTTATAAGCGGGACCTGTATTGATAAAATTTTATAAACGGTTTGATATGGAGGATTTAAATAGTATATTTACCAAAAAACCAAATGACAGAATCGTTCCCACTGCTGCTACGACAGCAATTTTTAAGTCGTGGTTGGTCGAACTACCAGAGCGACCAAGCATCGGCGTTAGAACCACAAAGATTAGATAGAAGAGGTAGCAGCTATACAGGAAAGGGATTACTTGACCTGCCTTGTGCAGACCTGTCCAGGCATAACCACGATCGTGCAGAGTAGTCATTAAATTGAGGGTCAATGAAACTATGTAGAAGGTTAGTGGTATGACGAAAATGTATGTGGAACGGAGGCCAAACGCTGTAAAATAAATTGCGATAAATGCCAGGATAAAAGCCTGAGCATGCAAAGACAGCTGGATATGGTAGGCAGTTGGGATTTTACGCTGGGGATGAAATTGAGAGATAAGTATATAATGTATAAAGTCTGATAATTCAAGATCTTGAACTTACATTACACTGTATACTGTAATACATGGTTATGGGTAAACTGAGGCCAATAAGTGACGGGCACACATACAAGCCGATCACCAACAAAGGTGTACTAAAGTAAGTAAGCGATAGTCCCAAATTGTCAAACACATGTGCAACCAATGCGGGAAAAACTAATCCGAGTACAAAAGAGATTAACTGGATGATAAGAACCAAGATAAACCAGCGCATCACATGGCATGTGGAAATGTTGGAAACAGCAGCCGTGCGAGACATTGAAAGGAAAATCAAAATAATAGTAGCTCCGGCAACACTATAGTTCAAATATATTCCTGTGGTCTCTGAATAATGGATGAAGTATATGCCTAGGAAATCGAAGTAGATAGCGTTCCCTTTATTGTGCATCTGTGAATTAAATAAAGTACATACAATTTAGTATTTACTATGATTTACAAAAACATGTTTATACCTCACTATTGTGTAATTCGGTTGCGTTAGACAAACCTCGAACCAGTCCAAGAAGATTTTCACCGGTGTTCTGCACAGACTCCTGAGGAATCACATCAATTTTGTCATATTTGGTGTGGTATATAAAACCATTGACGCACTGACCAATGTCTAAACCTATATAATATGTATACAAATACATTTCAAAGATTTATTTTGTGATGTCATCTTATGCTTTTACTACATACCTGGCATATGGGTTTTAAATTGAGTATAGTCTGAATCCGATGGGAGCATACCAGTCTGATAAATTTCCTCACCCAAGGTATGGCCAAAGGGATGTTTAACATGGCTATTATAATACTACATGGAATTTTGGGTCAAGATCGTGGTTATTATAAGTATTAAATTTTCTTACATCTACAAGCCAAGAATTTTTGGGACCACTTTGAAAGAGAATTTCTCGGCCTCCACTTCCAGCAGCATCAAGATTAATGACGGCTCTAAAATCATTATGGTTAGTTTTATGTCTAAATAGCAAAATAAAATACCGCACTTTAGGTTTGGTGCCCATTTGTGTTGATTTACGAAGCCATGGGAGGCTAGCATTGAACTTTCCTCCGCCCCATTAAACAAGAAGACTATGGGATTTTCAAAGGTTTGTTCTGTCGTTGCCATGACACGCAGAATTTCCAGCATGGTTGCTACCATGAAGCAATCGTCTCCGGCTGATGGTGTTTCCGGCTTAGAATCAAAGTGACTGTTAATTAGGAGGTAGGAATTGCTCTTGCTGTTCTTTGAAGTTAGTTTCGCGGCAACATTTTGAACTCCCTGGTACATGTTATTCGTGTTTTGATACAAAAACTGTCCGGAAACTTGCGACACGTCAATTTCAATATCGAAATATTCTTTCAGTGAATCTGTTTTAATTTGGTTCAGCTCCTTAAGCAGGTACTGTACAGTCTCAATCTCATTTTCCGTACTGCCGATCATTTTGGTTCCAATATTCGAAAGAGTGTACAGATTTTTGTAGGCACGTTCCGCAATGAATACATTATCTTTAGAGTCCTCCATTGTCTTTGCCGTTGGTAACCGATTGAAGAATGGTATTACAACGGCAAAAAAGAGAAGTCCCCAAAATAATAGGAATCCAGTGGCAAAGTACCAGGGTAACTTTGCTTCCGTTTTATCCACATATCGAGGAGTTTCCACAAATGATCTGCCCGATTCATTACATATCTACATATGATGTTAGTGAAATTTAAACAGTTGCACCTTATTTGTGTTATTTAGTTGTTCTTACAAGCTTCTCCTTGTCACACATTCTGTTCGCACACAATGTTTTTCTTTGGGGAGTCCAATGCTTGTTAAATTTGAACTACTCCGTAAATCGGTTGTGTGCCTTTTTTTATAGCAATCAAGTCCAAACGGAACATAGCTTTAGTGAATAAGAATTCATAAATTGGTCAATAAAAATATCATATAATGCGAACGTACGACGATAAAAAGAGCGAGGGCTGATTTTGAAGTTCAGATCATTGGCTGTGGTGAAATATCAATATTTTCAAATATCTTAAACATAATAAATTGATTTAGTTTGTGGTGACAGCAATAACATTTTAAGTGCAATCTGCTTCTAAATTAACAGAACTATCTACGACCTGCAAAATGAAACTATTACTAAATTACTCAATATATAATAATATAAAGCGAAACTTTTGAATCTCCTTCTTGTTTGCTGGCCAGTTTATTGTACTAAGGAAGCTCTTTTATTATAGGCGGCATTGTTTTAATATTCATTAATCATGTTTCGATAAAAACGGCGGGCATCAAGCATGAGTTGTATTATATTCACGATATCTTAGTTTTCAAAAGTACCGTGATTATAAAACAGTTTTATGAGGAGTCTCTGTTAATTTCGTTGGAATGTGTTTAAATCTACTTGCGTTGACGAAAGCTTTTTTGTTTACACAAACATATTATAACCCATTATAATCAGTTTACAATACATTTATGATTTCATTTATTTGAAACACACTTCATAAAAACGTCATTGTCATTATTAGACCGATGTATTGATTGCTGGTAGGTGTCTCTGTGCATATGCGTATACGGCCTTATTAAGGTTTGTCACGTTTCACATTGTACGCTCATACTGAGAAGTTCTCCAGTTGCTATCAGAATTGATCTGAGCGTGATAGCCAAATAAATAAATATATCTCTATATTTTTATCACCGACTCTATCACTCTTTGATGTCCGCTTCCTCAAAAATCCTGAACACTCTTATATTTTACTTTTTTGTTGTTATAAATACTGCTTTTTGGTTTAAGAGTGTGGTTGGCAAGTGTTGTCGTCGAAAGCTTTTTCAAATCAGCGTCGTTATCTATAATTGCCATATCTCTTATGGCTCAAAGTACACCGAAAGAAATTAAATAGAAAACATGTTTCGTTGTCGATAGCTAACGCTTTTTGTTTTCAAATTCAAATTTTAATTTTAATTTAGTTTTCGTTCTTTTAAAATATATATTAACGAATCACTAAATAGCTCTTTTCTTGTTTTTCTTAGAACTGAGCTTCTGCTTCACTTAGTTTATATAAACTCTGTCAAGACAATTTTCCAATTTAGTTTGTTTAGTTGTTGTGATATTCTGTATTTAAACATACCCATAATATCACACAATAATATGAAAACATGTAATTATGTTTATGTGTATATATATATTTATCAGATTCTATAAATGTAAAATTAAAATTAATTGATATTTGATTCGATAATCGTAGAACATCTTAGTAAATTAATATCAAAATCCATTATAAGTATTTAGGTGATTTCTATCGATGGCCGCCTTAGAAATACCAGCTCTCGTAGGTTCCTACCCAGGCCTGTACATAGGTGTAAGAAGGAAAGCGATCAAGATGTGCACTCACACCTTGAGATCTCGCGATATCATGATGCACCCAATGACCACCAATGCCAATTTCCAAAGTGGGTGTGTCAAACGTTGAAGTAGTCTTCTATAATTTACATAAAATGTTTAATACATAGATTTACGTAAAGTATGGATTCACTATACGAACCTCAACGTCGATTGTGAATTCAAGAGCACTATTATCCAGACCATAGGAGAAGTACACAAAATGTGGAGGTGGCTTATTTTCCCTTATTAGCGTCTCATTGAAGGACCAGTTCAGCAGCTTCGCATCATTTTTTACATTCACAAAAATGGTCATATGATCAGGGCCGGTCAGCGAGAAGTTGAATCTTCTCTGCGTAGTGCCTTCCAGCTCTGTGGTTTCCTGAAGGGTCAAAATTGGATATGCCGACGGTACTGCTGGCGTTTCGCTTATCGGTATCCAAAGGCTATACTCGCGAGCCTTGTGCCAACGGTGATTATATAATGGCATGCCGCAGAACATTTCCTCATCGCAGAACTCGCTAACCTTGTGTGTTTCGCCGATTGCCTTGATTTCGTCTAAAAAAAGTGCCATCGTTTAAAAGTTTTCGGTTTACCTGCCTATAGACAAACATATGTACCTTCGGCTATATTGTAACGTCGATCTTGCGGATAAACATAGATGCCGCTCTCATCAATGCGTGTGCTGCCATCTGCATTGTGGAGTACCCGATGTACATGCTACAATAAAAATCAGAAATAACTGAGAATGATCCACAAATGATGTAATATGCTCGAAAGTCTAGCTTACTATTAGAGCGTAACGTTGCACTGATGTCTTGGCCTGGTAGGGAAAGCCAGCGGGTGTGACTGCAATGATGATGAACAGAATTGTGCCAGCCAGAAAGCACAGGACAATTGTTCTTGTCTTGCGGAAGAACATTATGAGTGGCACCTGAAGTAAATCAAATTTAGCATTGTTATTCGTCGAACATCAGTAAGATTGAAGTACTCACAATAAAGCCAGCAAACATAAGGGAAAACAACCACATTAAAAGTGCTATGGTCATTTCCGGATTGGCTGACGAACCAGATCGACCCTGCATTGGGATCAGGGTCTTAAGTGCCGCCGTGCAGATGTAGGTAAAGTAAGTGAAGGGCAGTATCTGACAGATTGTGACGGCTATGGCGAACCAGTAAGCTAAAATACAAATTATTTAGAGCTTGAGACACTCGGTATGATTAGTTGATCTTACCCTTGCGATGCCACTTGGTAATCAAATTTATAATTAGCGCTATAATGTCGAAGAAAACGCTAAGCATTATAAAATAGGCCGATCGTATTTCAACGGCAGTCAAAACAATCATCAGAATTACTAGGCAAACGCAATGGGAGTGCATAATTAGCTGTATACGAAATCCTAGACTGAGTGGATCCTTTTTAGTCTTTTCCAGATAGAGCGCAGGCAGAAGGCTCATGCCAAAGATGATAGGAAACAGATATAAGCCAATTATCAGCCACATCTGTGTGAACCAACTCAGTGATCTTTCCACACCATCCATAAAAACTGCAACTAGCAGCGCCAGGCCCAGAGCCAGAGCAAGAGAGACAATCTGTATACCAAATATAATGCCAAAGCGCACCAACACAGCATTCCAACTGCAGCCGGATCTGGCGGACATAAAGTACAAAGAGATGCCAACTGCCAGGAGCGCTACCACACTGACAATCATGTTTATAATAATGCTTGTGGTTTGTGTGTAGAAAATCATGAACCAGCCCAGAAAGTCATAGAAGACATTGTGACCCTCGGCGTAAGCCTGAAATAAGTTTGTGCAGAGTTTGCTTATAATTTCCAAACGGTTGCAGTTGTTATCTAAAGCAGCCCACTTACCGCAGTGTCATCAAGTTCGGGAGCATTAGCCAGAGCTCTGGTTAAGGCGAGCACATTGTCACCAGTGTGTTGGAAGGAGGCGCGTGGAAAGACATTTAATCGATCGAATTTGGTGTGATAGACATAGCCATTGAATATGTAGGCCATGTCCAGACCGGGCACACCGCCATAGTCACGAAAGATGCGAAAATCTGTATCGGATGGTATCAAACCAGCCTGGAACATCTCTTCACCCAATGTGTTGGCAAATGGATGCGGCACCTTCCGATAATACTTCATTAGCCACGGATGATTGGGCCCCGACTGAAACAGGACCTCGCGACCGCCATTGCCCGCTGCATCCAGATTGATTAGAGCTCTGCGTAAGCCATGTACAAATTCAATAAATGTATTTAAAGTTTAAATTATTCAAATTCAATGTTGACTCACTTGCAGTTCTTGGCCCACTTGTGCTGTGTGATGAAGGCATGCGAGGCCTGCAACGGATTCTCCTCGGCACCATTAAACAGAAAGACAATTGGATGGTCCATGGACTCATCTGTTTTGGCAATGACACGCATCACCTCCAGCATGGTTGCCACCATGGAACCGTCATCGGCAGCACCGGGACTACCGGGCACAGAATCGTAGTGGCTATTGATCAACAGGTAATTCTCATTCGTGTTGCCCTTCTCCCGCAGTCTGACAACCACATTTTGTATACCTTGGTACATATTGACCATGGTCCAGTGCATGTAGGCACCGGTTGCCTGCTGCACATCCAACTCAATCTCGAAGCGATCGTTGGCCACGGCCTGGACCTTGGCCACTTCATCACGGAAGAACTGAATGGTGGTCACCTCATTATTAACACTGCCCACAACTCGTGGCCCTATGCGAGTGAGTTCGATGAGGGTGTCCTCAGCACGCTGTGCTATGAAATCACGAGGATGGGTCGCCTCATCTTTGTGGGTCAATGGCTTTGGTAGATGATTGATCTGTGTGTTGACCAGCGACAGATAAATGACGAACCAAAACCCGAAAAAGGCAGGTGCATAGTACCATTGTAACTTCTTGGGCACCTCATAGTCAACATCGATATTGTACTTGGACTTAAACTAAATGAAATTTGAAACAATAATTATTTTATAATAAGTGCTTAATTGTTAGCTCTTAACGATAATTATGACCCATTTTATTGTCAAACGGCTCCCAGTCGATATCTAATCGTAAAATGAAGGGGCGCGATGATTTGCTGCAATGGCCCAATGTCGGGACCAATTATTGAAATGACCGAGCTAATTACGATTAAATCAATTTGCATCAACTGACAACTGGGGGATTTACATGACACGCTTTTCACTCGAGTCGCATTCCGCTGAAGAATGACTACGGCAACTGCTATCGTTCATTTATCTCTTTATTGCTTTATATACGCACTGATAGGCGTTTCTTTTGCAAAAAGCGATTCATCTAAAATTTAAGTGAAACAAAGACAAAAGAAACACGTCGCGCGTTCTATTCGTGATTCATGTGAAACGTGTGAGCAAATTGCCCGTATACTTGAATGATTGCATGAATTACGGCAATAAATTTATTATCGACAAAAAATGGCAACAAGGAATATAACAAATTTTGCAAATCGTGCGGCTTCTTTGATCATTGGTTATAGCTTAAGTTAATTTTGGTTATCGAATGATAAAATGATAAGCCGTATATTTCCTCTGCTACCAGCCGACTTCCAATTTTGACCAGTGAGATAAGAAAGTTATGAGTTCAATTTGAAAACGATCACTTAGCGTTGCAGATTAGAATGAAGAAGTCAACGTAATATGAATTTAATAAGCTTATCAATTTGAACATATGAATTTTATTCGTATTAAGAAACAAGAATAAACATTTTAATTTACTGAACTTTTTCTGTGTATTTTATTTATATCTAGAGAACAACTACAAGTTTATACTTTTTGGAAAGGTAATTCAATAAACTTTAATGTCCACATAAAATGTGCACAGTTTTCATACACAATTGTCTATCAATCTGGATATAAAAGTCTTCTTTCATTTCTATCTTTGATATATTTTTCCATTAGTGAGCATTACACTTGAGTTACGCGTTCTTTCATTTACTACGAGAGTAAAATTGGTTTAATAATTGTTGTAAGCAACTTTCATACCTCAAATAATTGAAAGAATTTCAGCGATGTGCACTAATCATTTAAAAATAGGGTATATAGATTTTCGAAATTGTATTTCCACGGACGTAAAAGAAAATTGATTTGAAGTTTAAAATAACGCACTATTTAAATTAATCGCCAAAAATAAATAACTCATTTTTCGTCGATTTGAGAAATGGATGTAATATTGATAATATTATTTACGAAGAAATGTTTAAAATTTTTTATGTTTTCAGATTATTTTTAAATACGTACACCCATTTTAATGATGTGTAAGACGTTATGCAATTTTCACTGAGTTTTATTCCTTTAGGATTTCAACACCACAGCGCACCAGTACTTCGTTGACGATTGACGGTGGATCGTTAAGATCGACCACGTCTGTTTGCGGTCACCTTAACTGCCTAATTGAGGCTTCAAATTTCGCAGAGCTCTTAAAATATGGGCACTTACAGAGCTGTATACCGGAATACTTTAGATTGCAAACGTCAGAATTATCGTTAGAAATTCAATATCTAGTGCTGATATAAAAAACACGCGCAATTAATGTCCCCCTGCAGCAAACAGCAGCGAATTCGGCTTGATATTTGTCTTATTGGATGTTATTATCGCACTAGTTGGAACGGTAATTTTCAGGCCGCTGTGTAGTAGTCCAGAATTATGGCTTGTATTGTTTCACTTTTTTTTTTTGCTTATTTTTGTTTTCAACAGGTTTTATCTTTATGGGGAAGTAATATGATATTCTCCATGGTACGAAAATATTTTTCAATCGGTTGCTATCTGCATGGAACCTTAGAACTTTTCGCAATATACCCGTTTATCTGAAAAAAATAACTGGTAACGTCATATAGTTGTTGAATAAGTATCAGTAGCTTTACCCCAGGGCCTTGGTAAGCGTCATGACGATGCCTCTCCCATTAACTGACTGAATGTCTGACTAGGTAGCATCAATAGGCGTACGAGACCCGAGCCCATACCTAGATTGATTGACAAACACAGAGACAGTCCGTGATAGGCAGTTATGTTGTGCCTGACTGCATATGTCACTCGTCTCTGGGCTCTTGTTTGCTATCTCCGTGTTTGTGTCTGTGTCTAGAATTTGTAATGAATGTTTTTCCACTGAGTTAACTAATTATCGTTTGCGTTATTTTGCCGCTGATTTCAGTTCAGTTTATGTGTCATTCCACTCTTTTGTTTTGCCGTATCTGTTGTATTCGCAAATTCTCGCTTTGGTTTTGGATTTTGGGATTGGGCTGAGCACCGACTTACTATGATTTCGCTTGATTAACAAATTGTTGTTATTATTTAAATCATTGTGCTTAAATTACGAACGTATGCGTGAGTGTGTGTTTGGGTTGAATGAGTTTCGCTTGAATGCATTCAGCGCTGGGAAATTGACTCGCTCGCTGCTTCCAGATCCAAAAAAAATTATGTCAATTTGTATTTTTACTATTTTTACGCTTAACTACACTACAACACCGACAAGTGGAATATTTTATGTTTGAATATTTCAAACTAATATTGGCCATTAATCTATTAAATGATTAATTGGCTAATTACAACATAGAATAGTGTTGCTCTAAAATCAAGTCAATTATTAGAAAAAAAAAACGAATTTATTAGGCAACTAAGCAAAAATCAGATCGACACGAACATTTCCACAAACTTTGAATAAAGCACATACAAATCATTAAATTTCCCTTCCTCCTCCTATTACTGAAAAATGTATCAACAATATTGTTGCAAAAATTCACTTGTCAGCAAGCTCTCATCTTACATTTATCAAGGTCGCAAACATAAGATTGCCGCAATCTGTATTTCTTCCGAATTGCATACATTCCTACATATTCCTAAAAAGTATTCGTATGTATATTATAAATACGATTATTTGAGATTCTCATAAGCAAATGAAAATAAGTTTTAAAAAAATCCACATTCTCTCAAATGTGGCATCAAATAAACCGAATTGAAATTTCCATTTTGGTAAAAAGTAAGGCAATTTTTTGACAAACTGGACACCACACATTCGTGTGTGTGAATTGTGTTGTTTACTGTTTGCTTACAGTTTTTGTTCTGAGTTGTGGCAACCACATGTAAAATCTGAACTATACACTGCCCACACTTTGACTTGTGCATTAATCTAGAGCAATCGACATCTAATCGCTAAGCGCTTATCAACAATAGCGCAAATAATTATTGCTAATTATTGGTGAAGTCACTGGCTAATCGGTCTAGGAATTACTTTCGCAGTATCTATGCCTGATAAGGATTTGTACAATCCATCCCACACAATGACAAAAACCATAGCTTTTACTTTTGAACTGGACCCTAGCACAACTTTTAGCCATTCGAGCCGATCAAAGGTGATTTTCTAGTGCAAATGGGAGAAGCAAAGTTTTGTTTTTGTGTGTTCTCTTTTATTGCTGATCGAGAATAGATACACATCATTTGCTTCCTACGGTTGATATGATTTTAAAATTTTTCAGAATTGAAATATTCACAAAATAGTTTTTCTTTTTTTTCTTTTTCTAACTATAAGATACATTGCTTACTTATTTGTATTCGCATATTTCACATTATTAGTGGATTACAAAAGGCAATTAAGATTTTGTAACCGATTACCGCATTGCGCTCAACAGTTTATTTGATCAATTCGATAACGTGCATAATACCGTGGGCTTATCAACGTGCTTGTGGCTCAAGCACCACAAATCCATTAATTCGAGAGATGTGTATATAATTATTGCAACTCGGTGGTTAGCAATTTAGTAGGCAAAGAGTCGGCACGCGTTCACGTCCAGAACAGCAGGAGCTGTGGCCAATCAGTGATTGGATTGAATTAGCATTATTGGGCTACGCGATGGATGCCAATGTCAACTGTAGGAACATCAACAGCAGCAACAAAAGCAACATCAAGTGAGTTCGATGAGCACAACAAGTTCTCATTTACTCTTATATGCTGCTGATCGCGCCACTGTGATCTCTTGCTCTTTGCCACTGTTGCACTCTCTCTCTCTCTCGCTGGCTCTCCTGCACGTCTCCTGCTACGTTGCTTTGTGCCCGGCCAGACGTTCGGTGAGCGTTGAAGGCGACAGTTGTGATTACTATTCTGCCGTGTTGTTTTCCGTGTACTTCGTGCCAGCTGATGGCACATGTTGCCGCTGTTATTGCTGCTGCTTGACCGAATTCAAGCATTTTGTCATCGCCTTTTTATATAAGACAAAAACAAAAATACAAATCTTCGCGACTTTTTTTCAAAAGTGTGTCAGTCTAAGAAATTGTGAGTGTTAAGCATAGATCGAAGTGTAACAGGTTGTATTGAAGCTCAATCGTTGGACAGTCGTGTTAAGTGTACTCAAAAAGTGTACTCATCGTATTCGTAACATTTTGTTTGGCTTCTTGTGGTGCCCTTTCGACAAAGGCGAGGGTCAGTTGCTCGCTTTCTTTCAACAGCAACAAATGAGAAAAAAAAAACACAAACAAAACGCAACCGCAACTTCCTTTGCCTTTTCTTCTTATTCAACTTCTCGTTGGAGTGTGGCAAGTAACAGCCGTGGCAAGTTGTTGCATCAAGAGGAAGGTTATTGACTTTTGGTGTTGCGGCCCTAGCGGCATATGTCGCACATGCAGCTTGTTGCTTGTAGCTGTTGCTGTTGCTGTTGCTGTTGCTGTTGCTGTATCTGTACTGTCAGATACTATGGATTTGACTGCTTCTTCCGCTTCGTCTCTCAAAGACTCCAAAAACCAAACAAATGTTGTTTCTGTTTTTGTTTCTGTGGCTGTTGTTGTCACAGTTGATTGCCGTCGCCTTGCCGTTTGTTTGTATTTTCTTCCCATTTAGATAGTCTTTAAATAGATTGTTGCCCACACTCCCCCACACGACTCATTTGCATTTGTCTTGAAGATTCGAGCTCACTTTTGTTTGTTTGTTTTTTATTTTATTATTTTTTTTCTTCACCTTAGTTGTGTGTGGGCGTGGTCTCCCACACACACACACTTTCTTTTTATTTGTTGAAAATTGACAAGAATAATGCACTGCAGCTGATTAAGGCACTTGCATGCATGCAAAATCGATTAAAAGCACGTCCCTTCACTCCTCAAATTGTGTAACTAGAGTGCTCCACTTACACACACACCACCACCACATCTCTCTGTCTGTGGTGTTAATTTGTTTTTTCCACGTCTCGGCCTGACGGCCACTTTTAATCGTCGCAACGCAGTTGGCCCCTGTGGGTCATGAGCCACATTGTTATAAATGGGTCGCAGTCGCAGGGACCCCAATTGCATTACACATGCACTTTAATCATTAGCCACAAAATGAACAAATTGCTGTTTTTCTTTTCTTTTTTTCGTTAATTATATGCACTATTTTATGTATAGGCTATGCGGACTGCAAACATTTAAGAATATTGTTTGTCGACATATTTCTTCAAACTAATTTCGCACCACCAGCACTTGTGAGGCTTTCCGTGTTGTGTGATTCGCCAGATTGCAGTAAAAGCCCTGCTTCACTCGACTTAAGCGAACAACGTTTTACAGGGTACTAGAGAGTCAGCTCTCGAATTTTTTTGTTTTGAAATTCTCAGATACACACAACTAATTCAAGCAAATGGCATATAGCAGATCATCAAACTTGGTTATTATGGTCTCAGTTGGCTATAAATAAAAACGAAATATCGCAATGAAATTTACAAAATGTGTCCCGTATATCTTACGGTTGTTGGGCATTGCATATGTCTAGAATTAAATCACATAATATGAATATTTGTTCAGCATTTGATGAAATTTAATTTGTTTTGTTTGCATTGTTTGCATAGACAGTTTTTTTTTTTTTCCTGTTTACGAGTTAAAAATTAAATATATTTTTTAATGTCTTTCGACCAACACATGTTTTCCCATGTACTACAGTCGACGCAAGTGATGAAACTGAAATAAACTATGACCGAATATGTCAAAAGATGAGTTCACCAAAGTGAAAATTCACAAGACAACAACACTTTCTCTGATCTAGCCTCATCATTTCATTGACTCTCAATTATTCGATATATATTTTAAGTAGCGTTTTCGTTCGATAACGTGTTGTAAATTGCATAATATATATGATAGTGATTAGTCTATCATTTAACTGTCGGAAAATTGTTTCCGTTTCACATGAAATCACCAAACATTTGCTTATAATTTTTGCACATTAACAATTTTACAAGAAGAAGCACTTGACGCACTGAGAAAGTGAAGTAAAGTAATTCATTTATATTGATAACTCATTGAACTATCCGACAGTTGATTCCATTGATTCGATCAAGCCTTCCTATGTACGTAGATTGATTCTCGTAATCAGACAATATAACATTTTGCCAACATCGAGTTGAGCCCACTTGAGATAACACTATAATTTATTACAATTTTTCCACATTTTCGGTTGCGGATTCATTGGATTCATTGAGAGTGACACATTATTCAATCGTTGACTGTGAGTACACACATCGATGCTGTTGATGACTGTGGTTCATTAAATTCCAGAGGACATCGCACTTCAATCCAAATTTGCAAATTAATTATATTAGTCAATTGAGGGTTCTGTTTATGCATAAGCACTCGTTTTATATTGCATACTCATTATTCTTTATTCATCGCTCAATTACAGCGACGAGATGAACTCCAAATATGAGAACATGAAAATCATCTACAATCGCAGCAAAATTGGGTGGTACTGGGCACCACTATTTGTGGCATTCTGGTTTTTGCTGTTCTATTTGGCTGTAGTGCCCAGTTTCCATCGTATGCCACCGCTGAAGACGTTACAAGATGAGCTGGATCAGCCGGGTCAGTTCATTGGGGAGCGTGCGGAGGGCACACTGCTAAGGCTATCAAAGATCGGTCCCAAAGTTGTGGGGAGTGCTGCAAATGAGCAAGTCGCTGTCCAGCTGCTGCTCAGCGAGATAAGTGAGATTATTGATGGAGCTCGCACCGATCTGTTTGACATTCAGAAAGATGTACAGATTGCCTCCGGCAATTATCTGCTCTGGTCCATGGTGAACGTCTATCAGAGCGTTCAGAATGTAATTGTCAGGCTCTCGCCAATAAATGCAACCACCGAGGCGTCTCTTCTAATCAATAGTCACTTCGACTCGGTGCCGGGTAGCTCTGGTGCCGGTGACTCTGGCTTAATGTGTGTCATCATGCTAGAGGTGCTGCGCGTGATAACCAAGTATGAAACGCCACTCCAAAACACGCTCATCTTTCTCTTCAATGGCGCCGAGGAGAATCCTCTCCAGGGGTCGCACGCATTCATCACACAGCATCCCTGGGCAAAGAATGTGCGGTAAGTTTCCACGCAAATAGTTATCATAATCAGCGAACTAACGCTCAGTATTTTCGAAATGTTTGTAGTGCTGTGGTCAATCTGGATTCAGCTGGCAGTGGCGGACGGGAGATACTCTTTCAATCTGGACCCGATCATCCCTGGCTAATGAAGGTACAATTGACATATCTCTCGATTTTATTAACCTAATGCGATTATATACTCTTCAGTACTATGGTCAACACATTACACATCCGTTTGCCTCGACAATTGGTGAGGAGATGTTCCAAAATGGTTTCATTCCCTCGGAAACCGATTATCGCATATTCCGCGACTTTGGCAATATACCTGGTAAAGTAATTATTCATATCGACATCAGTCGATCTGGGTCTTATTCTCATTCTCTTTACATTTCATTCAGGTCTCGATATGGCGCACACGCTAAATGGATATGTATATCATACGAAATACGATCGCTTCAATCTAATTCCAAGACGTACCTATCAGTTGACTGGTGATAATCTTTTGGGCTTGATCAAAGGCTTAGGTACTGCTCCCGAACTGGAAGATCCGGCGGTAAGTCTAGCAACGATTTGAATTAAATTCAATAATTTATGGAATAAATGGGAATTCTCTTCCAGAAATATGCTGAGGGTCATATGATATACTTTGACGTGTTGGGCTGGTTCTTCATCTATTATCCCGAAAATGTTGGCCTTATTGTCAACATATGCGTATGTGTGCTGGCGCTCCTTACGATTGTCGCCTATATCTGGAGCATGGCCAGCAGTACGGGTATGTTCCGACGTCGCATCTTTGCCAAGTTTGGCATTTTGGCTGCACTGCAGCTCTGCGGTGTCTGCTTGAGTCTGGGCCTGGTATTTTGCATAGCATTATTCCTGGATGCTGTGGGTCTGTCGATGTCTTGGTTCTCTCACACATGGATGGTCTTCGGCTTGTACTTTTGCCCCATGTTCTTTGGCCTGGGCATACTGCCCGCCATTTATTTCAGTCGCACCAAGGAGGTAAGTACATTTTTAAAAGTAATCCTTACAGTTCTTTTGAGTCTGTTCCTCTTATATCGCAGCATGGTCTACCACTTGGGTATGGCATTCAGCTGTTAATGCACTCGCATTGCTTAATATTGACAGTGATTACCATTGTAATGATATCGTTCAACATAAGATCGGCCTTTATACTGCTCATCTGCATTGGCTTCTATACGATTTCAGTTCTTATCAATATGGCTACATGTGCGCACAAAACAAGTGAGTTATTTGCATATCTTAAGATAATGTTGTAATTAATAATTCAATTGTTTATTCTCACAGATTTTATGTGGCTCATACCTCACTGTATATTACAATTGCTGCCCTTCATGTTTTACACATATTGTTGCTATGCATTTTATGTTGTATTCGTGCCAATGCAGGGTCGGGAAGGTAATACAAATCCTGAAATACTCATTGGGGGCTTTACGGCACTGTTTTGTTGTCTCCTTTCTCCGTTCCTGATACCGTTGCTCTGCCTGTTCCGCAAATCGAAAACTATCATCACGCTGTTCGGCATCTGCACGATAATCTTTATTATCTTGGCTGCAACACCCGTTGCATTCCCCTATGTGGAGAAGACAGCAGTGCAGCGATTCTTTGCTGTGGTAAGGAATTCAAAATGAAGATCAGTCTTTAAATATCTAACTTATTGTCTCTTTGGCCTTTTTCTATTTGAAGCATACGACACGCACCTTCCGCAACGGCGATGCAGCAAGCACGGTGAACCATACCGATGCCGGTTATTATGTAATGCCGGTGGATCGGCATCCCAAGTCACTGGACAACATACTCTTTGATGGCAGCAACTATTCAAAGGCCGATCGTAGCTCTTGTGAAACGGAAATTATGTGCGGTTTTCCCATTTACAGTTCGCGCTGGATAAAGCCTGCGTAAGTCACAGAAGATCATATTTATGGCTCAGACTGATATCCCATTTTGGTTCCTATAGAGCTAACAGCTATTGGGTGCCTGGTCCCGAGCCCAACAAAGCCTATATGCCAACGTTGAAAATATTAAACAAAGAGAGCACTTCGATGACAAATATTATATTCACTTTGGAGGTTTCAGGACCGGATCATACAAGCATATTCATCGAGCCACTGGATGATGCCAAACTGGTGGACTGGACCTTCACCAAGGAACCGTTGGAAAAGTCTTTGCCCCCTCCTCATTACGTATATTGGTCATATGCACTAGATCCGACACCCTTACGGTTTAATTTGGAATTTGAGGTACGTGCCGTGCACATAGATTACTTTAAAGTTGAGTTTTAAATATGATATAACCATGTACACACAGCGTGACAGCAACAATTGGTCTGGTGCAACGTTCAAGATAGCCATTATGGGCCATAGAATACACGATGATATGTTTATAGAGGAGGACTTTCGGGAGTTTCTGGCCAAATTTCCACCATGGACACATGTCAATGCATGGATTGGTTCCTACAACAACTGGCAACTCTAAAAACAGCTCAGATGTCAGATATAGAAAAGTTTGATATTCACAACTCGCTGCTCATACTCTCTACTCATAGTTTGGTTTTCCGAACTGTTGTTAAGTTTTGGTATTCCTTCATACCCTAAACACAAATTTACATATGATACTCGGACAAACGAACATCCATCGAACAAAAATTGTATTTAAATTAAAGAATTAGAATTAATTAAAGTTACAACTATTAATTTGTGGTAAAAAGAAAAAACTACAATTTTATGATGGTTTTTAAAATACATCTTAATTAATTTATTAAGTTATAGAATTCAGCTTAACTACAGTATTTACTAATCGCCTTTAAAAGATCCAACTTTCGTACGAGGCAAACCAATCGGTCGTATAAGTCCAATCCGGAAACGTGCTAAGAAACTCACCGAATTCGGGCGTATAATATTCCGAGTGATAAAGGAAATGAACGCTCACGGCTAGCTTAAAGTACGGTCCATCCGTATTGGCCGCATCGTGCTCAAACTCCAGCCAGAAGTTAAAGGGCTCCTTAACCATGGAAGCAACATGATATACAAAATATGGAGCAGTATGACCATCCACTAAGATTGTTTCATCAAACGACCAGTTCGTGATCGTCACCTTCTCCATGGGATCAAAGTACATCACAATGCGATCGCCAGCCTTTAATCTGAACTCATATCGCTTTTTGTTCATGCTTATAGAGTGCCTCGAGACCTCTGTGAGTTCCGTGGCCACTGGCAAAACTGGCGCCACACTATAAATCCAACGAGCACTATCTCTGCGAGTAGATTGTATATATTAGATTAAAGATGTCGTTATAAAACTACAATAGGAGCATACTTCCAGTTCAGCCAACGTCCGCTGTAAAGCGGCAGACCGCAATAAGGCTCTGAAGCACAATTATCTTGAAGCCAACTCTCGGGCTCTACATTCTTGAGCGTTGTATCGTAGAGTTCGGAATAGCGGGTATCAACGGGTTGTATGTAAAAGCCAGTATCTTGTGTAACACTATTGTCTGCATTGTGAATTATGCGTTGGGCGTGCTAAATGATAGTTTGGTTAAGAGCGTAGTACTTTAAGAAGCCTATAAGTATTACCAAAACATAATAGCGCTGTGCAGCAACATCCTTTTTGAAGGGGAAACCCACAGGCGTTGCGGCTAATATGATGAATATGATGATAAGTACTCCAAACATTGAGATGAAGATCTTTGATTTGCGGAACTTATTTAAAATTGGTATCTGAAAATTGTATATTTAATTTAATAATGTGTTCAAAACCAAGTTACTTGAACTTACAATGAATCCAGCAAAATGCATCGTCATCAGGGCAATAAAGACAGCCAGTAGCATATCAGGTTTGCTGTCAGGTCCATCGCGTCCCTGCATGGGCACAAATACCAGCAGAAACACATAAATCAAATAGGTGTAGAAGAAGTAAGGCAGAACCTGGCACAACAAATGCACGCTCAGAAAATAGCTCTCTGGAAGAGATGGGAAGATCATTTAGTTAAAATTCGTCAAAGTTTACGGATGCGCGACATACTCTTAATGGTCACTTTTAGGATCATCTGTATAATCATTGAGATGGTGTAGAAGAACAAGCCGATCATTGGAAAGAAAGCAGAACGGATGCCCAGACCGGTCATGAGAAGGCAAATGAAAACAATTAGGATGCAGTGGGCATGCATGAAGCAAGCAATCGTTTGATTTAGAGTCATGTTCGTCTTGTGCTTGCTCCATTGTATGTAGATGGCGGGCAACAGACCCAGTCCAAAGAACATGGAGCAAAAGTAAAGGCCAAATGTCATCCAAATGCTGTAGTACCACGATTCGCCCAGGTTAACGGCTAGCATAAAGAGCGCCACAACTATGGTAATTGTCCAGGCAATGACCACTCCGCCCAGCTGCACCAGGAATATGATGCCAAAGCGCAGGGCCACAGACTTGGGTGTCATATCCGCATCCTTGTCCTTTATCATGAGATACAGGGAAAGCGCAATACAAATCAGGGCAGCTATGGATACAACGATATTGATGGCAATACTGGCGGATTCGGTGTAGACTATAATGAACCAGCCGAGGAAATCAAAGAAGATAGCGTGTCCCTCCTCGTGAGCGGAGGTATCATCCAGTTCCGGAGCATTGGCCAGCGCCCAGGTTAAGGCCAATACGTTATCACCCGTGGTCTGATAGGTGCCACGCGCCAGATTCTTAAAATTGTCGTATTTGGTATGGTAGACATAGCCATTGAGAGCATGTGCCATATCCAAGCCGGGAACATTGCCATAGTCGCGAAAAATGCGAAAGTCCGTGTCGGAAGGTATAAAGTTATTCTGGAACAGCTCCTCGGCGACGGTTATGGAAAATGGATGTGGCGCATACTTCTGATAATAATTCATTAGCCAAGGATGATTGGGACCTGTTTGGAATAGAACCTCGCGACCACCGGAACCCGTCGAATCCAGATTGATGAGCGCCCTGAAAGATTCTTAAACCTGAAGTCAATATTTCAAATAGAATGCTCTTAATTCACGCACTTGCAATTGGATGCCCATCTGTGCTTGGTGATGAAACCATGGGAGCCCAGCATGTTTGCCTCCTCGGCGCCATTGAAAAGAAAGACGACGGGATGAGCAAGTGGTCGCTCAGACTTTGCGATAACGCGCAGAGTCTCCAGCATGATGACGACCATGACGCCATCATCTGCAGCCGCGGGAGTTCCCACCTCGGAATCGTAGTGAGAGTTAACCAACAAATAGTTGTCATTGGGACTATCCTTGCGTGCAATCTTGACCACAACATTGGATATATTGTCATAGCTGGTGGCTGCTTCCCACAGATAAAAGGCGCCCGATGAGTACTGCACCTCCGAAACGATGTCATAGAGATCGCTGCGTGACTGATTCACAATTTTTTGCACTTCCCGAAGCACAAAATTAACGGTATGCTGCTCATTATTTATGGATCCTGTCATCTTGTTGCCAATCGCCGAATACTCGGCTAGCTGAATCTGTGCCCGCTCACCAATAAATTCATACGGATGATTGGCCTCATCGCGCACATATATCATTTTGGGATAGGAGAAAAAGCTTGGTATGACGGTCACATAGAAGAGCGTGAACCATATAGCACAAAATATGGGTGCTCCATACCAGGGCCATTTCTTGTTGCCATTTTTCGTGGACTTCTCCTCTAACTTTAAGTCAAGGCTGGCCATGGACATCTGTGAAATATGAACATTATTAGAAATAAATATCAGGATGTATATTGCTTCAACAGAACCGGAACGGAAATAACCCATAAGCTTAGACAAATAATCTAATAACTAATTGTTATATATTGCTCAAAATCTCTTATTTATAAAGTGAAGGCTTTTGTTCTTGTAATCACAAAGATTATGTTCAAATGAAAAATTAGATTACTTTTTATAATTCAATTCCAGTTGTTAGTGTTAAATTTCTGACAAAATTAATTTTATCGATTTTAAATATCGATTACTATTATTTATGAGGAATTCCATTTTTATACTTGTAGCCTATTGTTTTAATTTTGCTTTCAGAATTACTTCTTAAATGAATTGTTTTTATTTGTTCTTCCTTAATTTTTGATCTTTGACTTGTTCAATTTATATTGTATAATTGAACGTTGATATTTTTCAACATTACCCAATTACAACCTATATAAGAGATTACTTTTTTATTCGATTTTCGAGCTTCGCACTATAAAAACGTCCACAACGCGACACAATGGTTGGAAAACTGTGGCAGCCAAGCAAATGTAAAGCAAACAATTATACTCTATGTCAATATCTTGCGGCTTATCACCGATAATGTCTTGCAGATTGCGGTTCGGCAAAAGCATGCGACAACTTAGGTGGTTTATGGCTTAATGACCGGAGTTAGATTAAGCTTTATGTCGGTATATGCATATCTTATTGCCAATTGCCAAATTGAGGTATAGGTAAATACGTATTTATATTGCTGGTCAATGCCCAATACACATAAATAGCTCAACAAAGGGAAAGTGAGATTATGATTGATTGGACTAATTCCTAACATTATCCATTAAAAGCCACTGATGATCGTTTATTATTTTGAATCGCATGTCGGATATGGAACCACAATAAGATCATCGAAATCGTTTTTATATACATTTTAAAACCATATTAATATATCTATGCTTCATAGAACTTAAAGTCGAAGTAATCTGTAATTGATTTTGAAACTTATCAAATTTAAGTTTACGGAAAAAATGTCGAAAGGAAATCGCAATCATTCCACCTACGGCACTATTAATTATACAACCGAGGAGGGTACCAAAAACTCATTGGTGCAATTTATCATCTTCTCTATCTACTTGATATGTCTAACGTTATCTAGCAAGGGATTGACAACCCATCAACAACATTATTTCAATCTGGGAATGCTAAAATCATTTAAAAGGACCTTTTATATGCCCGGAAATGTGGTTATTTCATTCGATAAGGTCATCACAATACCGGATTTCTGGAATTATATAGAGTACGCAGTGATTCCTATGCTTCATGGCGTCGTCTTTGATGAGACCGTTGATTGGAAGCCCCATTGGGTAACCAATAGACCAAATCTATATGGACGCTTATTCCTTAATGAAAGTGTGTTACTTCAACCACCGAGACTACGACAAATCCGTGTAAGGAATGACACCTGCTTTAAGCACATAGCTTTCGAGCGATACTCTGCAACATGCATGGCGGCCTACTCGAGTGACGCTGAGTCCAAAGAACCATTTTATAAGGGGTAAGCTACTCGTAATAGTCATCAATTCCAATAAGTCAATCCATCGTATTTACACATAAAAGATTAAATGTTCCATGTTTTGCCAGCAGCACTGAGTTTAAGACGATGAAACAACTGAAAGTCTCACCTATTAGGGGCGTGGTACACACCTATGCCAGCGGAGGCTATGTGCAGCAATTATCCTTTAAAAAGGATGTGAATGTGGGCGTCATACGACATCTTAAAAACATTAAATGGTTGGATCGTGCCTCGCGTCTCGTAGTATTTGAGTTAAAATTGATCAATTTGAATTTAGATCTACTGCAGTCCATTAAGTGCGTCATTTGCTCTGGATAATACAAAATAATGATAATGATCTTCAAATTGCAGAATAATTTTCGAGATAATGCCGACTGGCCTGATAAATCACTTGTATCGATCGCGTTGCCATTACACGGATCTAATGCCCCCTGCATCGAGGTCGCTTATATTACCATGTGCCTCTGTTGTGTATATAATTAACTTTTATTACACATTTGTCGAGATCAAGATACTTTATCTCAATGGTTGGAGGCATTATTTCAAAAAATTATCAATCTTCTTGATTCTGCCTAGAATATTTGTAAGATTAACCACATTACATACTTGCATACAAAATATTTAACTCTATTTTAACAATTTAGATTGTTCATACATCGCTTATGTATTCTATTTATATATTTTTCTATTATGAGAGATTTCGCGATGCTGATCGCTATTTTGATGCATTGGATTATGTAAACTACACATATTCGTTGCATCGGGACTCAATTGGAATATTGTTATTTTTCTCATGGATTTCATTGCTTAAGTTTATGGACTTTAATCCAGTGCTACGGACAATGGGATTGGCAATGCATATAGTAAAATCACAATTAGAATTCTCACTTAAACATACATATTTATATTATTTTAAACGATCTGTTTGTGGATCAAACTTTTCATTCTAGGCTTCCAGGGACCTGGGTGCATTTGCAATCATGTTCCTTATTGCGTTTGTTGCCTTTGCAAATCTGGGCTTACTACTTTTCGGAGGCGAGAATGTGAATTTTAAAGATTTTCCAACAGCTTTTATAACAATGGTGCGCATGTTGGTTTCCGATTTCGATTATTTTCAACTGGAAGAAGAATCTCAAATACTGGGTCCAATATTCTTTTTGACTTACGTGTTGTTAATATTTTTCGTATCAATGGTAAGCATCATTAGTTACACAGTTGCACCTATTTCTGCAGCTCTATGATATTGATATAATATATTTTCAGAATATGTTCCTTGCCTCTATCGTAATGTCTTATAAAACAGCCACAGCAACGATCGCTTTCAAGCCGTCATTTTTGTTGTACTTTGTTAGAAAGCAACTCTATCGGCTGTCTAATGGTATCATATCGGCTCCCCATTATCCAAAATGGGCTAATAAATATTCACAAAATAACTCACTCGATGAAAAAAAGCTTGATGAATTGTAAGTGACCAGATAACTTGTGTTAAATAATCACAATTACATTTCTATAATTAATTTTGTTTTATGACAGGAATATACGGAAGGAATATATGGAAATCGAGTCAGATTTGGATGTGTACGTATCTTTAGTTACGCAAATTATATATTTCAGTATGGGAAAACTAATGTATTACTCTTTTTCAGTTTGTTTGCACGCTTGGAAGTTATGCAGAATATCTTGTATCGTCTACATAATAATATTGGAGACATAGTAGCAAAGACGTTGACTGAAAACAAAAAACTAAATAAGAAGAAAATGCAAAATAAATAAGTATTATGCTTATATTAAATTGTGTAATTTGTCTTATCGTAAAGAGTTTTTAATTAGCATCTTCAGACATTAGCCATTATTGACTAAAACTTTCAAATGTACTTGCCAATTTTGAAAAGTAACAGCTTCTACATATCGACAACGGCAAGATATGTTCTAAAATATGGAATGCGGATATTCCGGTAAATTTAAATATGAGCTTCATCCATTTTTTGTGAGTATAAGTCAAACTATTCTCAGCGAGTTACCAAGGTGTCGCAAAATCTTATCAATTGGTGCTTTAAAGTGTTAAACATTGAGATTAGCGAGAAAGGCCATTCAGCAATTATATTTTTATTAGTGAACCTGCTTTTCACATACAAATTGTGCATACATTTGTCTTATCTAATAAATTTCATGTACACTTTCAGTACTGCCATGTCTCATAGGATGCTGGCCAAGGTGTTGCATCCACATAGTTGGGGAAACTATTAAGGAATTTCTTAAAATCTGGTGTGAACATCTCCTTGTGGTGAGTCCAATGACCATGCAGGCCCAGCTCCACTGTGGGTGTTTTCCAGTCTCCACTTGGTTTCTATAAAAATAATGAAATTTGTACAAGAACTACGATAACCATTTTTCGAGCTGCGAACTCACCTCAAGCTCCAGCCAGAATTTCAGTGGATCACCGTTGACGCCATAGGAAAAGTAAATATAATATGGGGGCTCAAAGTGCAGACGCAATGGAGCCTCGTGGAAGGACCAGCCCTCTACTCGTGCGCCATTCAGTGGCTGTATAAAGATGCCCATATGGTCGGGACCTGTAAGCTCCATCTCGAAACGTATTCTATGGGGAGTCAATTGCTTCTTGGACACGACCTTAACTGCCGGCAAAGTGCCCAAAATAGGCGCCGATGCGGGTATCCATAAGCCGCGTTCTCTGTGGATTACACATTTGATGTGAGTTCGTTATGAATATCATCGTAGTAGTGGTGCTCGTGGGATGGACCTTACCTAGTCTTGTGCCAGCGCATGTTGTACAAGGGATAGCCACAGAATGTTTCCTTTTTGCATTCCTCACGCACCGATGTAGCCATAGTCATGTTAATTACCTTATCTGAAAGTGGCAATTTAATCAGATAATGCAACTTTTCTTTTTCTCACTCATCCCCTTTCATTTATTTGGGGGAACACTTACTTTTCACCGCATACGTGCGTCTATCCTGTGGCATAATAAAGTAACCAGTTTCCGATTTCCGCACATTGTTATCAGCATCGTGGAAAGTGCGCTTAGCATGCTATTGAAAAATAAAGCGCAGTTCAAATTGTGACTTCGAGCAGAAAGCTAGCGATTCTTACCAACACGTTAAAGCGTTGCACACTCGTCTCCGGTCTGTAGGGGAAGCCCATGGGTGTCACGGCAATAATAATGCAGATCAGGGTGATACCCATCAGGGCGCAAATGATGGTCTTTGATTTGCGGAACATGTGTAGCAAGGGTACAATCATACCGCCAATTAGCAGGCCAACTGCAATACTGAATGCGGCCATAACTAGATCTGGATTAACCGTATCACCAAAGCGACCAACCATCGGAATAAAGGTGACTAGAAAGCTGTGCGAGAAGTAAGCAAAGAACAAAAACGGTGGCACGTAGCACGCCATGTGCGGTATAATCCAAAGAACATCTGCGGTGAAGAGAGTCGGAAGGATGGTTGAAGAGATTCCAAATATATTAGGATGTTCGGTTCTACTTACTGCGACGATGCAGATTGGTGGCCAGATTGAAGACCAGTCCCACCGTGTAGAACAAGCACGACAGCATGAGCACAAATGCAGAGCGAATACCACAGGTGGTTAGGACCAGAGTGAGCAGTGCCAGAAGCAGGCAATGGCAATGCAGCAGCAGCTGTACACGCTGCCCAATGGGGAAGCGATCCTGTGGAATTAAAAGGATGAGAAACTGTTGGGATTGAGTTAAACAATTACTCACAGTCGCCGTATAGTGGAAGTAGAGAGCTGGCACAATGGCCAGACCAAAGAAGAATGGACAGAAGTAGAGACCTAGGAGCAGCCAGTTGTGTGTGAACCACGAAAGAGGCAGATGCACAACATCCATGAACCAGCTAATGAACAGGGTTAGACAGAAGCCAGCCACAACTCCCAGGATGAGCAGAACGAATGTGTGCAGAGTACGCTTGAGCACCTTCTCCAGCTTGATGCCGTTGTTGTTGGACATTAACTTTATGGCAATGCTGCAGATAACAATCGCAGCGATGGATACAACCACATTGAGAATGATGCCCTCCGTTTCCGAGTAGAAGACCAGGAACCAACCCATCACATCGTAGTAAACTGTGTGTCCCTGGGCGTATTTCTGCATAGAGACTGATAGATTATTCTCCAGCAAAAAGTGTTGTCAGCTGTTGTTGCTTACCGATGTATCCTCCAGCTCTGGTGCACTGGAAATCTCGCGGACGAGAGCCAATAGATTGTCTCCAGTGTTTTGGAAGCTGCCGCGCGGAAAGATCTCTGCACGATCATAACGGGTGTGATAAACATAGCCATTGTACTGATATGCCATGTCCAGGCCGGGCACAGCACCATGATCACGGAATATGCGGAAGTCGGTGTCGGAAGGTATAAAGTTGTGCTGGAACATTTCCTCGGCCATTGTCGAGGCAAAAGGATGCTTGATTGCACGGCGATAGCTCTTCATTAGCCAGGGATGATTGGGGCCAGACTGGAAGAGAATCTCACGACCACCATTGCCAGCCGAATCCAAGTTGATCAGTGCTCTGTCGATCGAACAAAAGAGAAGTTGTTTAGCTCTATTTTGGATTTGAAACTGAGATTCGTTACTCACTTGCAGTTCTTGGCCCACTTGTGCTGCGTGATGAAGGCATGCGAGGCCTGCAGAGGATTCTCCTCGGCACCATTGAAGAGGAAGACAACAGGATTCTTGAGTGGATACTTCGATTTGGCCAGCACACGCATCGTTTCTATCATTGAAGCCACCATGGATCCATCATCACCAGCTCCGGGACCTGCTGGTACCGTATCGTAATGACTGTTGACCAACACATAGTTGCTGCTGTTGGTGCCCTTGGGACTGATCTTGACCACAATGTTCTGGATGCTCTGGTACATGTTGACGGCACCCCAGTGGATGTAGCTGCCAGATGCCACTTGCACGTCCATTTCAATGTCGTGGACGGCGCTCAACTCAGATCGCACCTTCTGCATGGTGCTGCTGATCACCCTAACCGAGCCGAACTCATTCTCCTTGCTGCCGACGACACGTGGTCCCAAGGCTACCAGACTATGCAGAACTTGCTCAGCACGCTCGGCAATGAAACGATCAGGGTATTTGGCCTCATCCTTGATTGTTAGTGGGCGTGGCAAATGGTTGGAGGCGGGTATCGAGATGGAGCAATAGATGAGCAGCCAGAAGGCAATAAACGCCGGAGCCCAATACCATTTGATTTTCTCGCGGCAAATGAAGGCTCTCTCGCAGCCATTGGCTCGCTATTGGAAGAGAAAAATGTGGGGCAACAATGGGTTATTGCTTCAAGTGGTTACTCTGCTTGTTATTGGGTGATGTTGGTTCAAGATAACCATAGGTGAATCAGTTTTTAATTAAAACACATTCTACATAGCGGGTTGAGTAAAATGTGTTAATAGTTCGATTTAATCCATCAAAACTTTATCTAATCAGCGCTCCCAACATATTGCCCACTGTGTCTGTGCTGTTGCTACCGAAATTTACCGCCTCGATAAAGCCCCTGATGGGAATGCGACGGAGTCTGGTTTTGAGATTGTAGCTGCCTCAGCTGAATATTAACAAAAATACTCAATAAATTCGTTAGTTAAACATTGCGAACCGAGTTAGCTAATCTTATCAAGCGAATATCTACAAAATATTTATGTCAGTCTATTGCACGCTCTTTCGCACTTTCGGCACTGATTCTATTTGAAAGGGGCTACTCGAGTACCGATTGCCCTTCACAGCTTACCTCTTCGTCATCCAGATGCAATTCACGCTGTCTCAGCAGTGGATCTGCATTGGTCGCATCTGTTGTCGGCGTAATAACGCGACGACGCACTCTTTTCTCACTCATTCGAAGTCTTTTGTTATTGTGTGTATCTCTATATGTAACCGGTCTCAACGGAACTACTCTCTATTTGTATGCATATACTTAAATATATGAGAAGCGACCTCTGCTCTCGCTCTCAGTCTCTCTCAGTTGTTCGCTCTTTAAACTGCGCGTAGTGCGAACCAGAATGAACCGTTCGAATTGCGCAGAGGTTCTCAACTAACTCAACGGACTGATGATCGTCCGTTCGAAGCGTTTGAATATTGCAGCCGATACCGATATGTGTGATATCTTATCTGAACTGGCTTCGGTTTCCCTCATTTCGTCTGAGTTGCACGCTATCGAGTGAGCCATATGGATTTTTTTTGGTGGCTGAGAGTAAAGTTATTGTATCAGCTGAATGATTTCCATCATAAGTTTTTATGGAAAACATAAATTTAATATTTATAGAGTTTAAAACAGTTGTCTGAGAAGAACGGCAGCAGCTGCAACTTTAACTTTATGTATATTAAACTGAATATATACATGATTGCCAATAACATTTTCAAGTGTCCGGATACAGAGTAATTCAATTTATTAGCTTACGTTCAGCTGCGTCTTTTTTAACTTTAGAGAGAGTCTTACAAAGTTGAGCTCTTAGTGCGTATAACATACTTTAATGCAGTATGTCAAAGTTGAACAATGTTCCTGCAGCTGCATTTGTACGACCCTTGTATTACGAGTAAAAGTTTTGATTGTTTATAATTTGTACCTTTGCAACTTTTTCCTCTGCTTCGCTGCACATTGTAACTCGTCCACTTGATGAACTTGATGCTGCTGTTCCTTCAAGACAGCAACAAAGACTAACTTAATCTCCATATTAAAGCCGCTGTTTTAGCGTCAAACATTACTCAAACATTACTTGAGTCCAAAGCTAAAAAGGCGGCATTTCGTTAATTATTCACTTGGCTCAGTTGCTTATGCAATCCACTTTGCGATTGACATTCCATATTGTATGTGTTTACTTTTATAAGTGTACTGCCTAAATAAACAATACGATTTGTTTAATAATAGACGAGTCATCCATGAGTTTTAAATATGCATGAGAAATTAGAGACAAGTGAATTTGATGGGCCCATAAAAGTATGCAATGCTTTTCAGTGTCTGAGTGCAGTTAAAATTTATAGCATAACTCAGAGATGAGTTTAAATATGTATTTCATGCAATTACAATCAATTGCATACTTTTGGTCGTCCATTTAAATTTAAGTGCCATTACATACTTTCGGGCATTGGTAAATTTATAATGGCACAATATATATATATATATATATATTACGTACACGCACACATGTTGTCATTTTGGCCTAGAAATGCACTAATTTGCTCACATTCCACGCAACTGAGTCACGCCCTTCTAACTCCCGGTGCAAACGCAAACTGATGTTGTCAGTGTACATACACTCGACAGAGGCCTAAAACACGCAGAAACACACACCCACACACACACACAGGAATTGAGCGGCAAAACCGTAACGTAGAAATTACGGGGGAATCCCGAGTGCCCTATCCACTTACCAGTGTCATTCAACCTGAGTGAGAAGGAGATGGCAAAAGCAAGCAAACAGACACACTCAAATAGTTGGCTGGTAGTATGTGGCTGTACTATTTTACTCTCGAATTGCATTTTGTGTGTGTGTGTGTGTGTATATATACTTCATGTATTCATTCATTCATGGCTTGTGCCACACAAATTCGTAAACAAATTCATCGGAATATTGGTCAAAATGAAATCGATAAAATGAATTCACTAAGTGAATAGATGTATTAATAACTGTAAATATATAAGCGTCGAGAGCAATGCCCAATTCACGTATTATCGAAGATGGGTCATCTGCTTGAGCACAAATTACTCAATCGAAACTTTTTATTAAAATATTTGTTATTTATGCTGGCCTCTATTTTAAGTCGGATTCAGCGCGCCGACGCTGATTCTCTCTCTCTCTCTCTTTAAGGCTCAGAGAATGTGATAGAGGGAGGACGGATAGAGAGATAGAGAGAGAGAGAACGAGACTGAGAGAAAGAAAAACACCGGCAAGCAGTAGCAGTCGTATTTGGAGCAACGCTGACAGCGATATCCCCTGCGACGCCTGGAAACAACCAAAACAAAGCCCAAAAATTTGTGTCAGCTGCTTTGATTGTGCTTCTCCATCCTGCTGGGCCTTCCACTCAAATTCGCGCTATTTTTGCACTGTCCTGCTGTGTGTCGCATGCTTCGTCAACGCTCTTTGCCTGCACACACACACACACACACACACACACACACACACACACACAAACAGCACACCTACATATGTCCATGGTTTTATATAAACATATACATATACTCTCACTCAGACGCTTTTTGGCTCGGCAGTTTCATTTGATATTCAGTTCAGTTCAGTTGAGTTTAGTCGTAGTTGAACGGTCGTAGCATTAGGTCGTCTCGTCCTGGGCAGCTCAGCAACGTATAAAAAATGTGCTACTGAAACGCAAATCACACACAAAAAAGTAAGGCAGATACGAGCGCGTGTGTGTTACTCAGAGTGTGTGTGTGTGTGTGTGCTTCCTGTGCTAGTTTGTGTTTATAAGCAAAGCATGGGCCATAAAATGTTGCTACCTAGCCAAAAAAAAATTATTATATAATTGTATTAAGCGACATAGAAATTAGTTTAAGCCGAAATTGTGTCGTGAAGCAGTTGCCAGAGCAGCTCACAAAATAAAAATAAATAATAATAATCAAAAAATACAAAATAATAAAGAAAGAAGATAACAAATCAAATTCGAATGTAGCATAGACTTATGCGCTAAATACACCATGTGAGTTTCGGTTGTTGTCTTTGCTAAACGCCCTGCTTACTCTGCTCCACCCCCGATTTGATTTGTTTATTGTTTCTTTTTACGTTTTACGCTTTTCATTGTGCGTACCACAAGCTATTCCGTCGGTGTTTTGCTCTTTTTTCCCCCGATTGTATGAGATATGCATGTGAATTTGATGCATACGTCGCCCACTTCTCTATGTATTGTATTTTCAATAAATAATACGAGGAACTGTCTTTCGAACATTATTTATTGGTTTCTGGGGAATTTGATTACGAAATTAGAATTAAATTTCTTTATTTAGAAACTCAATAAGATATGCTTTTCCACATATAGACATATGTGTCTGCTGAAAAGGGTATTTAGCCGTATTTTCATTTGTGCGCGTAATAAATGGCTTTACACATTTGTTGTTATAGGCCATTCACTTACTTACTGCGCATTCTATGACGGATGATATCATTGATAGCATTCCATTACTATGGGGGGCCCAGTGCACACGTTTGGTCAATTGAAACTGGTTGGAAGCAGGTCGTTGGCCAAGCGCATTATCATAACAATTTGATGGTATTAGATGTGCTTATAGCCATATGTCATATACATTTGTATGACATACTTACACACATGTGCGTCATTATAAATGCCGCCGCATAGAATTTGTTTTTATGTCGTCAAAGTCCACAGCATAAACACGCAAATACAAATACATACATGTATAAAACCCTAAGTCCTACTTACAAACTTTGTGACCATTATGAAATGTGCCGGACAATGACACAAAAGCGACTAACGAAATATAAGTTGAAAGACAAAACAGGGAAACACGAACAGTTGAAAGAGATTTCGCAAAGGGCCATTGAACAAAAAATAATAACAAATTTACCATTTAAATCTAGACTAAAGCAAACACACAAATTTTTGCCAATTTGGGGTCTTAATGCTCACTGACGGGTATTTATTTGAACTACCAATTTTAAAGAAATTTTGAGGTTTATTTCTTTTTGTTTTCTGTTTCAGCGTGCAGACAAGTCAAATAAAAAGAACTCTCTACGATTAATTGCTGTGTCGTTTGTTTGCTCACGTGTTTGTTTGTTTGTTTGGGTCCTTCATTAGCTTGAAGCCAAACTTTATACAATTTAAATATTAAAGTAGCAGTCCCATATCATATGTATACAGAAAGAGAAGTAATAGGAAGCTGTCAAAATACTCCAACAGTCATGTACATGCCGCATGGATTAAAATTTAAATAGAATACAAATTAGGAATTCACATTTTTCTTTGTAGCCGTGAGCCAGCTATGCAAATGTAAGGGTATCTAACTCCGATATGAACACAGCTGTCAATTTCAAGTGGCAGCCATTGTTGTGTTCCACATACTACCAGCAATCATACGCACTGTGTGGCACAGTCTCGCGAATGACAGGCTGAGAGGGACAGGTGGGGCAAATGAGGTTGTCTATGCTTTTTAATGAAGTGATGTGAAGCATTTGCTGATTTGGCAGTGATTTACAAGCAGCTCCTTGACGCCACTCCAGATGATATTCCCCAGTCGACCCCCAACCACAACCCGTCACCGAGGGCAGCATCAATCAGGTGCGTTAGCTATGCATCAGTTGCCCTGGTAATTGCTACAATTTTGGATTGTTATCTAGGCAACAGAATAAGCTTGATTGCACGCAAACAAACCTGCACTGCAAGCAGCGATTTTGAATTTCACAATAAACTGCTGCCCCTCTCATCTGTTGACTGCTTTAAGTGGAAACCTTAAAGTAGTTTATTGCATTTTTAATATTGCCCCTTAAGGACAAGAGTAATCAAAATAAAAGTTTCGAGCTTGATACCGTTTAAATTAAATGTCGTTTTCTCAGACAAGCTCAAAAAAATAAAAATACAGAAGCAAAGTTTCGATGCATTTTATTTTCCGGATCTTTTTTTTCTTATTTTCCTTTGTCCTTATATCATTGTCCAGTGCTTTTACTGAGCTGGGGTGTTTAATTAATTAAATGTCCACTACTGAGTCCTCGACAGGTATGAAAGCAAAGTAAAGAACGAAAAAACAGAACACTAGAGTAAATGTAAGAAAGCAACGCCTTTTAATGTTTTATCCACAAGATTTTCATTAAAATGCAATTAGCAGGGAAGTTTCATGCGTTCTATCCATATTTATCCTTCGATACTTCATCAGCGTAAGAGTGCTGAAAACACTTGAGGAATATTTCAAAAATTAATTGCACAACTTGACATAAAAGGAATATATATACAAAAATAATTTAAATATGTGTAACTACAATTATATATAAATGCTGAGACAGTTTATAAAAATGTTTACTGAATAGTAATCAAAAATTAAACAAATTCATTCAAAAGTATTTTATTGCAGAACAGAGGA